ATATATTTTTTAGAGTGTTTCCGAGATAATTCCCACCTTGATTTGGTATGCAATATTTTATGCCCTGACAGAAGTTGGAAATAAATTGTCTACCAATTAAAGTATACTATCTTTCATTCTTTACTTAATCAGGTGAGAGACAATTACGGTGGTGCTTAATGTATGACTTGGACGTCTGGTGTTTGTATTTGCAGCATCGCTGTGTGGCTATTTTCATGGACAAGCAGAACAAGCCGACGGGATTTGCACTGGGCAGCATCGAGGGCAGAGTAGCCATCCAGTACATCCAGCCCGCCAACCCGTAAGGGACAACAGCTAGTCTCGCGCAAGCCATCACTATTCTTTTCTCAAGCTATTATAAACCTGCCCAATTCAATACATGTGTTCACCAAATATATAATACTCCTTAAATAGTACTGTTTGTGGCTGGCCACTTACTATTTTTGTTGAGTGTGTGTTAGTTTGTTGTCCTTCCCCCACACATCCGATTAGCATGGTTGGCTGCGTACGGTATGAAAGGTCGACATACATACATTTGGGCCTTTGGGCCCTCTGCTCAGCAACCGCGATTTAAAAACGAGTTGATGGCATCAGCCTAAAGTGGCTGCAATAATACCAGGCTCACGAGTTGCCCATGTTTTACAAATATTGTTGCAGTGCCAAAGATAACTTCACATTCAAGTGCCATCGCTCCAATGGTCAAACGGGTCCCCAGGATATTTATGCGGTGAGTGCCATCAATGTGTTTGTTTCTTGTGTGTTCATCATACTGAATGTCGGAGGGGCCCCCCTGGCTTAGGGGGCCTAATTACACTTGTACTGAGCTGGCTCAACTGAGACTGGGTTCATATCCAGGTGTCAGCCACCCATTATTTAAACAGGGTTCTCCAGCGTAGCCTGTTTACTGGTGATTGCACATCCAAAATTACTCAGTTGGTTAAGTCGGCATATTCCAACTGATGGATACATTTATATTTAATTGTGATACGATGACCACTGTGCCAGCGATATGAAAATTGCAAGGGATGTTAAAATTACTTCTGCGATTACAATTTCTGGGGCTTTTGGAAAGAAGGTAACGTTTCACTGCTTTCTGCGGGAGTTACAAATGCATACCTCTTTTTATATCTCATCACGTAACATTGATATCACAGCTATATATACAGCTGTCTGTTTGACCATACTTCACCACACTGGTCAGTGCAGGTTGGTGAAGGGAAGATTCGGTATAATTTCTGATATAACTCACCACTTAGCCATGACTGGCAATTAAACTCCAGTAATCAATTTTATAACATGGAGCGCTAACGATTGTGCCACCACTCCACTTGCTGCTCTCATACAATTGAGAAAAAAAAGCAAAACGAAGAAATGTTGGGAAAAGGTCTTAACAGTGGTCATAATAGCATCTACAGGCCATTGCTATAGAGCAGCGGTGGCCAACTGGCATCTCTTGAGCCCACATTGTCTTACATGTACTATCAAAGGGGCATAACATCAAACATACTATCACAGTAGCAAAGAATGATCAATTTCTCCCGTGCTGTGCTGGAAACTCTATATACACACACATATATACTTGACTCTTTGCAGAACTCATGGATACCTTTTGGCTCTTGGTCTGTTACAGGTTAGCCACCCCTGTTGTAGAGCAATAGCTCGTGCAATTGCCAGTTGATGCTAACCGTGCTAACCTCCGATTATCACGGTTGGCTACATATGGGTTCGAAAGAAGTTCAACAAGTACGTACGCAGAGCCTCTTTAATTGAATCTGTCATTGACCCGGTGCGTGCGTGTTGGTTTTTCGTGTCACAAGGTCAACGGAATTGCATTCCACCCAGTGCACGGCACGCTAGCCACGGTGGGCTCCGACGGCCGCTTCAGCTTCTGGGACAAGGACGCGCGGACCAAGCTGAAAACCTCCGAGCAGCTGGACCAGCCCATCACGGCCTGCTCCATCAACAACAACGGCAACATCTTCGCCTATTCCTCCAGCTACGACTGGTCCAAGGTCAGTTTATCTGCCCTTACCAGAAGGCCTTGTATTGTTATGCGTGTGCATAAACTCGCTCCGCTGTTCAGCCTCTCAGATGGTTTCAAGACGAAGCTAGACATATAAGGATGAACTGTCATGACACGATGAATTGTCACAATTTAGGCTTGCTATCAGATTCGAAAACCAATTATTTTTTTGGTCCTGCTTTGTTCCGTTTTGTATGTCAGTCGTGTGTGCTGCCTGTATTGTCTTGTACGTCTTCTTTCATTCACACCGTCTTCAATGTTCCATGAGCTTAAATAGCCATTACCGTGTATGTAATGTATCATCAGCCACGATCTGTTCACTACTGGATGAAAGTCTCGAACCGTCTTATTGTGTCAATGTGTCCTTGTGGCTCACTTGAGACTTTAAATAATAAAAAAAAATCGATATGACAACTTAAAGCTCATGTCGGACAGACCGGGATACAACCTCGCCTTGTATCGACGAGAGCTTTTTAATTTATTGTTTATTGTCGGGGCTGGTTCCATCTTTCATTCATAACCCTTTTGTTTGTCTGTCCTTTGTGTTGTCAGGGTCATGAGTACTACAGCCCACAGAAGAAGAACTACATCTTCCTTAGGAGTGCCACGGAGGAGTTGAAGCCCAGAACAAAAAAGGGGTCCGTGACTCTTACACAAAATGCTTACTTGCATTATTTACAGTTATTTACCCAAGCCTCAATTCTGTCTCAAGAGTACTGCATTTCAATGTTGGGACAATATCATTCGTGAGTGTTTGGCTTTATGCGAAAGGAAATTGGAATTCTCAAACCAGAGAAATCGCACTGTGCTTATGAGGGGGTAACTCATCACTGCCATCCACTGGCCACCTCGCAGCCCCATGCCTTAAACATCTGGAAAGCCCTGTGTGGTCGGTTCTATAAACTACTAAGTGATATTTTCCCTTAGTTTGCAATGTAAATCAGTGTGAACAAAGTTGCAAATTAACCTTAAGGAATTGTATGCAAATGGTGCTCCCATGTCAAAGGCTTAGATTGTGAGCTCCGATGCAATTGGCCACAAGTAAAAATGTGTCTCAACTGTTGTCTTCTGCTTGCAGGATTTGAAGGCCTTGGGAAGATTCTTCAATGCTTTCCTGTGGTGTTGGATTCAAAGACTGCTTCACGCAAGAGCCACTGGCACACCACTCAATTTTAGCGTTCTCTGGTTGTATTTCAGTTCTAAATCCCTTTGCACATCAGTCATGTCCTTATTGTAAATCATCCTCAATTCATGCTACAAATAAACATTTGTTATAAAACTACTTTCACTTGGGAGTTTTGTGTGTGTTATGCTGGGAGCGGTAGTGCAGCGGTTAACGGGCTGCGCTACGAACCCAGCAACCTGGCTTCAATTCCTGTTCTCGATCAATCTGAACTGGTCCTGGGCCTCCCCAAGGTCGAGTCAACCTCAAATGAGTCTGGGGCTGGAAAGTTGCGAATTATAACGAAATTATGTAAAACTGGGAATTTTCTCCCAGAATAAATAGCAACCAAAATACGTACTGTACATGTACTATACTTTACAACGCATAATGTTCACATAAGTTCAAAAACCATTAAACATTTAATTGAAAACATTGAGCATTTCGAAGCAGCCCTGTACATTTTGAAAAGTTTTTTTAATAGAAATGTGACATTTTAAACATTTTAGTGTAAAAAGCTCAATCTTAAACAGCATTTGAAACAGATTGAACCTAAAATTTGTATGATCTTACCTTGGGTGAATTATCTGTGTTGAAGCGTTGCGACGATATTGTGCGATAAAGTCTGCACCGATTACAGCGAGCACGATGGGACTGAAGATGGTGGCGCATGCACGAGTTGTACAATTTGCCCCGCCTCCCCCAGAGCCAAGTTCAGCTGAGCCGAATCGAAAATGAAAATCGTCACTCGTGTTGGCCGTGAGCGGAAATCGAAGTCGGCTCGCTGGGCTCGTAGCGCAGCCACGTTAACCGCTACGCAGCCACGCACAATGTTGTCGACTTGGCTCAGCTGAACCGAATCGAAAACGATGTAGATGCGGGGACATTTTACGTTGTGTTCCTCAAAAAGCCGGCGATGTGAGTGCGAAACGACGTATATCAGGGACCACTAGGGAGATAAAGGCGACCGGGCGTGGTGCTGGCCACTTACCCCTTTGTGTGGCGTGCTGGCCTTCATAAGTGCTTGCTAACAGTACTTGCTCTGTTGAGGCTATATGGGGGATTTTTGTCTATTTGTATTTTATACACTTCAACCCATTAAGTTTCAAATATAACAATGCACTAATTAGATTCGTTTTATATGGTTTATTGTGCAAAGATTTGCACATGGAATTCAACAAAATGTTGAACTCATTAACATTAACTGTAAGCCATAAAACAACAATTAAAATAGACTTGTTCCCTTGCTAGCTTGTGCTGTAGGACTTTGCACGAATAAAAGTTGTAATTACTGCGAATTCTGCCAGCCACATGTTTGTGCTTTGTACATTTTAATTACCAGCGCAAAGCTTCACTAAGTGTTAATTCACAAGTGGGTGTTTTTTCTCGGTCGGCCAAACACAAGCGGACGACAATGTAATGTGTGACTGGGTCAAATTTACAGATACGACCCGACTAATCAACTTTAGCCAGAGCTAAAAACATGCAGAGCCTGGAAGGATTCCACAGCCAAAAATGTTGCCGTGTTCTGACCTTGCCTTACAAATCCGGTGTACCAGTATATGTTTTGCACTAGAAGAATAGCAATGATAAATCCTTTAGCCCGTGAGAGCCCATTAAGGTGGCATATTAACATGACCTATAAGAACTCTGGTGTATTTCTACTAACAGTGACCCAAACTCAGAATCAACTGTCATTTTGCTTATTGTGATGTGGGTTGTGAACTGCACACAAACTTTGGATTGGGTACATTTTAGATTTAGTCTCCAAGCAGTAAGTGTTCAATTTGCACACCCTTCATATTTTGTTGGGGCTTAATTACGAAGCTGAGGAATATAACCACGCTAAGCCAAGCTGCCCACAAGGCAATACTTGCATCATTGTCAAAGAATCTTAACTTGTGAGCACTGGGGTGACGCGTCCCACCATTCGCAGCCCTTAACCAATTATAGAAATGTGTCAAGTTCCTTTGGCGTAGGTGAGTTTCTCCACTGGCGTGCTGCTGTTAATTTCTCACAATTATGTGTCTATCCAACGTTACGAAGTGTAGCCGATTCTAATTTCTAAATTGTTAAATCGCTTAGGATGACAGAAATGATTATGGCTACGTGGAAGGTACCAGAGTTTGGGATAGGATTGGTGACTGGTTAGGGTAAGTGGTTGGGCTATAGTCTGGTTGGCTAATCGTTAAGGTTTGAGGTAGGGATAGGGTTTGATTGAACAGTATGTTTAGGGATAGGCTCTTTTTGGCTTATGTGGTTAGGGTTATATGTATGACGAGTTGGTAATTAGTTGTCGGGATAGTCTTATGGGTAAGGTTAATTCCTGGCTCAAGTGGGTAAGGTTAGGGGTAAGGCTTGGGTCCCGTAGGCTAGTGTGGTCAGGGTTATGTGCATGGATAACCTGCGGTTGGCTACCATGGTTAGAATAATTGCTTGAGCTCTTGTCCGATTAGCGTACTCCGCTCCTGAAGACCTTCCCCCTCCACTCACGTTACATTCACAATTGCGCTGCCGTTTCCCTTCCCAGCTGGCGACGGCGCCGTCCTCGGCTCGGCCTCTTGTCCACGAGCGCCTGCAGGCGGCCCCGCAGCTCCCGCGCCTCCTCCAGGGTGCCCCGAGCCGCCGCACGCCGCTCCAAGCACAGTGCCCGAGCCTCCTCCCGCAGGCGGCACAGCGTCGACGGCACCGACTCGATTCCCGGCAGCGCGTCCCGCCACACGGGGGGCGCCCTGGTGGAGGAATCCAATGAGCTATAAAGCTCGTTTTCACATGTCCAGGCGGGATGGGTCAGAGCATTACAACGGCACACAGTACAAAAACACTATACGAGTGCAAAGTATAGGAAAGGCAAACAAATTACTTACAAATATACAAATGAAAGTAAATTATGTTTTATCTTACCAGGTAGAGCCCACTGAGGGACTAACTTATTTTTCAGAAGCGAGCTGGCCACAAACGATAGCTAAACAAAGTGGCTTTATACGTGGACATTTATATCAGCGAAATCTAATCTCAATCCATGTTTCTAAATGTGGAGGGAAAAACCAGAGAACCCGGAGAAAAAAATCCACACGACTATGGGGAGAGAGACATGCAAACTCCAAATATACAGGCATCAGGGTCGGGATCGAATCCCCAACTTCTGCATACCAGGCAAGGAAGGTAACAACACACCTCCGTAGTGTGATGTTACTATGGTTATAGTTGAAGCATCAATGCGTTCATGGCAACATGCATACAATACAATTTGGGAGTTTATCAAGTTTTATAAATGTGGTAGTATTATTGTTCATGTTTGGGGAAGCATGCCCATGAGAGTTTGTGGAGTTCTTAGCGATTTCCAAAGAAGGTTGAAAGTGTTAAATGTATAAGTTTTGTCTTTCCATCTGCAGTTATAACTCTCGAAAAGATTATCCAATATGATTACAATTTTTGTTTCATGTGTTACTATTAGATTATAGTTTTGTGGTTACATATGGTTTTTAAATTGTTCCTTAAAATGATACACCTCACCATATGCTGATCTTAAGTACTCGGTGCTTTTAAGTAAGATCCGAGCTTCGATTGACAACAATTTTCCAATTTCTCTGTGAACTGTGCTGTAGATACCCTTGTGTGTCATGGGTGACGTCGGCAGAGGAAAGAGGTGTGCTGATCCCTTCATTCTCACTCTTAGTCAGACTTCTATTCATCAGGGACGATACCATCCCCTCCAGCGTAGCCTGGGTAAACATACAACGTAAATAACCTCTTTACAGAACAAGCATGCATGCAAGCATCCATCAACTCTTCCTGGTAACTGAAATTAATCAAATTGCCAATAAATTATGAAGATAAATTATTCCCTTGTTACTTGAAGGGATGTCAGAAGCAGTTCTATGAGCTCTCCTTCCGCTGGGAGTTCTCTAACCATAGGGTTACGCGTTGCTCAGCAACAGTTCCAAATGGATCCGTCGTGTGATTACGCAATACTAATTCGCAGCACAAATTGATAAAAATTATGGGAGGGAAAAAACGAACGTAAAACACAAATAACCACACCATGACCGCACCTCGATTTTGAGCGAGACTCTGCCATACTCCAACTGCGCCGCGTCTCTGCCACCACCACAGCCGTCACTGCCGGGCCCCTCGTCGCCCGCCCCGTAGGAGCACTCAAAACGTGCGCAGCGCTGGATGTAGTCGCGTGTCCCTTCGCGCCTGCTTCTGAAGAGTGGGTTCTTCTCCAGGGAGAGCAGCAGGATGACTCGCTGCATGTACTCATTGCCCACGGGGTTCAGTGACACGCTGTGGGGAGACACAAGTACTGGACACCTTCTTGGGCATGTTCCCTCCCTCGCCTACCATTCCGTCACCAGTCTTGTCAGTCGGCTGTCAGACCTAATCCCAATTACTGTTGTTAACAGTCAATGTTATTTGACCGCATCGTTTTTCGCGGTTGCCCTGTGCAGTTCTGATGTGATTTTTGGTTGTACCACATTTTGTCGGATTAATTTCTAACGTTTCGTTCTACTGGCTCGGAGGTTCTTTGGAAAGTCAACACAGGGTACAACCTGAATATGCAGGAGCGAGTCAATGTGACGTGTCTAATCTGCGTATGTTTACTCATCTACGTTTTTTCTCTGTCTCTCTGTGTAATTCCTGGCGGGCACCTCACATATGATACATCTGTCGTCGCAGATGTCATCATTAAACGTGCCTTACAAAGACTGAGAATAATGGATAAGTATCACGCTGCCATCAAGTGGTGTGGCGTGATTGACGCGGGCCCTAGTGTAAGGATTGAAATGGGGCCCCTTATTCATATTTGCCCATCCTCTTCGTAGCCCGTCGGTGACCGGGCCCCGCCAGACCAACTGTGCCACCTGCTCACTCGACGGTCGCCCCCTCCACAGTCGGTCGCCAGGCCTGACTCACCGCTTGTAGGCCTGATTGAGCATGGCGATTAGAATGGCGTTGTGGACGAAGATGTTGGTGATGCTCAGGAAGGAGGCGACCAGGATGTAGAGCATCGTGAAGTCGCGCTTGTGCATGGCCTCGTACTCGTCCATGTCCACGACGCTGATGCGGAACATGGTGAAGAGGGTCGCCGGAACAGTCTTGAACGACGCCACGTCTTTATCTGGCGAAATTAATCAAATAAAGCGGTTATGCCGACTAATCGCAATGGCGTTCTATTGTGATATAATGCAATTTGTTTGTTTTTTATTGTGTGTGTATACATTGTAAAGGAAAATAAGCAGTCCTTTATTGGCAGAGAAGAGCAATATTTTTGAGCCTGGACTGAAGATGGACAAAGTTCCATACTAAGGGGGCAGCAGAGGATAAGGGGTGACCTCTCCTCTGAGACGAGGCTAAACGGGGACTGACAGAAAGCCTTGGCTGTGGGTGAGTAGCCGGAGATGAAAGGGGAGAAGTAGGCAGGTGCGACTCCATGATGCATCTTGAAGGTAGGTGAGGGTAATCTTACTGTTGATGCGAGGGATATGCGAGATAGGGCGACATGCTTTTATGTATGTTGAGCTTCTTTTGCACTGTACGTAGCCAACCGCACGAATCGGAGGTGCGGAGGAAGGACAACTAAACACAAAAATCTATTCTAAAAGAATGAGTTTGTCAATGTAGATGATTTAAAAGTGCATAGCTCCAGTGGCTTCCTAATATCAGAAGCAAGAGTGTTTCACACGGCCGCAGAAGCGTATCTGAAGTGAGAAGTTTAACCAGAAAATCTGGATCATCTGAAATCTGGAGTGGGGGTTTGGCATAGAGTTTTAGAATTTAGAAATGTAAGTTATTTTGCCAATCGAGTCACTGTGAAGTAGGAAATGTAACTGCATATTTTTTGTGTAATAGGGGTGTAATTGTTTGCACGTGTTTGTAATCTTTTTTTGTTGCGCAAGGCTGTGTACTGGATGGACACGTAAAGTGTCACGTTTTGTAGTAGAAGCCGACGACGACTTACTGCCAAATATCAGCCAAAACGAGAAGAAAAACGCGAGGAAAAACTGTCCAAACAGGAAGAATGCCTTGAGGATGTAAACAGCCATTTTTCCCAGGATGATAATCAACGGGCCCACGATCCTGCACAGAACCACACATGTGACCGGAACAAATGTGTGAACAAAAGCTCGTCAAACAGATTTGATGACAGAATCATAAGGCAGCAGCAGCCACAATACAAACAGCTGCCAGTTAAGAAGGTTGTTGCTGTGCCGATTGATGGGTAACACTCGCCATGTCTCTGCACTTGCAGACATCACTGGATTATCTTTAGAGGTGACGAATAGAGTTTCAACCTCCGAGGTTTAAAAAAACCAGGACATATCTTGGGAAGGAGAAAATTTCACAGTTCCGGAAGAGGGGAGGACTACATGTGGACGCCTTGTTTTGAGTGTGTTGCGTTGTTGCTCTTGAGACCAGGAGATCAATGATCGATGTTCGATCGCCACGTTGATGCAGTTTTGAGTGGCGTGTTATTATTGTTGTTACGCAACTGACAAGAGGTGGGCATCTTAATGTCCCAGGGAGACAGTACATATTTGCCAGGACAGCTACATCAAAAATAGGACAGGTGGCAACTCTAGTGGGACATTTATGACCCAGGCCACATGAGGACTACCTCTTTGCTGAATATGACCCACAAACTACATTTACACATCACTGCAATAATCTTCGCTGCACTAATCGGCCACCAGAGGGAAATATTTTCAAACTGGAAACTCCCTTTCTAAATTTCGAATATTCAGTTACTTGTTGCTGCAAGAGTTGCTTAATACTTGGTCAACACGCACACGCGTGGCCGGCCATGAATATTTAAACGTCCGATTCGGCCCTCGGTAAGGGAAAAAAATAAAGGTTCCCCGCTCGCGATTTACTTGAAAGGGCGTAGGTGCTTCATGTTGTGGAGCCACAGTGGAATTATGGTGATGGCAACCAAGTGGTCATATCTCTGGGCGACGTTCCAGCTCGGTTTCAGTATGAGGGCCACGTGGAGTCCCACCAGGGACAGCAGCAGCACTAACACCAGCCAGTGGAGGAAGCTCCTGCGGTAAGCGAGGGGGCGACACTCAACCGGTCGCAGCGCTGCCTCCCCTTGAGTTGAGAAAATGGTTCGGTGATACTGCGTTGGCAGTGGTACACAAGCAGCAAAAAAACTAATTGCGTTCGTCAATAACACTGTGGCCTTAATAAAAAAGAGATAATAGGTGACATTTCCGGCAATGGCCCTTCTTCACAGCACATAGAGAAGCCAGAGGTAGACTGATCACTCTACCTCTAGCCTTTCTCGTTCTTTGAGATGGTATGCTAGACGTTCGTGACCGCCTTTGGTATCATCCCGATGCGATAGACAAAAGAAGAGTAGTTTGATCTCCTTTTGTATGGCTTTTTGTAGAGCGACCAATACATATTCAGCGATTTATCCATCCAATTGCTTGAGTTTTAATGACGAAGATTAAAACAAACATTTCAAAACAAATAATGGTAGTATGATAAACATCTTTAATTGATTATAAAAAAATATTGGAATTCAGCTATCTGTCCAGAGATGCCCTATCAAGCAATCACAGAAAGGCACACGTCTGTGTATATACAGTCGCTGGTGCTTCTGCTGCTTTTGGTGCTCAAGTGAAAAAGCAGAATGACTGACAAACATATTCCAATACATCAATAAGAATTTATCATTATGAAAACAAACATTTAAAGTAGTACTATAGTTTAGTTAGTGTAGTTTCTTGGTCACGTCTACAATGGACAATTGTCCATTGGCAAACAACGTACATGATATACAGATGTATCACATGTAAAAAAGAAAAAAAGAAAAAAATAAAGTTACGTAGGTAGAAATATAATTAAAAAAATCACGTTTTAATCGCAACACAAGCAATCTACATCAGGTGGAACAACCACAGCAAGAAAAAATGCTGAAGTAGGCGAGAGAGATGTTATTAGGAAGAATGTTATTAACCAGGTAAAGCCTTAACTGGTTGTGGTTGTTTCCATCTTACCCGCCGGGTACTAGTCTATTTTTCCAAGTTACTTTCCCCCCGTGTCCCACACTCAGCTTCCCACTTGTAGCCCCGCCTACTTCCCCCCCCCCAGCCTCACTTCTTCTCTCCCTCGTGCTCACGCAGCTCTCCTTCCCCTGCTCCACCCCCCCCCCCCTCTCTCTCCCCCTTTCTTACCTATATAACCTCTCGCCACGGCAGCTCTCTCGCCTACCTCAGCATTTTTTTCTTGCTGTGGTTGTTCCATCTGATGAAGATTGCTTGTGTTGCGATCGAAACGGCCGTGATTTGTTTTATTTTATTTATACCTACGTGACTTTACCAAAATAACCAAAGAGTATGGATTCTTGCAGTCACGAAAGCTTCAAATCAAGATAAAAAAATGACATTCTTTTTAAAAGTACATTTATTTTGGTTGAAAAATCTTTCGTTATGTCATTGAGGAAGCTCGTTCCAATCATTTGCCGTACGATACATACAACAGTATTTCCTGTATCACAATTTACACGTGTTTATATTTGCTATATATTTTGAGTAATAGTTGAGCGTATCTTATCAAAAGAGGCTACATTTTACGAAGCGAAAATATTTAATGAGAATCTTGCGTGTCTTGCTCATTCATGGATTGTTTTTGGTTCACCAGTTATGAGCAGAATGATAAACATTAATAATCTGCGTGATTGTAGTGCTCTATACGTACCAAAAACCTCCAAAATACTTAGCCTTCACTTTATTTATTTTCTTCAACTCTTGTTCCAAGTAAATGTTCTCCTGTAATATAATGGAAAACAATATCTATTGCTGACACTTATAACCAAAAAGAATAACATAATCTGACCGTCAGGTGTTTTTTTTTTTGGGTGTCACATTTATTTTAATAAGCTGAACATAATAATTTAATTACCTTTGGCAGTGAAATCTGATGACCATTATGCCCCGCTTAACTTCAAAATGCACACACTGCAAGTGGACCTCACATAGCCAGTGTTTAACATTAAACGTTTCACATTTCTCTGCGTGATCCGGTTTCCTCCCAAAGGCAACCACACCCAGAGAACTGAGCAACCAGTCCATCTGGCTAAGCTACCTCAATAAGGTCTTGGAGGCTAAACGAGGATATTATGATAAAAATAAATAAGTAATTATTTGTATTGTTTAATCATGCAACCACGTGTGTATGTTTATGTATGTCTATGCACGTGGGGAGCGGTTGTGTTGCGGTTAGCGCATTGCGTTACGAACCTAGCGACCCAAGTTCGTTTCCTGCTAACAGTCGACTCAGCCTCAAATAAGTACCTTGAGGGGGGGTGGTCTGACCTTGTGACGCCGTGTGACGAAGGGGGGAGGGGTGAAAAATAGTCCAAAATCGCGTGACATCATTTATGGACGGCCCCTTACATTGTAAGTTATTTATGTAGTTTATTGTAAAAATTCGGTCACAGTCCCTGTGATCACTGTTACGTTGCAATTATGGCTTTATTTTTTTGCTGATTCGAAAAACGTTTTTGGTTTGGAAATGTTTGTTTTGTTGTAGTACGGAGTTAGACTGATGGCCTTAATCTAAGTTTTCTTGTGGTTGTTGTTGTTTGTCTTGCATCCCACTGCGATTTTTTGCACACAGCGTTGGTGGTGTACGGTGCTTTTTTCTGGAATATTTTGCTGTTTTTTTTTCATGGATTTTCTGTTTGCACAGTCACATTAAAATTATTTTCTTGTTTGTGTTTTTGTTTTTTTGTTTGTTGTGGTTGCACCCGATTCAAGAGCCGAATGGCTCACAGGGCTATACCAAAATAAATAAACTGAAAACCTGGTACGTGTGTAAATATTGCGCAACTAGGGAGACAAAAGTCGCCGAGCATGGTGCTGGCCACCCACCCACTTATGTGCCTTGTCAGCCTTCATAGGTGCTCACTAGCAGCACTTGCCACAACAGCTGTGCAGGCTATGCGGGATATTTAGTTTTTTTGTGTGTAGAATTGTGTAAGTGACCATATGCGCGTGTATACATGATGTTACCTGCCAGCTAATGTTTTGACACTTTACATGGCCTCAGAATGAACCTAACCTAGAACAAAAAACTCAACATATTCTGAAAAGGAAAACCAGATAAAATGTTAAATCGTGGATGTTTTGGGAATTAACACCTCATTTGCTGTGAAGGCTCACAGCCTGAAACATCCGCTAATATATTTTTCCTTTTAAGACCAGTGTTTTTGAAAAATGTGAGCTTTTTGTTATTTGTACTTGTGCACCGCTGTCAAAGCAGCATCACCAAATAATTAGTTTAACCTGGAACCCAGCACCCTGGCGACATCTCCACCACTCATTGGTGAACGGTGGCTATTGCTGTTGCTGCAGCTCACTCTTGTTTGTACGTGCCTGTGGCCAGCATGGGTGGCAGAAGCGGAGGTCCTGGCTCAGCTCACTGCGCCACCACTCGCGCCAGCATCGGAGGGCACGGGACGCAGAGCGGAACTCCCCGAGTTCGGCCACCACGTTTATCGCCAGCTGGCCCACGCACACAGTAGCCAGCACCGCACGCCACGCACTCTACACACACACACATACGCGTGCAAAGACAAAAATTACCCATAGGGCCTTAACGGGCTGTTTGGGCAAGTGGCGAAGGCACGGAAACGAGGGGGTGGGTGGCCAACACCATGCCCGGCCGCCTATGTCTCCCGAGTGGTGATGTTTACACACCACACCAGGCACTCATTTTGAGGCCTGAGTGAACCCAGGATTCGTTCAGATAATCGTCACTGGTATTGACCGTGAGTGGGAATAGAACCTGGGTTGCCCAGGTTTCGTAACGCAGTGGGAAAACCATTACACTATTGCTCCACCCATGCACTCTGCACACACGCAGCTACGTGCGTAGGCGAACACACTCGTACACGTGTGTGCTCACCCAAACACACACACACGTGCACAAATACAGACAAAGATCCCCATACAGCCTTAACAGAACTGTTGGGGCATATATAAGGCCGGCACAGCGCTCGAGGAGGTAGGCGGCCAGTACCAAACCTGGCCGCTTTGTCTCCCCAGTGGCGATGTTTACACACCGCACCAGGTACTCATTTGAGGCCGAGTCGACCTAGTTGAGGTTCAGGATTGGTTCACATAATCGTCACTGGTGTTGACCTTGAGCGGGAATTAACTTGGGTCAATCGGTTCGTAGCGTAGTGATCATCAAAGTACAGTACAATAAGATTTTGCTGAACTGCCTTCTGCTGCCACAGAGCCTATAACAACCTATTGTGCATGATGGTCACCCATCAAAACTATCCAGGCTCAAGCTTACTTAGTTTCCGAGATCAGATCAGATTCGGCGATTCAGACAATCAGTCTGAACTTTACGCTCATAAGCCAGTCATCTCAAGCCAATGGCACCTGGGTATGTTCCGGCACCTGGGTATGTTCCGGCACCTGGGTATGTTCCGTCACCTGCCAGCAGGCCTTCGACACTTGAACCTTATGGCGGGTCCCCGGGGTCCCATAAGCCCCCCGGCTCTCGCATAAGCTGTGTTGCGACGTCATTTCATGTCTGTTGAAGGCGAACGATACGGCAATCTATTCCTCTCGACGAGCTCTACACAACGCGCTAATCAAAGTTTAAAAGTTTTGTTTCTTCTGCGCATTCGTCCTCGCTGCTGCGCTTGGACGACACGACAACAGAACGATCCGCGCCAGGTGGGTCGCGGTGTTTATGTGCGCGGTGGGACGGAGTCGGCAAAAAAATAATTAATTACAATTTTGACTTCTGTTTATTCGGGACCCCATAAGGTTCACTTCACGTGGCTTCAAAGTGCACTTAGCATGGCACAAGCGCCGTGCTGACGTCACCAGCATATTTTGGTCGATTTTGTTGTCCTTGCCCCGCACCTCCAGATTAGCACGGTTGGCTACGTACGGTGCAAAAGAAGTTCAACATACATACATACATACGAACGGCAATTGTCAATTCGACCAATTCAATGCATCATTGCCTGTGGGAAGGTGTACACATGGCGGTTCTCCCAGTCAACGCCCATCATGAGGATCGACCACGTGATGATGAAGAATAACTCCAGAAACAGTCGAACACAAGCGCCGGCCCTGTGAGTACACAGAGAGGAGGCGGAAGCCACAATCATTACGATCTTATTGTTAAGCTCGTCAGTGACGCTGGCGTGGTGTAAAGGTCAGCACATTGGATTTGCAATAGAGGTCGCTGGTTCGATCGCCCAGAGCAAAACAATGGGCACGTTTTTTTTTTAAATCCCGCCCACCCCCACCCCTCAATCTAACATTATCAATGGATACACGGCAGTTAATCGACTAGAATTTTGCATGTGGTAGGGTAAAGTGTGAGTACTCCTGCCTCATATGGCCAGCATCCAAATACCCTCTAGAGGACCTCTCTAACATTCCCTCTAGGTGTGGCTTTTTCCATCGACAGTGGTGTAAGCAATTGCAGGTTTGCACATTTATCTTTTATTAAATTGTTCAATAATTTTCCGTAGCTTATTTACATTGGATGTCACTTTCAGTGCTCTACTCATTTAAAAGTTATTAATTTCATTAAAGTTGTTATATCCATTTGTATCACTTTTCTTTAGGGATTTCAATCTTTTGCTGAGAATCAGTTTAACTTCTACCTCCCGAGCTAGATGGAGTGATGCATCGTTACACCCCGACCATTCAAATCAGTCACCTGCCATCTGTTTACCTACTTTGTAAGAACCCAGTGTGAGGCTGTCATGCAGATTACACCGCAGGCACTATATTAAGGAAACCACAACACAATTTAATCCTAAAATGTACTTGGCTGTCAAATTAGAATCTCCCAGTAAACTCGCAAAATACTGAAAATGGAACGCGAGTCACAAAAGTGGCCTGAAACCCGATCACCCACAACTGCTGTTCTGAGCCAACTGGTCTTAGAAAATAGAGGTGGGATCATGTTCCTTTGGTGTCAGAGCGATTGTATGTTTGTGTATTTGCTGTGTGGATACTCACAGACCATATGCCTTCCATTTAATGTCGACGAGTTTTCTGACAGCGGGATGACTCGCAACATCAAATAATTTATGTATCACAATGAGTTCCAGCTGGTAAACAGCACATTTAGGAAAGGAAAACACATTTAAGTGTAATCGGCGCCGGTGTAATGGAATAATAAGAATATGGTTGAATGGTCTTTTCTCGATTCCATCTCAAAAAAGAATATAATCTCGTTATGCGTGAGTGAACAATGTACTGTTTTGTGATATGCCAATCTCGTTTAGTGCTCACCAGAGAATTCAAACTGCCAGGATTCCCTGAAATTGGAACAAAAATTATATCAATTTACATTTATGGTAAATTATATCTGCGGTCAGGAGGGACATCTTGTGGTGCAGGATATCTGGGCCAACACGTTTCTTCTTTTCCTCCACAAATTGGTCAGAATGGGTTATATTAACGTTTTAAATGTAAAACATTTGAGCTGACATTGACATGCGATATCCTGCTCGTGTAACATATGCAACTGGATGATTTCCCGTATATTTCACAAGCAGAAAACAATGCTTGTGAAAGCAAGAACGAAATTATGACTGCATTAGTATTTTTTTAACAAGCAACGTCTGCTAACGGACTTACCGTTACATTCAGTTTGGCTCTCCAACGCCTTCAAATAATAGTACTGCTTGTGAATGGAATGGTCCACAACGTGCAATTGATCCAATGCCACCAGTGCCTGGTGGAGAAGCGTACACAACCTTTACCACCAAAAGAAAAAGTTGAAGTGATTTCTTGCTTCAATAAGCATTCAGGCAGTCCTCATCTCTTATTTACAGCCCTGAGCCAGTGGTAAAAATTCCGCATATTCGATGGCATGGGCAAGTCTTAAACGTAGGACAATCACTGTTGATATCTTCAGATAATGGTAGCTATTTTATCCATCCCCGAGGCTTGATGGGATGAGTCAACCCAGAACCAGGATTTGAAACGGCAACCTGCTGATCACTATTGCTGCACCACCAGGCCAGATAAAAAAAATACCAACAATAATGCACAAAAAATGTGGTTTCTATACAGCAAGAGGTTCTATTGTGATCAAAAGCTCAGTCTTCCCAGCATACATTGCATATCACATCAACCTTCTGCATGTATGTTAGAATCGGTTTATTAGAACCTTTACACACTCACCATACAATGATAATGTGGGGCCCAGTTTGACATCAAGACAATGTCTGAAATGGATAACTTAAGTAGAAATATCACTCTATGGAGACATTGGCACATTTAAAAAAAAAAAAAGATAAAATATTTGCCAGCAACACTAAAATCTGCCCTAAGATTACTGGCATACTCTTTGGAAAGGATAAAGAAGGGGGGTTTGCACTTATTTGTAGTAAAGTAGCTTTGACATCATGCTGACTACTTACAATAAGCATACATTTGCTGTTAAAAATTCGTAATTTTTCCATTAAAATTATTGTGCAGTGGAATTCAGTTTTCTATTTACAAACTTGACAGTTGTGTGAATTCTGCATTCCTATGGCACATTTTATCCACATAACAACCGCTGCTGATTTCCTAAAAAAAATTCTACAGTACTCATCTTACGTATTCTGTTAAGATTGTTAAACTCATCCTTCTCATTGTGATGAGCTAACTACTGTACCACCTAGCCAGATATAAAAAATAAACATTATTTGGCAACGTGTTCTCCACATTAATTGCACCCTGAAAATATGTTGTATTTGGACTATATATTTTGATTATTTGGGGTGAAGTGGTAGCATAGTGGTTAGTGTACTTGTGCTACGAACACGGCGACCTAAGTTTGATTTACGGCGAACATCAGTGATGAATGATACATTTACTGGTCCTGGCATCCTCTCCTTCACAAACCTACACTGACCGGTGTGGTGAAATATGGTCAAACTACCCCCATGACTTACAGTGTGGGGAGGCTTTCATCCATAAAATGATTTATGATGGAGTATACAGTATTTATCTTCTTGGTTCTTTCGGTAAAGTCACGTAGAATGGAAATAAAATAATAAAAATAAAACATAAAATAAAATTCTCACGACGTTTCGGCCACAACACAAGTAGCCTTCTTCAGGTGAAGGAACAGAACTGTCGGGAAGACATCGCTCCAATGAACACTGCTAAGCTTGGCAGCGTCTTTTAAGCTGGGCGGGAGGAGCAGAGCGCCTTGACAAAGGATTTTACATATCAACAGAAGAATTTAGCATTGAAGTAGCTGTGTTAATGTGTTGGATTAGCAGGGTGTTAAAGTCGGAAATTAGCATGTAACTGGGAGATTAGCATGATGTTAGTGTGAGGGATTAGCATGTAACTGGTCACAGAAGTAGCTATGTTAAAGTCAGAGTTTACATATCAACAGAGGCATTTAGTATATTGACGCTAAAGAACTGCAACTACCCAACAATACAATACGCCGATGTAAAAGAACTAAGTATAAACTACATCAATATAATAAATGTACTCAATATATTCAATAAGTTGAGCTATTAACATAAAGTAACTGGGTATACACTACACTATATAATGAATACCATATAGTAAACTGATAAAAAACTAAAATATAAACTACATCAATGTTATCAATAAACTCAATATACTCTCCAATCAGCTGACCTACTAACAATAAGTCTTTATACGTTACAATTCTACGTCGAAAAAAGTGGCGGTTACTTTTTTTCTTTTCAACGTTAGCACCCCTACCTACCTCTCCTCTCTCAACTCCGATATCCCATTCATGTGCTCTCTTCTCAAACCTACCATGGCCTTCTGGCAATAACCAAATCAACCATCACTCAATGGAAGCTCACGTCTTCTCTGCTGGAGGTTCCTTTACTCTAACCCTTGCTCTGTTCAAGTTCAGCTTCAAGACGTTCCTCTTGTCTTCTGATTATCTCCCTTTGAAGTCGATTCATTCACACATCGACAATCATGCCATCTCAACTCTCTTTATGGGCTGTAGCATTAAAGCCCTACACTAAAGAATATTACAAAAAAAATGCTCCTCTGTAAACTCACTCTCTGGATGCACGTTTCCTCTATTTGCATAGCAACTTGAGATGGCAACTCACCCTGAATACATTCGATCTCATCAGATCTCGGTAGTTAAGCAGAATTAAGTCTGGTTAGTATTTGGATGGAAGAATGCTTCGGAATGCAAAGATATTGTAGGTTTGGCCTGGCATTTAACAATGGGTTGTCAGTGCATAAAATTATTATTAAATCTATCTGTGCAAATCTAGAGTGTTGGCCCACACATGGAGGGTTTTCTCTATACTGTATTGTATTTGCACATGTGCAGTTGCGAGCTTTTACCAGCATGGGGCAAACAATGATCGCGTGACAGCCTCCACCACAGCCAACTCCTGTTCCGCAAACGTGGCCCAAGAACATGCACTAACTTACACTGCAGGGCTATGCATTTCATATATCTTTTAGCTTGTGCATTTTTTCCTAATTATATTGTAATTGTCAACCTCAACTCGGACTGAAATGTATTACTGCTTCAGCACTACCAGTATGTTGGAGAGATAATCACACGTGTAAAAATTAAGTTCAATATACCAGTGTGCTGAATACAAAACTGGCACATTTGTGCATGACTTCATTTATTTGGCTGTGTCGGTCGGAGCAAGGGTGTAGGACACACATTGGCAGTTTTCTCGTGTTATCCGAGCTAAAATTATTTTATCGATCACTAGTTTGTTACCCCGTCCTAGGGCGGAAACTGTAATATTAAAGATGTAAATTAACGTTTTATTGTGCGATTGTTAATTTGATTAGGAAATGCAGCACATAAAGACATCTTTCTTAACTTATTAAATGCAATTAAGGACCTTGGAAAATTTCTCGGTTTACGATATTTTGTGGAAATCTCTTATCACTGTTCAAAAGGTTTCCCTGCAGTTGGCTATTCTTGATGAACACTTTGATCCGCTGAGGAGATTTATATCTAGACAGAGCCACGTACAACTGGCCATAGGAAAATACGAGTTCATTGAGATAAATACCCAAATAAAATAAAAATCCAGGCACACATTAATAATGGGGGGGGGGGGGGGGGGCATGTGGAGTGACGTCACGCACGGGACACAGCCTTTTTTGACTCGTTATATTCGTTGCTGCGTTGATTTCTGTATTAGCTTTACTTTCCATAAAGATCAAAATGAAAGCTAATTTGCGTAACAAATTTTCGTTTCTGCTCCATCTTCTTCATGCGGAGTGACGTCACCCGTTCATGGTCATTAATAACGGGGGGGGGGTCCATGTGGATGCCCCCACCTGTTCATGATTATTAATGGAGGCTGGTCGACGTGGTGTGACGTCACGCACGTTACACACAGACATTCTTGGCTCATTATATTAGTAACTAGCCTATAACCCGTCCAAGGACGGGTGTATTGCAGTAAATCTGAAACATTCAAGCGAAAAGCAGACCGCGACGTGATATATTCATTGCATCCATTGGTGTGCAATTTGTAAGGTTTTGGTGACAGACTTATTTCATTTAAAGGTTATAATCCCTTGTTCATCATGACGTCCTTTTTACTTGTATGTCTCAATAGCGTTACGGAGATCGTGTGACGCGAGAGTTCTGTCTTTGTAGTGAGGGTTATAAGTTGACGATGAGGATGGAGGAGGTGCCTCCCCCCCCAACCCATGTGGAGTGACGTTATCTGCTCATGATTATTAATGAGGGGGGGTGGCCCATGTGGAGTGACGTCACCCACTAATGATTATTAATGAGGGGAGGGGTGCGGCATGTGGAGTGCCGTCACGCGCGTTACACAGACATTCTTGGCTCATTATATTAGTAATAACGGTTACAAAATCTATTATCAATCATCAGTCGTGAAAGCCTTCGTGTCAAAATTGGAATAAACTGAAATTGTAAATGCCGAGTTAGTATAAAAATAACAGGTAAATTAAAAATATATAACAGGGGTGTGTGATTATTCATTCAGGTTCAAGGAATATCGTATTGTATTGGCAGACTGACCTGGCTTTGACACCCACATCAAATTACACGTGGGTGTCATAATATGCATGGCAGTGAATGTGCCATTTTAGACGTTAGATGCAGAACCTGGAGTGACCTCTCATCACACAGCGACATAGCGATTAATGGGATCATGGGAGGTTTAGAGCGAGAGGGTAGAACTCGTTATATCCAGAAAAACAATGCTTGTCACAACACATAACCAAGAACACATTTCTGCCTTTGACAGGTATAAAGTGAACCTTGGCCTGACATTCAATAGTTATTTAATCATTATTGTCTCTATTTTTCTCTGTCTGTTTTGCCTCTGCTCTTCCCCACCTGTTATTCTAACTGATTTGCAGTTTTCTTAACGCATTGATTTTAGTGTGGATTCAATTTAAAAGTCCACTTGAGATGACCAGATCAATTCTTCATTTGAGAAAATCGCACAGCAAGCGCTGAGAGTATTGTCTAAGACAAGGGTTCTCCACCAGGGATCTGTGGACTCCTAGGAGAAAGGGAGGTAGATTTAGGGGATATTTCAAAAGGCTGAGGGGTCAGTCCGTAGGAATCAATATTAGAGTGTGAATGGATAAGGGTTTTGAATTAGAAGTCGGCAAAAAAGAAAAGTCAATGGATCTTTTGGCAAACAGCAGGACAGCCGTGTGGTATATAATTTCCGAAAATATGACTAAACACACAGCACTGCAACAGGGGTGGTTACATAACCTCAACAGTGACAAATACACAACACCGCTTGGTCTATACGAGTGAACAAATTCGTCCTGCCGATGAAGCGGGTAAATGGCAGAGACGAAAGTAAAGGGCAGGGTAAAACATCAATAGGGCCTGCCCCTTCCACCCAGAGCCACCTGCTGTGTCTGCAGTCGAGTATGCGGATCTCAAATCAGTCTGTCCCGCTATCTACGGACGCACCGATGATTCCGCCATCTGCCGACAACTGTCATCCCTGTACCCGAGAGACCGCCGCAGCCGATGACGGTGAACAAATTCAAGGGAGCTGTGTCCTCGCAAGTGATGGTGACCCCTGGTCGAAGTCAACCAAGCAATTCATCTCTGCTGGCTTCACACCTTATACCCATTTCTCCTTATGACTTGTACAACCCAAATCCATGTATCGGAATGCATCCTATTTCATCAGATATCAGAATCTAAGCAGATTGCAGACTGGTGGTCAGTACTTGGAAGGAAGACTTCCCTGGAGATATTAGGTATTATAAGATTGTACTGCGAGGTGGTGAGAAGCTATCCATGCAGAGCTTTCACGAACTCAGGTTTCCTCCCACACGAAGCCAAACACTCGTTAATGAAAATGGTAAAATATCCCAATGCAACAAGATCCTTGTGAAAGAGTCTTGAGACTCAGGCTTTCCTGCGTAAATAAAGGACATTGTTATATTATTTACCACTGAAGGGAGTTTCTCTAGCAGCAAGGACAAACACATCTGTCCTGTGTTGTCCTGAGCCATTGTGTCTGCACCCAGTTGCAATAGCAGGCGTGCCGTATCTCTGCGAGCTGTGGATGACACATGCAGACGTGCAGCCATGCACATGAACAGACAAAGACAAAGACCACTGCAACGCTTTAACAGACTGTAAAGAAAAGTGCTGTTAGCGAGCAACTATGAAGGCCGGCACGTCACAAGAGTGGGTGGGTGTCCAGCACCATGCCCGGCCGCCTTTGTCTCCCTATTGGCAATGTTTACACACCACGCAAGATATGGTACTCGTTTGAGGATGAGTCGAACTAGGGGAGGCCTGTGAGTGGGAATTGAACTCGGGTCTCCGGGTTTGTAGAGCAGCGCACTAACCACTCCCCATGCAGGCAGACGCACAGGCAAGACATGCACGCAAACACACAGAAACGCATGCAGACAGCCAGACACACGCAGCATTTGGCAAGGGTGGAGGAAGAACATGAGGCATATAATAATGCATCAATTCACCAATGTAACTTGTTACTAAAAATATATATATATAATTTTTGACCAAATGAAACTGTCACAGAAGTGTCACATGTTCAATCGGATAGTTCCGAAAATTCATTTAGAAACCCTAACCCCAACCCGTGTTACAGAGATTCGGGTGTCATTTGAAGAACGACCCACGGAAGGAGACGTTACAGGAACCGCTTCTGAGATCCCTTCAAGTGACCCTATTCTTCATCATCACACGAGGGGGGGGGGCACCCTTCAAGGATAAATGTTGGTCACATGGCCGTCAAGACTGGCGAGAACGCCTCGGAGCCGCTGGCTGACCTTGCGCGGCAGCCAAGAAGAGCGGGGTGCGCCTCTTGAAGTCACGAGCGGCCAGGTCTGCTCCTCGGTGCTGCAGCGTGGCCAGCGTGTTGGTGCAGCCGTACCGCGCCGCGTAGTGCACTGCCGTCTGCTGCTCTCCCTTCGTCCGCACCTCTGTGTCCACTAACGCCCGTGAGTGAAGAGTGTGACCGCCCAGTAACGCACACGGTGGGACACGGGTATTGTAAGCAAAGTGGCCAGGTCATCTGCATCGCGCGCTTTCGGGTGTGCTTCTGCGGCCGTCTGGAACGCTCTACCTCCCGATATTAGGAAGCCACTGGAGCTATGCACTTTTAAATGTAGATTGAAAACGAATTACTTAAGAACTGCTTTTTGTGTTGTGTTGTCCTTCCCTCGCACCTCTAATTAGCGCATTTGGCTACGCACAGTGCGAAAGAAGTTCAATATACACGCATCACCATCATCATCCTCATCATTATCAGCAACATCAGCAGCAGCCATAATCTATCCACTGTTGAATGAAGACCCCCCTGAAGTCGTCACCAACCCTACAGTCCTGCGATGATTTAATCATCCAGTCTCTGTGGTGGATATCCTCTCAGATGTATTCCCTTCTTTGGCTGTCACTCGGTCATGATTCCCGACTACCACACATTATCCCTTCTCAGGACATGTCCATCTCGAGCCTGCTTTTATCAACAGTCAATATGATGTTTCTAACTTGAATGTTCTCCAATCCACGTGCTTCTCTTCATGTCTCTCAGTGCAATTCCAAGCATGCACCTCCCCATGCTTAGAAACACATTTCAGCTGTATTGCCATTTACTTTGTCAACAACTATTTACGAGCCACATGCCAATATCAGGTGATATACCCTGTGATTAAAAACTTTTTATTCTGTAAGCGCTCATTGTAAATACATTGCGGTGACAATTGCTTCGTGATAAATTGCTCTAAACTTGCCCGAGTGCAGGGAATGGGAACCTTTTTTTCCTTCAAAGGTGCTGAATGGGACTTTGATGGTGTTACCAGATTGATAGTGTTGCCAGGTTGTAAATATTCCCCTCAAGAAACTGATCAGTGTAGCTAAGATGCTTTCAGTGATGGATATCATGTGGGCCATTTAGAATGGGTAGGTCTCATGTGGCCACAGGCCATGTAAAATTGATCCACTGACCGTACGAAATGAAGTTGTGGGGCCGTGTGAAATGAAGTCAGGGACCGTAGGTTATTCCATTTTTGCCATCGTGCAGCGTGGCCATTGGACTCACCTCCACTGTCAATGAGAAGCTCGACCAAGCGTGGGCAGTCCACAATGGCAGCAATGTGTAGAGCCGTCCGACCAAAATTGTCTCCGAGGTTTACGTCTGCACCCTTTTCAATCAGAAACTTTGCCACGTCCAGCTGCTGCCTGCGTGCAACCTTTTTAGTTACAGGAACACGCTCGTATTAAGCAACATCATCATGTAATTTTATCCGGCAGATGTTTAAAACAGTGGCTGTGAACCTATGGGTTTGAGCAGTGGGGGGTGGGGGGGGGGATGCGCAGGCAGGGGCATGGAGGCCGTGCAGGAGAAATCTTGAATGTATGCGGGGAAGGTTAGTGACACGTTGCGGCGAGAAAACACACATAAACACAGCATAATACAAATGCCTTGCAACTAAAAGCATATGCACACACATGATACAAATGCCTAACGGTGCGTTGACTAGAGGCATGGATATGTGATCTCCCCGTGTAAAGTAACCTTAATCCCATTAGTTGTGTTTTTGGGGCTGGAGGGAGTGGAGGAAATGCTTGGACCAGTGGTCTTGAGTTGGGTGGTTGCCATGCCAACGAGGATGAGAACCGCTGGTTTAAAATGTAAACGAGACACAAACATCCGTTGAGCTGCAATTGGTTACCTTGTGCAATGGGCTTTGGCCATACTCGTCCGCACAGTTAATGTTGGCTTCTTGTTCCAGCAGAGCGTTCAGCAAGCCAAAGTTGCCCTGTGTAGAAATTATTGAACACACTGTGTCAGTACCAGCAGCGTTGTAGCTCCACACAATACAAATATTTGTCAGTGTTGCCATATTAAAACTAGTTTTTCAATATTTGTTACACCTAATTAGGGCAAGAGATATGTTTCAGCTTTGGCCAGGTCATCATAAGCATTAGGTACGTAATGGTGCATCGATTAAGGAATTAACCTACATTTATTAAACTCACGGCAACTGCATCAAATCAATGCATGGAATTTTTTTTTTACAATTTCTGAGAATTGCATGCAAATGGTACGCTATGGTAATATTTAGGCCAATGCAGCAAATAAAACTGCACAAGAGAGACTGAACAACAATAAAATAATATGAGATAGTAAAGACAAGACAACAAAGATTTTATTATTGAATCAAATTGCGATTCTGAATCGTGACAATTCACGGAATCGCTGGGTGGGAGTAAATTGTCACGTTACAAATAATCCACTCCAGTCTGAGATTTCACCACTTTTGCGATGGGATTAAGTAGGCCGAGAATCCATGGAAGGGAAAGAGTTGGGGCACAGTGTCGACAGTTACGTGTAAACTATGTATCATTAGTTTGTAAACAATACATTCTGCACAGCTGCAATGCAATTTTTATAAATTGGAACCGTCGCAAGGGTTTGACGCCGTTTTAATATCATCCATCTCACATCAACTGCTGATCTCATGGCTCCATCACCTCCCGCTGTTCCACGCTGTGTTGATCAATAAATGTTACTGCCAGTGTTATATTAATGGAAATAGATTTTTTGGCCATTTTCAGACGTCGATCAATAGCACTTCCGTATGTATTTTGCCCTTGGCATGTAGCTTGATGACAAAATTAATGTAGCGATGCCGACAGGGTAAAGCTGCTCAACATCCTGGTTGACAATACAGTCCTGATTTCAGAAAGGATACCCAGAAGCTTTTGTGAAAATCGGGATTTTATCCTTGGTTTAAACGTTTTGTCTTCACGTATGATTGATACGTGCAAAGGGCAGTGCTATCTGAGCAGCGGTCGTGGTTGGCAGAGGAGTGGGTTTGGCCTATGAGAAGCACGGTAGGTTGGGCCAACATCAGAAAGAGCTCAGTCTCTCACCGTCTGAGAGTGGTTAGCAGGCTGATGGAGGAAGGAGTTGCCAGCTCACTATGTGTCCCGGTTGAGCCTCCCAAAAATGTGGGTAGTTTTATGAAAATGCAACACTTGCAAGCTCCCTCCAATGTCGCCAATACCAACCTCGGAAATCCTCTGTCTTCGTCTGGACTGACAGTCAAAGAGTCGCAGGAAAGTTGCATTCACATCAGCGTCGTTCTCTGTTGTCTCCAAGTAGCTCAGTCCATCATACGGTTCATCGAAAGCATTGTAGAAAGCTGTTTTAAAGCATTTTAAAATAAATAAATAAAATGTTCAGCAACGTTGCACATGCCGTCAACATTGTTGGGCTTATCATACTGCTACTGATTTAATGAAGATGTTTGTTTGCCAATACTGCTTATAATTTGAGAACCGAAATTAGTACAAGGCTGAGCAGTACAACAAATATCCATACAAAAAGGTGAGCTCGATTTTTTGAGAAGGCAACTGTATACATGACTGTATACATGAGAAGAAATAATACAATCCAGCAGGTAAAACAAAACCAAAATGAATTGATTCCTGAACTGTGGCGATTAATCAAATTCTTGAGAAGGGAAAATTGTTACATGCCAGGTGGTGAACACACACAGCAGTCGTCCTGTAAATGAAGACAGATCCACACAACGAGGTCCTCGAGATCTTCAGATCGCCTTCCTCTAAGTACTCCGAGGTAAAGGCTCATTTCCTGGGGTGATCGGGCTTTTGCCAGTTCAGCTCCCACGCTTTGGAACAACGCTTTGCCTTTGCTAATAAGACAATCATAATTGTTCGCTAAATTTAAATCTGTCTTGAAAACTCACCACTTTAAACTGCCCTTTATCAATCGCATAGTTCTGGTCATTCGCCCTGGAGGTTATGTTTATTTCTTGGCTTTTCATACACAATGGCGCATTGGGACCTACGGATGAAATGCACCACTTCACAAATGTACATCAGTTGTATTACTTTGATTACACTTACAGGCAATGGACGAGCTAGAGGAAGCAGCGCTGGTCCTCCGAGTCTCTCCGCTCAACAGCTTCTTCCGGATCTGATCAGATTCTCTTGCAACATTTCCCTCCTGACAAATAAGCAGAGCCCTCTGTGTGCGTGTGTATCCATGCCCCCCCAGCAAAACGGACTAGAACCAGCGATTGCCGTGAAACAGCTATGTCACCATTTGAAAATATATATTTTCGTCTTGTTTACATAATTCTATTCCAATTGTGCTCTCAGCATCCTGCCATGAGACAGTGTCCATTCGGTTTAATGCTTCTAATGGATTCTTACTTTTTAAACATCTTTAAAAAAAATCTAAACACTTTATCAGAGTTCCAAAATTCAGAACTCTGACGAGGTATATTTATAAAGGAACAACTAATCATATATATTATCATGAGTGCGCGTGCATAACAGCCCATGAAAGCGGATTTCACAGAACTACTTCTGAGATATTCTTAGCTCTTGTGGTAAAGTCACGTTGAAGGGAAACAATAAAATAATAAAATATATAACATGTTTTATATATATATTATTGTTTCCCTTCAACGTGACTTTACCGAAAGAGCTAAGAATATGAATTACTGCAGTCACAAAAGCTTTAAATCAAAATTTGCTTCCGAGATCTCTTCAAGGGACATGTTTATTGTCACGAGTGCGGCACAACCCCACACGCCTTGCTTCAGTGATAGGTTTATCACATGGCAGTAAATCCTGGAATTTAGCTTGACCTAGAAGTTAGCCATATTTGTTTTATTTCATCGTAATTTTTTGTGCGGTAGTGGCTAAGCTAGTGCCAATCAACTCGCCGCACCCGAGTCCCCAGTTTAATTATGGGTTGCCAAAATCCAGATTCAAACCAGGGACCAAAGTGGTGCCAGCTCAGCATTCTGACCCTCGAATCACTTGATAATTTCATCCGCTTTGAAAGAAAGGTCACATTTCTATCTAATTACTCAAACGTCATTCACTACAACGGGGCTAACTCTGACCCCTGGACACACGTTAGGCAGCGTGTACACGCTGTCCTGGCTGAGTTACCTACCAGCTCAGTCCTCTAAGCCTTTGGGCAGTGCCCTGCTGTGGCTGCCAGGTATTCAGAGTCCTGGCAGAGTGTGCGTAGGGGAATTCGTCGTGCCTTTGGCTTACGCTTAAACGGTGAGTGGTAAAGGGGAGTTCCTGAAGCTAGGTTGGCATGGACCCCCGAAAAAAAAAAACTGTGGCCAAGAGCATGGAAAGTTCCATCAGTTTGTCAGTTAAAGAAGTACAGTATACGTTACCTCTTCCAAGATGTCTAGCCAGGGTGGAAGAGTAGGCAAAATGCCCTATAGACAGGCTCTCTAGAGATCCCTTGAGTGGAGAGTCTACGGCCAGCAGTGCCATGAGCAAGCCATTGTAGGACTACACCTTTACTTTTTTAACAGTATAAGTCAAATTAAAAATTACCTTTCGATGTAATTGATCAATAAAATTTTGGCATAGATGCATTTCGTACTCAAGCATTTGAATGCCAGTGTGGTAAAACATGGTTAACCAAAGCACCATGACCGCCAGAGCATGAGATGGCCTTCATCCATAAGTAGCTGTCCAAAAGACTCTACATTACTACGATCGTAATAATTGTGTTTAATTTGAATACGTTGAGTAGATTCACATCCTTATTCGTAAGCCGAGGTGTGTATTGGTGATGGATTATAAAATGAAACATTTGCCAGCAAAGTGAATCATAACCACATCTTTATCTCTGGATTGCTTTGGGCCATTTACTCGAGTGGGCAGGCATGAGGAATGCTTTATTAATTTACCTGCATCTCAGTTGGCTCTGACATTGTAATTTCCTCGTGCACTCTCACTCTCTCTCCACGATTGTCCGATTTCAATTGCCGAACCTAGAGGTTAATATAAGTACAGCGGCATACGTTACATGACGTGAGGACAAGCCGTCTTATGGACATGGTGAAGTTGACACTCAACTGTTGTTCACCTGACAATCATCGCTCAACATTCACCACTCACCAGACTCACCACTCACCTAACACAAGTCAAACACGCAACATATACTTAGGCGCTAACACTCACCACTCACATTATGCGGTACATAATTTGTAAATTAAAAACACGTAGCTGAGGCAATACAAATGCTAATTTTACAAAAAGGTAACGTCGTTGCCATGGTGACGTCTCGAGGCAATTACCTTAACTGCCGAGCCAGGAACGAGTTAACTCAACACCAATTAATTAAACGCTTACTTTATGTCATTGGCAACATCAATTAGCAGAGACAACTCCATCATTAAAATAACGAGCAATAATAATGCAAAACGCTTCCCCGTGGCAGCGATTACACTGTAGGTATTCAATGGGTTCGGTTTTTTTGGCACAGGCGTTAGGATGCATGTCATCGTTAGTTAAAACATATATCTATTGATTAGTCGCTATAGTTACGCTTCTACTTTGACACGAGGTTCATCAACCTGTACTGACCAGCTTGGTGAAGTATGGTCAAACAACCCCTACGACGAACGACACCGCATGGGCGACGCGCCTCATCCAGCAGTGTATTTGACAAAAAGAGTGCTTGTCAGTGGTTGTAAAGTTGTGTAATTGTTTCCCTGATGCAGCCACGCTCGTGGCCGTTTCAATCACAGCTCAATTAAACGATTGTATATACTCTGTAATCATCATCGCACGTTATTCACGATACCCGGCAGAATTTAGCTATCGTGTTCCAACCGTGATCGGAGCTCAAATCAAATGACACATTTGAGGGGGAAAATAGCTAAACTACATTTTAAATAAGGCAACTTTAACATTAATGACGGCAGCAGTTACCACACTAAACCGTTACGACGTTTTTAATTTAAAAGTCAAGATTCGCGCCTTCACGTGAGGGGGGCCGCCTGTTCAACCTGGTTGAATAAAGCGGGGGGGGGGGGGGGAAACGTCAGTAATCAGCGGCAAATAATTAACTATAAATTATCCGTTGCTTGGTTAAAGAACATTAAACAAAATAAAATGTCAATTTACTTAAATTGAATAATAATAACGACGGTATTGTGTTACTAAGTTCGCTATCGCTTACAGCCGTCGCCCGTTGCCCTCGATCGCGCGGGCCAAGATGCGCACGTGACCCAATACATTTGCATAACGTGAAATCCCACGTGTTTCTTGCACCTCATTTACATATAATTTGCATACGGGGTTAGAGGGCGTCCTCGTTTAACGCGGCAGATGCGTTCCTGAGTAGTGTGCCGTTGAGCGAACGCGTTAAGCGAAAACAATCCCCCCCCCCCCCCATAATTAATGCAGCGATTCAGCTTGTCGAGACACGATGTACCTGTGCCGTGCTGGTTCACCGCGGATCTCCCTTGCAAACTAACTGCAGGGTAACTGCCTAAAGTTTTACTTTTTCCGTGTAGCAAATTAAACGCTGATTGATATAATTGGTTACACGTCTTGGCGGTTTGCTGTGGCGTGTGAACAGCGAATACAAAGACGGTCGCGCGTGGTGTGTTAGCCACACCAATCACCTACCCATTGAAGAGCCACCTTAATAGGTGCTCGCTAACACATACACTCAGTAGCGGAGCTAGCATCGGTGCAGGGGGTGGCTTGTGCCCCCCTCCCTCTGGTGGCTAAAGCTACGAGTTGGGGTGCCCCTTTACAACCACCACGAGATGTTTTCAACAACAGTGTAAAAGGAACAGAAAGATATGTAACGATGTGATTAAGCAAGAGGAGCAGAAATATATAAGATAGCCTAGGTGCCACCGTGCGAGACAGGAAGGTCCGGATATGTGATAGCAAGTGCATTCTTGCCAGTCCGACGTTTGGAAGGGTTCACCATGCAGAAGTAGCGGTTGCTTGAGTGGTCAGTGGGTTCCTGCCCAAATTCTTGAGATAGCGAACTTCATGGCTCTCTTTTCCCCTCTGATATCATCCTACAAAAATACATTTATTTCAACCCATGACTAACGTGTAAGAGATTCTCGCAACATTTTTCACGTATGATATATTTTTTTACAATAACATTGAAAAGTGTAAAACATTTTAAAATGTAAAACTTAAAAACATTTTTTTTTTTACAAATTGTATCACCTAACATTCCGAGCGACAATTGTCCATTATACCCTCGAGTATTTTTTGCATTGCTCGCCCGTGAAATGAGGTGCCCAGGGTTTGTCTTGATCCCTGACAGGCATGCCGAAATATGCCTTGTAGGCCTCACACATCTTAGCAGATGCTTCCATAGAGAACTTTTTCGCTATTGTCTTGATAAATTGGCCGAAGACATAGCAAAATGCGTCTGCCGGATGCTTGCAGCCTCTTGTTGCCATCTCAGAAAAATGCAGATATGTATCCACTTAGGCAGCTGAAACTAAACTGAACTGGTGGGCTTAAGGCCCCTGTATTTATACTACTATTTATATTACTAGAATGTTCTAGAAGTTAATCCATTTTTACTCAGCACTGAATCTATCTGGAATGTTCTAGAAAATAGGTACATTTCAAAATATCACCATGCTGGTCACAAAAGCAAAGTTTGTAGGGAATAATAGCCATTTTCTGTACTTTTAAGGTATAAGCAATTAGGAAATAACACTTACTACCCAGGAACAAAAAAATGTGTTACACAGTGTAATGCAGTTAGTTACTACACCACTGATAATGTAGTTAGTTACTACACCACTGATAATGTAGTTAGTTACTACACCACTGAAAATGTAGTTAGTTACTACACCACTGATAATGTAGTTAGTTACTGCACCACTGATAATGTAGTTAGTTACTACACCATTGATAATGTAGTTAGTTACTGCACCACTGAAAATGTAGTTAGTTACTACACTGATAATGTAGTTAGTTACTACACCACTGATAATGTAGTTAGTTACTGCACCACTGAAAATGTAGTTAGTTACTACACCATTGATAATGTAGTTAGTTACTACACTGATAATGTAGTTACTACACCACTGAACATGTAGTTAGTTACTACACCACTGATAATGTAGTTAGTTACTACACTGATAATGTAGTTAGTTACTACACCACTGAAAATTTAGTTAGTTACTACACCACTGAAAATGTAGTTAGTTACTACACCATTGATAATGCAGTTAGTTACTGCACCACTGATAATGTAGTTAGTCACTACACTGATAATGTAGTTAACTATTACACCGCTGACAATGTAGTTAGTTACTACGCCACTGAACACTCCCGTGGTGGGGTGGGGGACGTTGTTCGTCTTGGAGACGCGGGGGAACAATGCGCGCCCTCGCTTCTCGAGGCCTCGCAATTGGCGAAAGCGATCATCGGCGACGCTTGAAAAGTTTATGAAAGGCGACGTCATCTATTGTGGCAACGGACGGCGGCAACGAGGAAGGGCGTCCGTGCGATCCCGAGAATGCAACCGAGCGACGGGAGGTGGTAGAGGGAACGAGGATGCGAATTGCTCTCCTTCTTGACGAGTTCAAACGCAGAGCGAACGCAGCGGGCGAATCGCCCGGCTGGACGAGTGCAAGTGTAAGGTTTAGAGTTGACCGTGGCAGGCGCGAAGATCGGACGTCTAGCTCCGTGTGCGTGTTTCTGCGTCTTTTTATGTGGCTGTGTACGCGTGCGTGCGTTATTCTGCCTTGTTGCGCGCGTGCTTACGTGTTTCTGTGTGCGTCGCTGTGTGTGTCTGTGCTTGTGTGTGTGTGTGCTTTTGTGTCTCTGTGTATGTATCTGTGCCTGACTCTGTATCTCTCTGTCTCTATGAGTTATGTATTTGAATTGTCTCTGTATGTTGGAATGGATGTGTGTACCGTATGTGTGTCTTTGTATGTCTGTGTGAGTTTATCTGCGTGTCTTTGCGTGCCTTTTGTGGTTTTGACTGGCTATGTGCGTCCGTGCATGACTCTTATGTGTGTCTCCGTATGTGTCTCCTTGTCTCGATGGGTGCGCATCTGCGTGGCTTTGTGTGTCACTTTGTGAATCATTTGTGTCTGTGTGTCTGTGCCTCCGCGTGTCCGTGTACAATAATGGAACGTTGCAAGTTGGATTCACATAGCGTCCAAACGCGACCGAATCTAAAGCTGCTGTGCAGAAACAAGTATCCTTGTGTATTGTATAGAGAAGACGGACAGTCAAAATTAAGTTTGTGAGCCTGGACTTGAACAGGGCCATGGCGTCGACAGCACGAACGGTGGGGGAAAAGTGAGTTCCCGACGAGGACCCATATCTTAAAGAGAGAGAGAGAGAGTCCTTACCTGTAACATCTGGAATTTCGCCAGCATTGGTTCAAGCAAGCCTGACTCTGCGGATGAAGACAGTGAACGTCAAAGCGGTCCCGAGTTTGCTTGCGTTGAACCAATGCTGCTTAAACTATCCGCTGGCACAAAATCATGTGGCTGATGTGATGTGTAAAATAAAATACTGCACTTTTTACATGAAGGTACAGATATATAACAGAGGTCAATTGTCTGATTAATTATTCCAGTCTGTGAGAGCAGCAGAGGAGAATGAACTATCTTTTTTTTCTATGAGTAAGTATACCTGCGCATCTGTGTGTGTGTGTTTGTGTAGCACGTACTTTGTCTGCCGGACTAGGACACCGCCGATGCCTGCCTAGGTCCTTCGCTGGCTACATTTCTCAGACATGGGCTGCGGGTCATCAAGGAAGGCATTGGTGGGGCCCGGGGATGAGCAAAACGTGGCATGGAACGACAAGCGAAGGGTACGCGATGTATCCAGCCAAGAGCACCGCGAGCTGGCTGCACATTCTGCGCTTCGTGGGACGTTCCGGAAAGTAAGACGCGCCCCAAATGTGTTGTCTGGCGTCAAGTTATGCAAACCTGGTCACACACAAAGACAAAGATCCCCCCCCCCCCCCGCCGCTCCGTGTTGCCTCTAACAGACTTTTGGGGGGCAAGTGCTCTTGGCGAGTAAGCATCTATGAGGACCGGCACGGCGCACGAGGGGGGGGGGTTGGGTGGCCAGCACCATTATGACGCATCAGTGACAGCATTATGATTCTGTGTTTATGTATGACTTCACTCCAACACCCATCTATCGGATTATAAGACGCAACTCCCAAATACAAGGAGGGGGGAGGGGGGACGGTGGGGGATGCGTCCTACGGCAGTTCCGGAGAATACGGGAAGTGGGTGCGAATCTTTACTTCTGCAATGTTTACGACCAAATCAACCCACGATGTCTCCGTCGAACATAAGGCGCTCCATGGCTATAACATAAGATGAGACGTGTGTACGATCTCGGAGTCAATGTGTGATCATTGTCATTCTTAAAAAAACGCCTCTGTGTCGTGCATGTGCTCCACGATCCAGAGCCGATATGGGTACCACGGCAGGTCGCATAATTGAGCGCTGCCGCTCAGTTCAAGTGGTTATCCCGTAATTCACCGGTGCTGGTTATAATTACAAACCACGAGAGCAGTGTTCGTCACTCAGTGTATTTTCCTTTCTTGTTCCATTAAAAACGACAGTCCCATGTAAGCGTTAACATTTTTTTGAGGCACCCTCTACAGCGCAGTGTCTGGTCTGGACTCGGCGACTCCGGTAACGTGCGTCCCTGTGTCGCCGCGGGTTCGAGGTGCGCGAGTCCAAGGCGCAGGATGAGGATCGCGGAGCATCGGCCACGTCCGCGCACTCGGCCGTGACGGTGGACAGCGGCCTGGGCTGCGATGACAGAAGACCCCCCGGGGAAGCTTGCAGTACGTAGCCCACCGCGCCACGGTGGCGAGACGTTAACTACCTCGCATGGCAGTGCAGGAGGTCGTGGGTTTAGATCGTGACCCCTGATGCCTGCTGCGTATTTGGATCTCGACTTAAAGCTTCCGTGACTGCAGGAATTAATATTCTTTGGGTCTTTCTCGTAAAGTCACGTAGATAGGTTCAAAGAAAATAACAAAAACCACGACGTGTCGATCGAAACACACAAGCGTTTAAAATGTGCGTAGCCAAAATGTCAGCAGCATGGGCGGGGCAGCAAATGTTAATGTAAGTGATGGGCAGCGATCACGAAGGTGGTGGGTTTCCACCAATTAAAGGGCTACCAGGTAAAAATTAGCATGTTAATATAAGATCGGTGAGCGGCCTCCACGACGAGTGTGCTGAGGTGGCTATGTTAACGTGAGAGATTAGCATGTTCATGCGAGGGATTAGCGTGTTAATGTGAGAGATTAGCATGTTAATGTGAGAGATTAGCATGTTAATGTGAGAGATTAGCATGTTAATGTAAGATCGGTGAGCGGCCTCCACGACAAGCGTGCTGAGGTGGCTATGTTAATGTGAGAGATTAGCGTGTTCATGTAAGATTGTTGAGCGGCCTCCACCTCGAGGTCGGCGCGCGAAGGTGGCTATGTTAGTGTGAGAAATTTAACCTGTTAATATAAAATCGGAGAGTCGAAAATAATAACTACGATCGGAAGGAAGGCAGGATGGGACCATCACAGCCAGTTATGACTTAAACTGGTTGATAACGTCCTTCCAATGATTGCTAAGTTTGTACCCATCTTCTTTTTACCTGGTAGCCCTTTAATTGGTGGAAACCCACCACCTTCCCAGTCGCTTCCCATCACTCACATTAACATTAGCTGCCCCGCCTATGCTGCTGACATTTGGGCTACGCCCATTTTAAACCTTTATAAACAGTTTGCCTTTAGCAGCTAACCCCAATTTCCTGATGACGACCGCTTGTGTTGCGATCGAAACGTCGTAGTTTTTTGTTATTTTCATGGAACCTATCTATGTAACTTTACCGAAAGACCCAAATAATATGTGTATTTGGAGTTTACATGTTCTCTGTCCCTCTTCTCCCATGGAAGCGTGGAGTTTTTTTTTCCTCAAAGTCCTCCGGTTTTTCCCCTCCACATTTAGAATCATCACGTGTTTATAGTATGTGGCTGCTATAAATTTCCACGTGATAAGCCACTTCGTTGAGCTATAAATTGTGGCCAGGTCGCTTCTGAAAAATAGCTACATAGCTCAGTGGGCCTTACATCTTAAAATAAAATAAAATACGTTTTTAGTCTTTATAATAATATGTATTTTTTTTATTCTGCTTGTTTGCCTCATTAAGTCTCGTATCTCTCGTTCAAAAGGTGTCCTGCCACGTGTCCCTTAGTAGGGGCCGATGCTTGCCACGTGTAGTCCCGATTGTACAGTGCGAAGAAGCTCAACATACATATGGGCATGTAGTTATTTGCGGTGTAAAACGTTCAATTTTTGAAAAAAAATTATCGTGACGCCAGCGAACATGACGGCTTCAATTGGTTATCAGATAATGATTCACTGTTGTCAGCCACAGAAAGAAATTGGAACCGCTAAAGCTACGCCACCTCCCCAGATACTGATAAGAGAAACCTCTGCTCTGAGCTCATGGACAAACTGGGATCAGGCTATCCATACTAAGGGTTTTTTTGGGGGTTAGATCGTATAAATATAAATGTGTCGTTAAACCCGCTACCACCCGACACAGCCAATTAGTACACCTGTGTGTTGGAGAGTAAACCCACAACATTTCCAATTCGAGTACGGAGTTTCGCCAGGATCAGGTTGTCATGCCCGGCACTAAAAGATACGCGTCCGGGGGCAATGTTTGTAATAAGGACTAACCCCGCATCGTATTTTACAACATAGTTACAGCGCCAAATTGTTACCATCGATTTCACAGCTAAGGTTATTGCAGGGTCACAAGAGACCTCCAATTCACGCACCTCCATCCCCCCCCCTCTCTCTGCCCCCACCCTCCCACCATCCCAGCTGAGAGTTCAGTCCAAGGAGAGACAGCACCATGGGGTGGGATGGGGAATGATCGACAACAAATATCTCTCATCTCTCTCTACTCCCCTCCACGCACTCTCCTGCCTCTCCCCTCTCATCTCACTCCACTCCCCTCCACGCACTCTCCTGCCTCTCCCCTCTCATCTCACTCTACTCCCCTCCACGCACTCTCCTACCTCTCCCCTCTCATCTCACTCTACTCCCTTCCACGCTCTCCCCTACCTCTCCCCTCTCATCTCACTCCACTCCCCTCCACGCACTCTCCTACCTCTCCCCTCTCATCTCACTCTACTCCCCTCCACGCACTCTCCTACCTCCCCCTCTCATCTCACTCTACTCCCCTCCACGCACTCTCCTACCTCCCCCCTCTCATCTCACTCTACTCCCCTCCACGCACTCTCCTACCTCTCCCCTCTCATCTCACTCCACTCCCCTCCACGCACTCTCCTACCTCTCCCCTCTCATCTCACTCCACTCCCCTCCACGCACTCTCCTACCTCTCCCCTCTCATCTCACTCTACTCCCCTCCACGCACTCCCCTACCTCTCCCCTCTCATCTCACTCTACTCCCCTCCACGCACTCTCCTACCTCTCCCCTCTCATCTCACTCTACTCCCCTCCACGCACTCTCCTACCTCTCCCCTCTCATCTCACTCTACTCCCCTCCACGCACTCTCCTACCTCTCATCTCACTCTCTTTCCCTGATGCGATGCAACTATTTATTCGATCACATCGACAGATATATTTAAGACCCACGAGGGTGCACATTGTATTGCTATTGCAAAGTGTGTGCATGGCATATCAATTAAAACGTATTTGTTTTAATAATTATCAGAGCTGGGATTTAGTAACACTCAACGTTTTTTTTCTTTGGTGTATCCATTGGTAACCTACCTGAGACCATTATTAGCTCAGTACACTCGATAAACTAATTTAATAGCGGGTGGCTGAAACCCGGATTCGAACCCAGACATTCGACGATCCTGGCTTCGGGTTCTGACCTTTCCTTGAACCATAAGCTACTCGGCCACCACCTCCTACAGAACCAAATGAATATTGGATTCAATTAAATAAAAAAAACATTGGATACGGACACCCTCATGGGCTCAGGTATACATTATCCGTCACCACCAGAGATGATGGTGGTGATGTCATCCCTCCCACCCAAGTGCGTGACAATGACCTCAATGAACAGTTATGAGATCAATGAAAGTGATGTCACACCTTGGCCCCCCTCCCCCCATCATTCTCGTCCCCCCCCCGCCCCCGCACATCCCAGGGCGTCCACTCGATGGGCCGATTCCCGGGACGATGCCCCGTGCAGATGCCAACGACATCCTGGAGGAGCTGAGGGCCCAGGGTCTCATCCAGAGCACCCCCCGCGTGGTGCGGGGAGGCCAGGCCTTTGACGTCATGGTGAGGGCTGACACTCCGTTCGCGAGGTCGTCACGTTACTGGCTCCCGGGGTCTTAGGAGATTGTATTATGTATTATTACGTGTTGTTATCGTCTGCTAGTCATGCTGAGCCTGGCGACAGTCGCTTCAGCCAGCAGTGTGGGGGGAGGGTCCTGAGACACGGTCTGTCGACGAGCACGTCCACACAGCGGGTCGTCGTGTGGAGGGTGACTGCACGCGGACCCCGGCCTGTACGCAATCTGTTAGGACAAATAGGGGTGATGACTATGACGACGACGATGATGCTGTCCAGAATGATGACGATACTACAGCTGCTGCTGATAATGATGATACTGCAGCTGCTGTTCCTTCTACTGCTGATGTTGACGATACTGCAGCTGCTGTTGATGCAAACGATATTGCAGCTATTGATGCTGCTTCTGCCGACAATGATGACACTGCAGCTGCTTTTGCTGCTACTGCAGGTGATGATACTGTAGCTGTTGCTGATGATGATACTGCAGCTACTGCTGCTGATGATGATGACGATGATGATACACTCAATGGCAATGTGAAAATCACGGTGATGATCCTGACGATGATGACGACGATGACTGTTTGCCCTCCCCGCACACAACCGATGGAGGTGCCGGACGCGCCTTCGGGCCGTCCTCCCGCCCGACTCGAGAGGCTCATCCTGAGCGTGGGCAGCACGCGGGGCAACGCGGGCGACGGGAGAGGGGCAGCAGCGGCAGCGGCGGCGGCAACAGCGGAGGAGGCTGCGGCGGCGAGGCGCGCGGAGGCGCTGAGCGAGAGGCGGGAGCGACAGCTGCGGCGAGAGGAGCGCGCGGGCCGCGTGCGGAGATCCAGGGCGGTGGCGATCGAGATCCAGCACGAGCAGCACGCGCAGGAGGAGCAGGAGGGATGAGTGATTGATGGTCGTGGTGGTTATGGTGATGATACTGCGAGTTAACTTGTGCTGCCTTAGAATGATGATGATGATGATGTCATATACTGGCTGACACTTTACCAAAGTGATTGATGATGATGATACTGCAAGTGAACTTGTGCTGTCTTAGAATGATGATGATGATGATGACGTCATATACTGGCTGACACTTTGCCAAAGTGATTGATGATGATACTGCAAGTGAACTTGCGCTGTCTTAGAATGATGATGATTTGATATACTGGCTGACACTTTACCAAACTAATTGATGGTGATGCTGATAATGGCGATGTTGTCATGCATTCACCGATACTTTATAAGTGTGGTTGAGTAAGATTATAATTACGACGATTATTGTGATGTCAGATACTAATCCACACTTTACAAGTGTGATGAATATCATCATGGTGACGGCTATGATGGCGATGATGATGTAGTCCACTGGTTAACACTTTACAAGTGCAATCGTTGACGATGATGATGATGATGATGTAAAAGGAGAGAGCGGGAATGGAAGCGGGGCCTCATCGCCACTGAGGGGGAGACAAAGGCGGTCGGGCGTGGTGCTGGCCACAGACCCCCTTGCGTACCGTGCCGGACTTCATAGCTGCTCGCGAGCAGCGCGGCTCTATGCCCCAATAGCCGATGAGAGCGAGAGAGGTTCCGAACCTTCTGTTGTCATGTACCATAATGTATGCCGATGAACACGGTAATAAAACGTGTAATTATGTTAATTGATATTGTTCAAGGTGGGAGCCGTGGCGCATTGGTTAGCGCAGTGCGCTGTGAATCCAGCGGCTTCCAGTTCGATTCCAGGCCACGGCGAACATTAGATGCGAGTGATACCCGATCCTGTTTTGCCTCCCCATCTCCCCTTCACCAACTTGAACCGACTTGCGTGGTGAAGTATGGTCAACCCCCCCCCCCCCAACGAACGACACGAAGTGTGGATGCTACCTTCACGCAGCCGTGGATCGGTGCATTGACATGCAGTAACTTTTATTCTTTAAAATTGTGCACTTTTTTACCACGTGGTATCCCCGATGTAATGTAATATTTAACTTTTTTAAAAACCAGGAGCTAGTGTTTTTACACAGTCTACTAACAGTTATTTCATCATTCCGGGGTCGATCAAGTGCGTACCGCTTTGTGGCGAGTCATTAGCTGTCATCTTCTGGGCATATTGGGCCTGCGAAGGGGCGATTTCCACCACTACCCAGGGCGCTACCCCATTGCTCGTGTGAGCAGGAATACTCGTTTGACTTGGTTGTCAACAATAAAACCTTTGCTGGAGATGTGTCCCAGACTGTCTGTGTTCAATAGCGGTCCACAGTTCGTGTATAATATTTGTGCTTGTTAGGGGCAAGTGCTGTTAGCAAGCACCTATAAAGGCCAGGACGGCAAAACGGCGGGGTGGGTGGCCAGCACCACGCCCGACCGCCTTTGCCTCCCTAGCTGGCGATGTTTACACAACGCAACCAGCTACTCATTTGAGGCTGAGTCGACCTAGGAGAGGCCCAGGACCGGTGCAGATAATCGTCATCGGTGTTGTTAGCCGTAAGCGGGAACCGAACCCGAGCCGCCGTGGCACCACCACCACCACCACCTCCACCAACCAGCCAGCCAGCAGCAGCAGGAGCACAGGTCCTGCTCCTGCTGCTGCATTATTCACGAGAGACGGCTGAGCGAACCCGACTCTGGAGCGACGCACAATGAGAGCGGCCACCGGATCGCCTCTGCCCGCCCGCCTTCTCGCAGCAGCTGTAACCCCACGGGCGCGCCAGAGAGATCACCTCCTCCTCCGCCGCACACGGGGAGGGGTAGAGGGGCGACCCACGGTATCATCATTATTCTCAAAATTGTCCCATTTGGCAGATGCTGCGCGCGTGCGTGTGTCAGAAGGAATGTGTGTGTCAGAGGTGGTGTGTGTGTGTCATTGTCTTTACATCTGCCAGTCATCTCAGTCAACCCATGGCACGTGGGTCCTCGCTACTAGGGAGGCAAAGGCGGCCGGAGGTGGTGCTGGCCACCGACCCCCCTCGTGTGTCATGCCTGCCTTCATAGGTGCTCGCGAACAACACTTTCCACGAAAGTATGTTAAGGCTATATGGGGAATCTTTGGCTTTGTGTGTCAGACAGAGGTAGTGTGTGCGTCAGAGAGAGTGTGTGTTACAGGTGGTGCATCTGCCAGTCATCTCAGCCAACCCATGGCACCTGGGTCCTCCTAGTAGCGAGCCTTCCATACTTAACGCGGCCTAAAAGTGCACATAGCCTGGCACAAGCGCCGTGGTGACATCAACGCCAGTTAGTGGCGAATGGCGGTTGTTGTTGTAGATCGCTAAAGGCACTTGCCCGAAAAGTATGTCAAGGGTATACGGGGGATCTTTGCCTTTGTGTCAGAGGGCAGTGATAGTGTAGCGGTCAGCCAGATGCGCTACGAACCCGGCGTTCCGAGTTCGATTCTCGCTCACGGCCAACATCAGTGACGATTATCAGAACAGGTACTGTGTCTCCCTCTAGCTCGACTCAGCCTCAAATGAGTACCTGGTGCGGTGTGTAAACATCGCCAATGGGGAGACAAAGGCGGCCGGGCGCGGTGCTGGCCACCCACCCACTCGTGTGCAGTAAAACCGGCCTTCATAAGTGCTACTCGCGAACAGCACTTGCCCGAACCGTCTGTTTGAGGCTTTACGGGGGATATTTGTCTTTGTGTGGTTGTGCTCGTGGGGAAATTGCCAGTGTGGGGAGCGGTGGCGCAGTGGTGAGAGCACAGCTCCACGAAGCCGACGGCCCTGGTTCGGTTCGCGCTCACGGGCAACACCAGTGACTTTGCCTCTAATGAATACCTGTGGCGATGTGTGAAACATGGTCACTAGGGAGACAAAGGCGGCCGGGGAGTAGTGCCGGCGACCCACCCCCTCGTGTGCCATCTCAGCCTTCAGAGGTGCCATTTGCTAACAACACTTGCCCCAACAGTCTGTTGAGGCTATACGGGGGATATTTGTATGCGTCTGTATCACTGTATCTGCGTCTGGGGCTGTGTCACTGTGTCTCTATGTGTCTTGTGTCACTGTGTCTGCATGCGCCTGTGTCACTGTGTCTGTATGCGTCTGTGTCACTGTGTCTGTATGCGGCGTCTGTGTCTCTGTATCTGACTGTGTCTGTGTCATTGTGTCTGCATGCGTCTGTGTCACTGTGTCTGTATCACTGTGTCTGACTGTGTCTGTGTCTCTGTGTCTGTGTGTGTGTCTGTGTCACTGTGTCTGACTGTGTCTGTGTCACTGTGTCTGTATGCGTCTGTGTGACTGTGTCTGTATGCGTCTGTGTCACTGTGTCTGTATGCGTCTGTGTCACTGTGTCTGCATGCGTATGTGTCATTGTGTCTGCATGCGTCTGTGTCACTGCATCTGTATGTGTCTGTGTGTGTCTGTGTCACTGTGTCACTGTGTGTGTCTGTGTCACTGTGTCACTGTGTCTGTATGCGTCTGTGTGTGTCTGTGTCACTGTGTCTGTGTGTCTGTATCACTGTGTCTGCATGCCTCTGTGTCACTGTGTCTGTATGCGGCGTATGTGTCACTCTCTGCATGTACTGCAAACATTCGTTGAATCTCCCCCCTCCCCCTTCAAGCCCCCACCCACCACTCTCACCCCCCTCCAGCCCCCGCCGGGTTTAATTTCTAATCCATAATGCAGAGACTCGCCGGCCCATTCTCGTCTCCCTTACCGTGCACACGGAAAGAGGAGCCCCTAGCTCCGAGATGCATCCCCCAGCCCTCAATTCATCTCCCTAATTAAAGGGATGCATTATTAATGGTCGCTTGAAAGTGACGCACGCATTTGCCTGGCGAGGATTATTATATTTATTATTATTATTCAGAGCCACTGACTTATCTCCTGTTCCTCCTCCCGCAGTAGTAATGTGCAGGGCGTCGTTATATCAGACCGCGGGTCTGTCCGGGTCAGTGACCCGGACAGAATGTCGCGACGCCCGGCACACAACATTCAGTATCCCACCCGCCGTGGGAGGGTTTTTTGGCGACTTATTACGTGCCACATACTCCAGTGTGCCCAGCGACCGCAAAGATTAGTATTTGACAAGAAAAATAACTCAACAATACGTTCGTCAACAAATATCAAATAACACGTCAATACGTCAATCAATGAAAACAGAGAAACCAACAAAGAAACAATAATTCGAAATAAAATTCAGTGAGACGTGAAGGCCTTGCCTATGCCACCTCCCGGCGATTTGTACCAGTGCCTGAGCGGCACACATTCACACCCATCATCAACATCATCACTACACTCATCATCACCACAGTCATCATCATCATCACCACAGTCATCATCATCACCACCGCCACAGTCATCATCACCAAAATCATCATCACCACAGTCATCATCATCAACATCATCACCACAATCATCATCATCACCAGAGTCATCATCACAGTCATCATTATAACACTCATCATCATCACACTCACCAGCACCACAGTCATTATCATCATCACAACACCCATCATCACCACAGTCATCATCATCATCACCACAGTCATCATCATCATCACCACAGTAATCATCACCACAATCATCATCAGCACCAGAGTCATCATCACAGTCATCATTATAACATTCATCATCATCACACTCACCATCACCACATCCATCATCACCACAGTCATCAGCACTACACTGATCATAACCACAGTCATCATAACAGTCATCATCAGCTTTATTAAGCGTAAAACTGCATCAATCACCCTTCGTCATCGTCGTCGTGATGATCATAGTCATTAGTCTGAGGCAGAATGTCATCTCATCATCATTACGATGGCCGAGGTATGGCAATTTCATCATAAGTTATTTTTTTTATAAGACCGCACATTTTGCTCTGGATAGGCCTAAGACATTCAATTGATGTCATCATCATCATCACCGGGCCAGAGGTATGACGATATCATTGTAATGGCTGGCATATCACGATATCAGCGAAGTCATGATGCTGATCATTATCATGACCATTTTATTCGGAGAGAGAATAAATAAACGATCATCGTCATCATCATCAGCAGCAGTGCTGTGACGAAGAGACCCCCAATTGGCATACAAGCATCATGAGCGTCGTCGTGTGAATATAGGTAACAAGATGAATAGACTGTTTACCTCCTTGCCATATCTGACCCTCCACACAAGTTGTTTTGTTTACACATCCCATCAGCCGCACGGCCTTCAGGAAGTGTATCATTTAATCCGCGTTGGTTCGTCGCCGGCAAAACAATTTGAACCGGTGTCGACATTTCAGCGTCTCATCAGCAGTGTCAGGCTTGCTTGATTAAATTTACTGACATCATCATCGTCATCAATGTACTGGCACCATCATCTTGCGTGAAGCAGTACATAATTATTAGAATCATCATTATCATCGTCATCCCTGAAAACGCTTTATACAATACACATGCTTGAAGATGGCCCCGTATTGGCAGACACGTGTATTATTCATGTGCTATTGTCGCGCGCAGAACAGCTTTGCTCCCAACGCCATGTGGAGAGGAGGCTGTATTTACACGTTTTAAAGCCAAGTCCGCCTTTGGTGGCTTTTTCCTGGCATTATCAAGTGATTCTTTTTTTTAGATCACCAAACAAAGTCGTGTTGCCTTTGCAGATACATAATTCATGAAGGGCATCTGAGCGAAATAAAAACAATTGGCAGTAACTAATTAACAAATGACCCGCGGAATGCGTCCTATCCGATCAGGTCTCGGAAGCTAAGCAGGTGATGAGCCTGGATAGTGCTTGGATGGGCGAACACCTTAGCAAGAAGACGTTGCCAAAGATGAGCGGGCAGTAGCGAAGTGGTACAATACCAGGGGTTGTTGTACCGCACTTGTGTGCTACCCGCGTCTGTGCTCTACCGCCTTCACCAAGTCACAGTGATCAATACGCATGATCCATTGCTCCACCACGCCGTGTCGGTTGTAGGGGAGGCGAGGGGGTGCGGTGTTCGGCCATACTTCCCCACGCTGGTCAGTGCATGTTGGTTAACAAAAACAACTGGAACGTTTCGTTGGGAGGTTAATGACCGGTTACAACATCACTCGCAGACACTGAAGCGTTATCCGTGGCCGGGATTTTGAGCTCAGCCCGCCGGGTTCCATCACGCAGCGTGCAAACCACTGCGCCACCGCTCACCGCTGAAGGGGGGGGGGGGGTGGGGGGAGACGCGCGCGTGGCCCTTGCTCGCAGGTGCCCCCGAGACCCGCGTCTGCATCACGCGCCGACGGCCCCCGCCAGGAAGACAACGGGGCCCATTGTTCCCACCCAAAGCGCGTCGCCCCCCCACGTGGCGCTCCCGCACCACCTCGCGCGGACGCGATTCGTATTCGGTGCGAACGCGCGGTTCGGCTCACCCATTGGCCGCCTCCCCGAGTGTCCGTGACACACCGCGGCGGGGCATCACCACCACCACCACCCACCACCCCCACCACCCACCACCCCCACCACCACCACCACCCCTTGTCCCCGCCCCTCTCAGTGACTCGTCCAGGTGAAGTGAGGGAGGGCGCAGCATTTGGCGGCTCTACAGGTGAGTGACGCTCTCGGTTGTCATGGGCGTTCGCGGAGTGGCACGCGAGACGCCGGCGTGCGTGAACCCGTGAGCTCCGCGACTTCGGCCACCCCCCCCCCCCGCTCAGCGCGAGCAGTTTGCTTACCCGGTGCGGTCGCCTGGTTACAAAATTGCACCATCCGAGTAACAAGCAACAGCAGACCCCTCTTCCCAGACTAAGAAATTGTGCTTCCCCCCCCACACCTCTTACCGACAGGCCGTACAGGTTGCGCGCTGTGCCGCCGGTGTGATGCATGGTACCAGGGGGATTCTCAGTGACTGAGTTCATAGTCGTTGAAGTGGCGTGGTTTCGTGGGGATGCGCGTCGGGGCATCATAGGTGCAAGAGGGCTGTGCGTGCAGGTGTTGGTGTGGGGAGTAGCGGCCGCTAGTGGCTGGCCAGGTGGACCACCTCTCCCCCACCTCCCGGGTAGGAGGGGAAGAGCAGGAGAAGAAAGAGGAGGAGGAGGTGGTGGTGGTGAGGGTCTCCGCCATGCAGCCAGACACCACGTACACCAAGATCTTCGTCGGGGGCCTGCCCTACCACACCACGGACGCGTCCCTGCGCAAGTTCTTCGAGGCGTTCGGAGAAATCGACGAGGCCGTGGTGATCACGGACCGGCAGACGGGCAAGTCGAGAGGATATGGATTCGTAAGTGTCGGCGCGTGCACGCCCGTTTGTGTGTCGTCATCATCATCATCACCACCACCAGCATCATCATCACCACCACCAGCATCATCAGCACAATACAATTAATTTCCCAACTGAATATTCGCGAGGTAGAGTGGAGTGGCTGGCACGTGACGTACACGTAAGCACAGCCACAGCGAGGGTTATACTGGACGTGGTGTACCGAGTACAGATACACAATTTACGGATCGCCGACTCGGATAGACACGGCTGAAGTTAAGTCATTGCGTGACATTTTAACGCTCCTAAGAACCTCTCGTGAAAGTAGTCTTTTGGTGATACTTCCATCCACCCAATTCCCCTCCGTATTCGCAGCACAATGCTCGCAAACGACGAGGTGACGAAGTCAGCTGGTCTGCAGGCGCCAGATTGGATCGTTACAACGATCGTGAGATGTGGCGGCGGCGGCGGCTTGGCGAGGTCTATCATCCAGCAGTGGATTGATCACGGCTGATTTCACATTGGACTTTGTAGAAGTGTATGCATATGTACATCTGTGCTGCAGCCCTAAGAACTTTGTATGAAGAGTGCTAGCTAAGGTAAGAGGATGGCGAAGACTCGGGGGGGGGTGGGGCAAGTAGGTGTTTGTCTTATCACGTGAGTGGGGAGCGGTGGCGCAGTGGTTAGCGTACCAAGCTACGAAATCCGGCCTCTTGAGCTCAAATCCGGCTTGCGATGTTACTCACATTACTGAGTGACATTAGTGAGTGACACATAGGTGAGTGACATCGCAACCTGTCACTGGCCTCCCCTAGGTCGACTCAGCCTTACCATTGTAAACGTCAGCGCCGGGGAGACAAAGGCGCTCGTGCGCCCTTGTTCGGTCTTCGTAGGTGCCCGCAAAGAGCACTCACCGCAGCGGTCTGCATGATGGCTACACGGTGAGGTCGTTGTGTTTGTGCAACGTGAGACTTCGCCCCATACGCGTGCGGCGTGCGGCGTGACAGCGTGCGCTGCAGAAGTTGTGGCTTGCATTGAGCGGTGAATGATTGCGTTGACAAGCCCGGCAAAGCCCGTCCGTTAAGGGAGCCTCCCTTGCGCGCGGGGCCACAGGCACCCGTGGATTCGGTCGCGTTCCGATCACAAGTCGCGGTGAGATTCCCGGTCGTGCACTCGCGGCCGTGGCGGTCTCAACAATAAATGCCCACGCCGGAACTCGAGAAGCTAGCGGTGAACCACCGTGTGATATGGAACGGCACCGGAAGAGGGCGTCGCGGCACTGTTTCCGAAGTCACATCGATTATACGTGGGGGGAGGGGGGGGGCGGTGTGTCGGTGGCTGCGCGCGTGGCTTGCTGTAATCCAGCACTGTGCAGGCAGCAGCGAGGGTTGGTGGATCACCGCAGAGATGGTGTGAAACTCCGTTCTCGTGGGCGTCGAGGTGCCGCATACCCTTGCTCGCCAGGAGAATGCGCTACAGCAAAGTGGGGAATGATCTCCATCTGTCCCATCTGCATCAGATACGAGCGTTGCCCCGCTCGGCTGCTCGGGCGTCTTCCTCACGTGGAAAAAAAACCACGGAGTCCCTTGGCCTTGGAGGTAGAAATCTGGCGCCAGCTCACCGCGTTGTTTGCCGCCTTCGCGCTCGTACATGGTTTGACCTCTGGATGCCCCCAGGACCGGTTTCAGTCATCACCCGCCACGCTTGTTCGTCATGGTCGTGAGTCTAAGGGGGCCGTCTATAAATGACGTCACGCACCTAGGGGGGGGGGGTCAGACATTTTTGACGATGTGTGACGAGGTGGGGGGGGAGTTTGAGAAATGTGACGTCACATCAAAATGCGCAACTTTAAATAAATATAGACAACACGTTCTACTTAATTAATTTGACTTTTTAATAAATGTTTTCTCCTACAACATCAGAGTGCAGCGCCACATTAAATACGCACTACAATGGCAATAGTTTAAAGCGATGTGAAGCATGTTTGATTATATTTGGGGGGGGGGGGCAGAGCTTTGTGATGTCATATTTGAGGGGGGTCTGACTTTTTGTGACGCCGTGTGATGAGGGGGGAGGGGGTCAAAAATCGTCCAAAATCGCGTGACGTCATTTATGGTCGGCCCCTAACCTACACTAGCCAACTTCCTAGCAGAGTGCGCCATCCACTGCACCACCGCTCCCCTCACAACAATTAGAGCCGCGATTCGCAAACTAAGTTAGGGTGACGTAAGCATAGCGCTTGTTGTGCCAGGCTAGGTGCCCTTTGTTTTCATGCCAGGCTAATACAACAAATACAAAGATTCCCTGTATAGCCTTAAGCGAGTGTTGGGGCAAGTGCTTGTTAGAGAGCACCGACCTATGAAGGCCGGCACGGCACGCTAGGGGTTGGGTGGCCAGCACCACGCCCAGCCGCCTTTGTCTCTCCATTGCTGATTTTATTTTACACAATGCACCAGGTACTCATTTAAGGCTGAGTCGACCTAGGAGAGAGGCCTAGTACCGGTATAAAAATTATCCACTCTTATTAAATCACACAAAGACAAAAATCCCCGCTATAGCCTGAACAGACTGTAGGAGCAAGGGCTGGAAGCGGGCGCCTATTAACGCCATCACCCCGCCCGGCCGCCTTTGTCTTCCTTGCTGCGATGTTTACGCACCACTGCACCAGGCACTTATTTGAGGCTGAGTGGACGTAGGAGAGGCCCAGGACGGGTTCAGATGATTTTTCAATGGTGGCAGCCGTCAGTGGGAATCGAACCCGTGTCGCCACGTTCGTAGCGCGCTAATCGCTCCGCACGCGGCGCGCGCAGAGGCACGCGCCGGTCCACCGTTACACTTTGTTCTTATTAATACCATCCGTGTGCCTGAGCGCATTGAAAAACCCATTACAATTACGATCATTAATAAATGGGCTGGCTAACGAGCGCGCATGTTCAATTTGCGTTAAAATTGCCCTCGCTCCATAATGGATAACCGTGATATACATTTCATTTTATTTAATACACCACGAGCGGCGAATGAGGAGGATTTGACTCACGGCACTTAGACGAGGATGGGGGCAATGGAGTAAAGGAGGAGTAGCAGCCCAGCCACCATCATCGCTCCACGCACTCATCTCGCAATTGCTTGGTAATTGCTTCAAACGCTCTCTCCAATTCCGAGCGGGGAACACAGGAGCACGGGTTGTGTGTGTGTCTGTCTGTGTGTATGTTTAACAACCCCCTACCTCCTCGCGGTGCCGGACGGGCAACTCTGTCGTGGACAGTGCTGTGGGGGGAGGTCCAATTTTGATTGGCTCCTCCCCTCATGGCATATGTGTCCACCACAGGGGCTAAACGGGGGCTCTGGACGAGTGCAAGGGGCTGGTAACCCCTCCACCTTCAATTAATTACCACTAAACCACGAGTTAAACTGAAATATGTAACTAATAAGCTTGTGCCGGAGGCCCCGGGGGTCCAGGCGTCTATGACGTCTCCTGGCCAAACCCCAATTGGCGGAGCCAGGAGATTGAATATCTACCCTCGGGGCTCCTCTAGAAACAACGAAAAGCCACTACGGGTGGCCACGTGGAATGTTCGAACGCTCACTGCGGAGGAGAGGCTGCCACTCCTCTGTCGGGAGCTGGACCGGTACCGCCTGGATCTGTGTGGCATTCAGGAGGTCCGGTGGACCGGCTCTGGCTCCTGCCACCATGAGGGGTGGACAGTCCTCTACTCGGGGCAGCAGACTGCCAAACAACAGGGTGTGGCTCTTCTTTTGAACAAAAGAATGAAGGGGGCGTGGGAGCGTGGCGGTGAGGTGTGGGAAGCTGTAAGTCCCAGGCTACTTTGGGTTCGCCTTCCCATCAACCGGAGGCGAGGAATGGTGGTCGTGGTTACTTATGCCCCCACCGAAGATGAACATCTCTGGAGGGATGCAGGCAAAGCCGATGAGTCAGATGCCTTCTATGACCTCCTGTCACAGGTGCTGGCTAAAGTGGCCCCTCGGGATAGAATCATCATGTTGGGTGACTTCAATGCCCGAGTTGCTCATGATACTGGCACCTGGTCTGGAGTGATTGGAGGGCATGGGACAGATCAGCTCAATAACAACGGTAGGAGGCTGCTAGATTTGTGTGCAGCCCATGGGCTTGTAATTACCAACACGCTGTTCCGGCATCGGCGCATCCACACAACATCATGGATGCATGCCGGGTCCAAGCAAGTACATCTGCTGGACTACATAGTGACGGACCAGCGGATGCGAGCCCATGTCCTTGACACCAGAACCTACCGTGGAGCTGATCTGCCCTCTGACCATCGACTAGTCATCTGTAAGATGCGCCTGCCATTCTTCCACTCCGGTGGTGGGTGTACACCCAGGACCCCATTCCAACCTAAAGTGGCTTGGTCTCAGTTATCTGATGAAAGTTGCAAGCGAGAATTTCATTATCGCTTGCGGCTGGGATTGGCATCGTCCCCGACTCCTCCTGATGTCGAGGGTAAATGGGCGAGGTTTAGGACTGTGACTCATGCAGCTGCAATGGCTGCTTTGGGTACGCGGTCCAGACCTCCCCAGAGACCCTGGCTGACAGAGGAGGTGTTCAGGATGGTTGAGAAAAAGCGACAGGCCCACTGTCATCGGCTACAGAATCCCACGTCAGAGAATGAGGAGGCTTACTGCAGCCTTCGCTCGGAGGTTCGGAGAGCCGTGAGGCACTGCAAGGATGGGTGGTGGTCGCGGGTTGCTGAGGAGATGGAGCCTGCCTCAGTGGCCCGCGATCACAAATCTCTATTTAACTCCATCAAAAAAGTAATCTGCAGCGCCACACCTATTACCATCATTAGGGGAAAAAACGGTGACCCAATCTCCGACCCCCAGGAACAGGTTTGCAGATTTGCTGAGCATTTCTGTGAGGTCCTAGGGGAGGGAAAATCCCTCAGCCAGGAAAACATCGTGGCACAAAGTGAGGATGACCCTGCTGAGGCTGCGGTGCCTCAAATATTGGAAGAAGTCACCCCCTGTGAGTGGCTGGCTGAGGTGTCATCTGCTGAGGAAGTACTGAAGGCGATCCAGAGTCTGAGACCAGGAAAGACAGCGGGCAGAGATGATCTCCCAAGTGAAATGCTGAGAAAGGGCGGCGTTTGTGCACAGACTGCCCTATATGACATCATAACAACAGTCTGGACCACTAGACGGGTTCCGCAGGATTGGAAGGATGCCCTGGTGGTCCCCCTTTTTAAGAAGAGGGACCGCACAGACTGTAACAACTACAGGGGCATCTCACTCCTCAGTGTGCCGGGAAAGGTCCTGGCAAGGATTATTCAACATTGCCTTGCCAGGCACGCTGAGGAGAGGCTTGCGGAGCCCCAATGCGGTTTCAGGGAAGGGCGGTCCTGCACAGATGCCATATTTTCTGTCCGTCTGCTACAGCAGAGGTGTAGGGAATTCCAACAAGTCCTACATCTCTGCTTTATTGACCTGGTCAAGGCCTATGATACCATCAGTAGGCCTGGGCTCTGGGTTGTTCTTCGTGCTTTTGGAGTACCTGACCCTCTGCTCATGATCATTAAGGACCTTCATTATGGTGAGCGGGCCCGGGTAAAACTACGTGGCCGGGAGTCAGAGCCATTCCCTGTTAACCTTGGGGTGTGACAGGGATGTCCTCTGGCTCCCACATTATTTAACATCTATTTTGACCACGTAGTTCGTGAAGCCTTCAATAGCTGTACCGGGGGAATCTCCATATGGTACAGATATAATGGGAGGCTGATCGACGCCCGGGTGCGGTCAAGGGATGGCTCCCTATTGCTCAACCACGTTACGTATGCTGATGATTTGGTAATAGCTGCTCATTCAGAGGAGGAGTTGGAGACGCTGCTGCTGAGACTGGAGCGTGCCACTAAGAGGTGGGGCCTTACCATCAGCCCCACCAAAACTAAGCACCTGCCTGGGTATTTTGTACCATCGGACACTCCACCCCCACAACTCCCAATCGGTGATGGGGCAGTTGTGGAGAGAGTGGAGAGTTTCCCATACCTGGGCAGTGTGCTTATGACTGGCTCCAGTTTAACAGCAGAGGTCTCACTCTGAATCAGTCGAGCGGAAATATCTTTTCATCAGTTGCGTAACGCTGTGTGGAAGCTACCTGGTCTGTCGCTCCGCACTAAGCTTCAGGTCTTCTCGGCCACGGTCATTCCCTCCCTTCTCTACGCTTGCGAAACGTGGACCCCCCTAATGGAACATCTTCGCCGGTTAGAAACATTTAGGCTGGCCTGCCTACGATCCATCCTGGGTTTAACCAGGAGCTCACAAATCCTTGAAAGATCTGGGCAAGGTCCCATCGGTGAGCTCCTCCGGCGGGGAAGGCTGCGATGGCTGGGTCATGTAGCCCGCATGCCCAGCCACCGCATGCCGAAACAGCTTTTGTTCGGCCGGATTGAGGGGGCTAGGCGGGCGCGGCACGGGCTAGAGAAGAGATGGAGGGATGTGGTACAGGAGGACGTGGAGCTGAGTGGACTTGCCGATGACTGGTACCAGCGGTGTCAAGATCGGCCTCTGTGGAGGAGGCTCGTGAAGGACGCTACTGGGCAGTTGGAGGTAGTCGCCCTCCAACAACAACGGAGGGCGGAGGAGCGACACTCACAACAACGAGCGGAGCGCCGGGTGGCTAAAGCACAGCAGGTTGGCACAGTAGGGGGCACAGGTGGTGCATCAGTCAGTCATCTCAGTCAGTCGACCCGTGGCACCTGGGTCTGCCCCGTGACCTCCTACCAGCGGGCGTTCGACACTTCACGTGGCCTCAGGGTGCACATAGCCTGGCACAAGCGTCGTGGTGACGTCACCGCCAATTAGTGGCGAATGGCGGTTGTTGTTGTTTAACACGTAGGCTTTCGCGACCAATATTATTCATAATAAAGGTTTTTGGGTTAGATCGCGTTATTTATAAATGTGTCGTAACCCTCCACCACCCGACACGGCCAAACAGTAATAAATGTGTCACGTTTACAAAGGACAAATAGTTCACTACTTTAGCCCACCCGTGTGTTGAAGAGTGAATCAACATCATTTAAAATTTGAGTACGACGTTTCACTGGTAATTACATCCAGCTTCATCGGGCAATTTGCCAATATAGTGAGGCTTTCCTTTTGCTCCTGGTCTTAAATAGAGCAGCAGGGTGACGTGTATGTCTGTTGCTTTGTGTGTGTGTCTGTGTGTACGTCTCTGTTTTGTGTGTGTGTCTGGCCGTGTTTGTCTTTTGCTTTGTGTGTGTCTGTGTGTACGTCTCTGTTGTGTGTGTGTTTGTGTCTCTGGCTGTGTATGTCTGTTGCTTCGTGTGTGTGTCTGTGTGTATGTCCCTGTTTTGTGTGTGTGTGTCTCTGGCTGTGTATGTCTGCTGGCTGTGTATGTCTGTTGCTTCGTGTGTGTGTCTGTGTGTATGTCCCTGTTTTGTGTGTGTGTGTTTATGCGGGTGGAGAGTGGTAGTGGAGCGGTTACCGCGCTACGCTACGAACGCGGTGTGCCGAGTTCGCTAACCGCTCACGGCCACCAACGACACCAGTGACGATTATCTGAACCCGTCCCTGGGCTTCGCATAGGTCGACTCAGCCTCAAATGAGTACTTGGTGTGACGTATTAACATCGTCACTCGGGAGACAAAGGCGGCCGGGCGTGCCGCTGTCCACCCACCCTCTCGTGCGCCGTGCCGGCCTACATAGGTGCTCGCTAACAGCACTTTCCCCAACAGCCTTTTAAGCCTACACGGGGGATCTTTGTCTTGTCTTTGTCTCTATGCACGTGTCCCTCCCTCCACGCGTCGCTCTGTCTCTCCTCCTCGTCTCCCCCCCTCCTCCGCCCTCCGCGCCAGGTAACCATGGCTGACCGTGGCGCTGCAGACCGCGCGTGCAAAGATCCCAACCCGATCATCGATGGTCGCAAAGCCAACGTGAACCTCGCCTACCTGGGCGCCAAGCCACGCATGCTTCCCCCAGGTGAGCCTCGGGGTGGTGGTAGGGGGGGGGGTCCCTCAATCCACTGCTGGATGAGTGCACTCCCGATGTCACGCGGGTCGTGACCATACATCACCCACGATGTCCAATGCCGCTTGGTGATGGATGAATGAATGCACGTGCGTGGTGAAGCAATCATCACCATCGTCGGCCATGATCAATCCACTGCTGGATGAAGGCCTCTCCAAAGCGGATGCACGCCACCTCTGGTTGTACTGGGCAGCCCTGCTGGATGTAGGCACCTATGTCAGGCAGGCAGCTGCTGAACGAGAGGCGAGACACAGTGTCTTCCCTTTACCGAGCAGCACCCACCAGAGTGGTGAAGTATGGGTAACCCCCCCAACCCCCCCCCCCCCCATGACGGGCGTGATGAAGTATGTATGGTCTACATCATTAGACCTCCTCTGCCAGTACCAAAATATCATAATTGGGTTTTTTCCCATTGTTTTCTGGCAACAAAGCTGAAACCTTTTTACAAGGAATCATGTGTGCATTGACCACGAAACTTGTGGTCAAAATGCAAACAAAAACACACTCTGATAACATATGCATTGTCCTTGAAGCCGTCTCTGGTGTGGACCAATCAGTTTCAAGGAAAATGCATGTATTATCAGAGTGTGTGTTTTTATTTGCATTTTGACCACAAGTATTGTGGTTAATGCACGCATGGTTCCTTGTAAAAAGGTTTCAGTTTTGTTGCCAGAAAAAAGGGGGAAAACCCTATTATTATTATTATGTATGCTCATATAATCCCCATGACTGATACGGCGTGAGGAGGTCTTCATCCAGCAGTGGAATTGGCAAAAATGGATGTAAATTATGACATTGTGGATGACGCGGATACGCCTTCGTACGTGTTTATTTTTGCGCAGAGTCACTCCTGAAAATGTCACGTTTCTGTGACTGCGCGCAGTGCGATGGCGTAGCACTAGATGGCGCTAGCGTTAGCGACCACGCCTGGATCACGATGACGAATACAACAATAATATCACGATGGCGATTACTTATTGCATAAGTGTGGTTGAACGATGATTGATTGGATTGATTGTGATGACGAGTGATTGATTGGTCGAAAATTCTGATGAATGAAATGCCGCTGATGATCAATTTAATAGTGACGTTGATGTTGAATGATGGTAAGGCTTGATTGGGTGGTGATGTCACGATGGTGGTGATTGAATAGGCGATGCTTAATTGGACTATTATTCGATTATGTTAATAATGATCGTATAACAATATGTGGTGTACGGTGCGGTGTGTGATCATTATTATTTTACAATCATCATCATCAGATGTTCAAACACCAAATAGACACACACATTGCAAGGCATCGAGTCTGCATTAACCACACGCACTTGTAACAAAACATGCCAACAAACATTGCTCTCATAATATTTGGGCATTGTCTTTGAAACTGATTGGCCTACGCCAGAGACAGTAGCCTTCTCTACGGCACTGTCTCATTCGTGTTAGACCAGAGATCGCAAAACGGCCCCATAGATATCATCTGCGTTCGACGTTTACCGCTAATTTAACTTAGACCCTGGCAGTCATCACCCACAGCGCATGTATGTGTGTATGTTGGGCTTCTTTCGCATCGTACGTAGCCAACCGTGCTCATCGGAGGTGTGGGGGAAGGACAACAAACTAAACACAAAAAAAACAGTTCTAAGGAAATGAGTTTCAACGTACTGTTAATTATTTAAAAGTGCATAGCTCAAGTGGCTTCCTTACATCGGAAGAACGTTCCAGACGGCCGCATGGCACGCATCTGAATGCATGCCATGCGGTGACCACCTTCTTTGCTCGGTGGCCATCCAAAAGCCGCCGGTGCGGGGATGACCGAGGAGTTCGCTCCTTTGAGGAGGTCAGCGATTCACTTTTACATCTAGATTGAAAACTCATTTATTTACGACTGCTTTTTGTGTCGAGTTTGTTGTCTTTCCCACGCACCTCCGATTAGCACGGTTGGCTCCGTACGGTGCGAAAGTTCAACATACATACATAGACATAAGTTTTTGAAAAAAAAGTACACTGCCTTATCTTAAGACTCGTATATGCACATCTAGCTCGTGGGTCTAATGTCCACGAGTTGAACGTTGAAGCATGACCTCGGGTATCGCGGCTGCGTGAGGATAATAAACCGTGACGTCACACCGTCTCCAAAATTAGGACGCGAGACGGATGCGGGCAGCAGCGCTGGGCCACGAGCCATGAGGAGGCCTTCATACAGCAGTGGATAGACAATGGCTGATGATTATTAATGATGATATCACGACGATGATTTTATTATGACGTTGGTGATGATAACGATTTATTGGATGATGATGCTCATCATCATCACGTGATCTCGGCGTAAACGATGAGTAATCTGCTGATGTGTGCACCATGAACCGACACACGCAGAGTGTACAGGAGGTGCAATTGCACTGGGGGACAAAGAGTTGGAGGGGTCAGGCTATAAAACAGGTGGAGGGGCTTCTTAAACAGCACCCCCCCCCCCCCTATTTAATTCCTTTCCCACTTTCCCATTGACTCAATCCCAACAAAGCTAACACCACGTGATCTCGATGTGATTTGTCTCTGCAGTAAAATCTCACAGAGTACCAGCATATTCGACCAATTCCTCGTTTTAATATATAATAACTGTAGATAATTGTATAGTACTGTAAGCATAATGACACCAACCAGATGAGATCCCATTGAGGCTACATTTAATGTTTCAATTGAGACAGGGATGAACCAAATGTAGTTCATTAATAGTAAGAATAATACTGTTTGGTTATTTCGGTAAAGTCACGTAGGTAGAAAAATAATAGATGACGACGTTTTAATCGCAACACAAGCAATCGTCATCAGGTGGGACAACCACAGCAAGAAAAAAACTGTGGTTGTCCCACCTGATAACGATTGCTCGTGTTGCGATCGTAACGTCGTGATCTATTATTATTTTTCTACCTACGTGACTCTACCGAAAGAACCAAAGAGTATGGATTCCTGTAGTCACGAACGCTTCAAATCAAGGAGGAATAATGTTCAGTCCTTTGTCTCTCCACTGCTGAACGAAGGCCTCAATCACGCCATGTCAGTGGGTCTTGGCGGCTGTTTGACAACTTTGTCACGCTGGTCACTTTGCGGGGTGGTCCAGTGGCTGGATGGTCCAGGACGTGTTTAGACATCACTCGCCACTGATGTTAGCCGTGGCCGGGAATCAAACTCAGTTCTTCGGCTGCATTAACGTATTGTGCTAATCACCGCCGCACCATCTTTGCAGTAGCAGCGGCTTTTGGCTGGCCATCGGACAGAGACGGTCACTGCGTCGCGCGCTTGCAGATGCACTTCTGTGGTCGTCTGGAACGTTCTTCCTTCCGATATTAGGAAGCCACTGGAGTCATGCACTTTTACAGAAGTGCTTGTTGTGTTTAGTTTGTTGTCCTTCCCCCTGCACCTGCGATTTAGCACGGTTGGCTACGTACGGTGCGAAAGAAGATCAACATATATACATACCAATTCGTAGAAGCGCAGGTACACGTATACTCTACCGACGTGAAATGAGAGCAATATTAAATCACTGCAGGATAAATGATACAGATTTGATGAACGAGCGGTAGAAAAACACGACATCAATATTAACAAAACAGTACGAACGATAATAAAATAAACAATTGCTGTATTGCATGTTTATTGATAGACGAGGATAAAATATCAATCGGTGAATTGAATTCGCACGCTAAACAATGACACTGGGTCTGTACGACATGCAGACAGCCTATCGTCATTACCATCATCCTGCTATTGATTTGTTTAAAACACAGTTCACTTAGAATTATTATAATTCAAGACGCAAACGTAGCGCTGTTTCACCCAGGGGAGCAGGAGCCGTGCAGAAAACCTCAACACATTCCTCAATAACACTGTGGCCTTAAAAGGAAACAAAAATAGGAGTGGACGCTTCGAACAATAGCACTTCACAGCAAATGTATATGATTTTCCATGGTTTTATTTGCAATGTAGAAGGGACCATTTCCCAAAACGCCAGCGTTAATATATATTTTTACGTTTAAGTGCCACGGTGTTAATTGTGCTTGTGCACAACTGCCAAACAGCAGCAGCAACAGCGTCATCACCAAATCGTGTGTTTAATTTTTTTTTTAAGTACACTCTACAGTACGTGCACGATCCAGGCTCAAAAATCCTGCTCAGCTTCCCAGACCTGACGAAGTCAGCCAGGAATTCTGTAAGGATTATTCGGTCATAGTCAATCAGCATCGGCCGTTTGCGAGTGTTTCTATCCCACGCATTAGTGGCACGCTTTTATTCATTTGTCGCACCACCTCCTCCTCATTCTCCTCCCCTCCGGTGGTCCCTAAACGCCATTCAACGGGGCCCCGTGTCAGCGCGACTGTGCTTGGCCGTCTATAAATATACCCCCCCCACCTGCCCCCTGCCAAAGTCCACGCTTGTCTCTCGCCGAGCAAAGATCGTGACATTCCGGGAGCGGGGACTGAGTTTAAACAAAGAGCAATCGCTCCAAGTTCATCTGACTAACGCGCACCACCCTTTGCTCCTTTGAAGGTTTTGCCCTGGGAATTCAACACATCCTGCCTCTTCCGAGGCCGTACGGGTGAGACGCTCATGGTGCCCTGGCCTCTACACTGCTGCACAACACGTAGTACACACTACACTACACACTGCACTATACACCAAACAATACACCAAAGACAAATATCCCCCCTATAGCCTTTTTAAAAAAAGACTGTCGGTGCAAGTGATGTGCGCGAAGGCCGGCACGGCACACGAAGAGGTCGGTGGCCAACACCACGCCCGGCCGTCTTTGTCTCCCTAGTGGTGATGTTGACGATACACAGCATTCATTTGAGGCTCAATCGACCTAGGGGAGGCCGACGACCGGTTCAGATAATAGTCACTGGTGTCGACGTTGAACGAGAATCAAACCCACACACTGCAACGCCACACAATTACACCACACAAAAACACAACACAATTCATTACAGAATACACTACACTATACACTACACTATACACCGTGCCAGTATGCCACAACACACACAGCATGCATACATCACAACACACACTACACCACACAACACGAGTATGTCACACAATACAAAAAGACGTCATACCAAACATCACAACACACCACATAACATAGCATACAGTACCAGTACACCATGCACGTACCATAACGCACGATGTACCAAACATCGCACCACGCCACGGCTCTTTGTTAAGTCACTGCTAGATGAGGACCTCCCAGCAACCGTGTCTGTCCTGGGAGTCGAATTGGCCATACTTCACCACGATGGTGAATGCATATTTTGAGCAGTTGTTTTGGGTGGCTGGGATCCCAGACGGGACCAATGGCACGTGCAAGTCACTTGCCGGCGATGTTAGCTGTGGCCAGGAATCAAACTCAGGTGGGTGCAGGTCAATTGCGAAAGCCTCTACATGACCCCCCCTTGCTGCACAGATGCTGTGATTGCAAATGTTAACAGTCCCCGCGGTAATCCGGGCAGACATCGCTTTCACCCTCTTCAATCACGTGCTGAGAATAAAGTAGCAGTGTCGTTAACAGACCAGTGGGGTGTCTGTCAAACGATCGCCCGGGCACAGCAATTCACCAGATTAGGAGCTACCTTAAACGCGTTACTAGCCAATGAGTGGCGACCCATGAGTCGTATCGCTTTTAATCAGTCAGTGCGTGTGGTTTATTTACATCGCAACATCGCGAGAGGGTGTTTGAGGCGGCTATCATCCAGCAGTGGATTGACCATGACTGATGATGGTGGTGGTGGTGACGCGCCTTTGACCCGGGAGCCACAAATCTTATCGGCTTCCAAGCGGCACGTGACCCCAGCTCCAGCTCACGAAGCCGCCAACGGCAAATCCCATTTAAGGGCCCTTGCAGACAGAATGTTCAACACGGCCATATAAGGCGTCTGGTATACGCAGTGTAAACGGGCACAGTCACCGTTTAACTGTGGGGCGTATTTTTTTTTGGGTTGAAATGTTAATATATAAAAAATAAAGGTCACAGCAACAGCTGTGGCAGCCGATATTTAAAGTTCTCACTGCACGTTTGTATAGTCACCACGTTACAAAACGTACGTCACGTACAAGAGTGCGGAGCTTTGGTGATACTTTGCCACGTTGGCAGGTGGTGGTAAAGGCACAGATAGCAGGGGATCGACGCCATTCGTCAATAGAACTGCTGGCCCCAGAAGGGGAAACTCGATTAAAAGGCGACGTTTCAGGCAACGGGCCCTTCTCATAGCGGCGAGCTCAAGGACCCAGTGCCCGATTCGCCACGTGTTACACTCTGTCAGGAAGCGTGATCGACAAAAGTGCGATTGACGAATGAGAACGCACGTGGCACATGCGTGGGTGAATTATATTCATGAGTTGCCTGCGAATGTGTTGAGTTTTGTGTCATTTGTGAATGCCGACTTCTCTTGTGGACTTCGCTCCGGGGGCATTAATGACGCAGTGTAAGCTGCAGTAAAGTAATGTTGTCAATGATTCTTATAGCACGTGGTCATTATTTCCCGTTCGGGGGAAATTAAATCCGTGCCTGGAAACAAAAGTGGTAGCCGCGAGGCTGTTTGCGGCCGGTCTCCTGCATGCTCCGCATGGCTGACGATGATGAACAGAGCAACAGCTGTGGTCGAGCCAGATGATTGCGTTCAGGAATCGTGGATGGATAGATCCCTGTGTGAGCCTATGGGTCTCAGTGTAAGTCATTGGGTCTTGGTGTGAGTCAATGGGTCTAAGTGTAAATTTATAGATAGCTGTGTGAAGTCTATGTGTCTCTTCGTACAGGAAAGCCTCACCGCTCTCAGGAGGGTCTTGCAGAGTTCCTTTGGCAGCACGGGCGATGATTGCGATGTGCTCTACGTTCAAATTGAGTAATGTAGGGGTGCGATTTTTTTTCTTCTAATTTGGACCGTGACACTGGGCACACACAAATTGCCTATTTTTAGGAGTGACCACGCTGAGTCTTTCACGTCCGCTGTGCACAAACTCCGCAATAATAACCCGGGGCGGCCGCAGAGTACCGAACCGTGAGCCTCCGCAATGTCCACCACCATGCCGTTCCTGCCATCACCACTCTCAACTAATCTCCCTCCCTTCCCTCCCTCCCCTCCATCCCCTCCCTCCCCCTCTCCCTCCCCCCTCCCTCCCCTCCATCCCCTCCTTCCCTCCCTCCCCTCCATCCCCTCCCTCCCCTCCTTCCCTCCCTTTCTCCCTCCCCCTCTCCCTCCCCCCTCCCTCCCCTCCATCCCCTCCTTCCCTCCCTCCCCTCCATCCCCTCCCTCCCCTCCTTCCCTCCCCCTCTCCCTCCCCCCTCCCTCCCGTCCCTCTCCTCCCCTTGGGATTCCACCCCGGGGGTCGACGCGGCCGGTGTCCGCGTCTCTCCGCGCCAGTCTCCCCGCCCACTACCTCTACCCACAGCAGTTCCTGCCGCCGGGCGTCTTCATCCAGACGCCCGGCGGCTCCCCCACGGGCGCTCCCCTGAACCCCTTCCTCGGGGTCGACTACTCGGGCGCCCTCTACGCCCAGTACGCCGCCCACGCCGCCGCCGCCGGCACCTTCGAGCAGTCGTACCCCTACGCCGCGTCGCCCGCGCCCGGCGGGTTCGCCCTGCCGCCTCCCCACGGCTACCACCCGCAGCAGCCGCCGCCGGGGAGCTTCGGCGCCCCCGGGGGGTGCCAGCAGCCGCCTCCGCCGCCTCCGCCGCCGCCGCTGGCCGCTGCGGCCGCCGCGGCCGCCGCGGCGGCCGCGGCGGCGGCGCACGCGAGCGGAGCGGCCGGCGGTGGGCTGCTGCCTCAAGTGTTCGGGCATTTCCAGTCGCCAGGGGAACGCATCTGAGCTGCCCTCCTTCTTCTGTGCTGCGATCAGCTCAGCAGTACCCCCCTCCTCATCATCACACTCAACATAATCTTCCTGCCCCCTCCTCGTCAGGGCTTCATTTCGGATGGAATATTGTCCGGAGCTGCCTGACGTTTAACAACTCCCCGGAATCGACCACCAACCTACCCCCCCCCTCCGCCACCACACCAACAGGAGAAGGGAGACATTTTCTGGAGCTCGCCCCGTTCAGCTCCAAGCAGATATTAAGGTCCGCTTCTGCTTATTCCCACCACGACCATCATCATCATGATCCTCCTTGGATGTACAAGGGATGCATTGGGTGCAGGTGCTGCCCTTGCACGTGACCTTCTACAAAGGGCGTGACACCATCAATGTAAAAGAACAACTTTAAACAAACGTCTTAAATAATTTAGAAAGTGGGGCTCAGCCTTCTCTACCCCCTCCCCACACCCCCAATTCAATGTTACAGAACCGACTCGTATCTGAATGTGTTTGGAAGTGTTACATTACGTAAGGTGTTTTGAAAGCCTGAAGCCCGCCCCCTTCCACCTTGGCCATTTCTGAGGCCCCCTTGGATCTAAGGCCCATGGAAAAAAAACATCCCGGCGTGCTCTCCACTCTCCGTGGCCCTCGACACGACTGCGTCTGACTCGGACGAACAAAAACACTGGACATTGAAGATCGTCGTCGGCTGTGCTCCATAAACCGGAGGTAGTAGATTGTTCAAGGATTTGACGTTGTACGCGTGCGTTGTCAAACAAAAACAATTTGCACCCAATACAGCAATCCAGAAAGAAGAAAATAACCCAATGGAAACGCGAGTGGAAGGCAACAGAGAGCTGAGGACGACGGAGGAAGAGGTGGACTGAGGATGGGGAGGAGGCACCGGAGTAGATACATCACCATGATGATGACGACGACGATCGCCAACAGTTCAAGTTTATTTGTGTAACCAGGTTCAGAAGTGAAACGACCGCGATGAGTCCCATTCGCGAGAGTAACCTGGGCCGCAAAACATTACCAAAGCAAAGCAGATATATTAAATATATATATAAAGTGCAGCAACGAAACAAAGAGGAAAGAGGGCAAAAACAACTGTGTCAACAGTGGAGGACCACAGCAGCTGCTGCTGCTGCCAGAAGTTCGCGGATCCAGCGGCGTTCGTAAAAAAGGGCTGAATGAGAATAGAGAGACACGTGCGTCATATGTCATTTACATGTGTCGTATGTCATGTGTATGAAGAAAACGCATTATGCTCTGTTGGGGAACAGTATGGGTTTAAAAATCTAGGTGTGGTAGATCAAATATTGAAAACTCATTCGTTGGAACTGCTTGGTTGTCCTACCCCCGCACCTCCGATTAGCACGGTTGGCTACGTACGGTGCGAAAGAAGTTCAACATACATACAGAGGTCTGGAGGCAAGGGTTGGTGGATCATATCGATAATTTTGAACTCCTGAAACTCGCTGATCTGCGAGGTGGTGGCCAGGAGACTGGCAGTACAACAAGTGTGTTCAAGAACCTATCCGTGCAGAATGTTATCTCCTCGCAAGCATGACGGTGTCCTGTGATTTCTTCCCGCATACAAAAAAATAAAGGCTCGTTAAATGTGAATTGGCCAAACATCGCAAACTATATACAGCGATGATGATCTCCTTAAAAAAAGTTTTATTTGTTGCATTCTGGGTAATATTTTAAATAAATCGCCATCCATTCTGTATCCTAACATAAATACAAAGTATTATGTAAGTCTGTTGGCCTTAGGACGTCCAGAATTAAGTAAATAGTCAGCATTTGTTTAAGCCCACGAACTAATGAACTGGTTTCACCTTTTCATCGGCGGTTCATCAGCAAGTTTCAGGCATGACACACGGATGATGCTGGCTTACCGGGTGTCATTGCTGTGTGGCCCCTCTCTACACCATACGTGGTCACTCAACAAAAATGTATTGCAGAACATTTCACAAGGCATTACATTTGAGCTGATGCAACGAATGACTAATTCTTCATTGGTACGTTAAATGAATCACTTTCCCGTCCCATAACTCCACAAGATTGGCCTTCCAATCTCATAATTTGTTTGAACATGCAAACTCTTTGCCCGGATGCACCCTTCTTCGGCTCATCAGCATAGTCACGGTGGCGAGATGTTAACTACCTCGCCTGGTATGCAGGAGGTCGTGGGTTCGATCCCGACCCCGTCGCCTGTATATTTGGAGTTTGCGTGTTCTCCCCGTGATCGCGTGGATTTTTATCCAGGTCCTCCTGTTTTCTCCTCTACATTTAGAATTAACATCACGCGTTTAGAGTATGTGGCTGCTATACATTTCCACATGACAAGTCCACTTAGTTGGCGCTATCATTTGTGATGGCCAGGTGTGCTTATGAAAAAAGAGCTGTATATATAGCTCAGTGGGTCTTACCTGGTAAAATAAAAAAGTAGTTTAAAGTTCAAAGACTGCTGCTGTTGTGCGCACTACGTCTGCACAGGCTGCGTCTGTCCTTGTACAGTGCTTCATTTATCTTTCGCGAAGTCAAGCGGGCCCTGTTTGTCAGCGAGGCTGCTAAAGTCTTCCATTCGTGAAGGAATCATATGTAGAGGAAGTCACTCGAGTGACATACGACCCAGTTATGAAGTCATAATAATAATGGTAGTAGGACTCTATTGAAGTCAGTTGAAGACGTAGGCTTTCGCGACCAATATCATGCGTAATACAGGTTTTTTTTGGGTTAGATCGCGTAAATATAAACGCGTCGTAAAACCCGCCACCACCTCTACAGTCAATTAGTAAGGGTTTATCACGTAAACAGAGCATGCCAATTCGTTACTAGTACAGCACATCGGTGTGTTGGAGAGCAAATTCACAACATTTACAATCTGAGGACGACGTTTCGCCAGTAATTACAACCGGCATCATCAGGCGGCAGCCAGATCTGTAATGTAGTCCTTTTCACGCCGTGTCGGTCTTGGGGGTTGGCTGGCAAGTTGGCACAGTAGGGGGCACAGGTGGTGCATCAGCCAGTCGTCTCAGTCAGTCGACCTGTGGCACCTGGGTCTTTCCCGTGACCTCCTGCCAGCGGGCGTTCGACACTTCACGTGGCCTCAAGATGCACATGGCCTGGCACAAGCGTCGTGGTGACGTCACCGCCACTTCGTGGCGAATGGCAGTTGTTGTTGGGGGGGGGGGGTCGTTTGACCATACTTCACCACGCTGGTCAGCGCCGGTTGGTGAAATAAAAGTTGGCAGTGGAGCGAATTAAATTTGATGACCGGCTCAGAGATCACTCGCCACTGATGTTAGTGCGCTAATCATCGCGCCACCACTCGGTCCCGGATAATTAATGTCCTTACGTAATTATGACTTTGATGATAATGGTGCTTAATATGTTTGCGTTTTGGCTACTGGTATGATAATGAGACTTAAGCAAACGAGCTGCAATTAAGCAATTGGCTTATATCGGATTAGCTGTTTTTTTTTTCTTGGCACCTCGCCTTAATCTCTCTGCTGTCTGTCACGCCTGCACTCACGCGTGCGGGTGGTTCTGGCAAAGGCGTGGGCTCAGTGATTGTTCTGAGCAACTGCGCGCATTTCCGCAGGGAAATGCGGACTGCGAAAACTGTTCATACCTAAAGGGCAAAGGAAAGATATTGTCAGTCCACTGCTGGACGGAGGTGGCCCCATGCCGTGGCGGACACGAGAGGGATGGTTTGACCGTACCTAAGGGGTCGTCCATAAATGACGTCACACACCTGGGGGGGGGGGGTAGGGGGGGTCAGACATTTGTGACGATGTGTGACGAGGGGGAGAGGGTTTGAGAAATGTGACGTCACATCAAAATGCGCAACTTTAAATAAATATAGACAACACATTCTACTTAATTAAATAGACTTTTTAATAAATGTTGTCTCCTACAACATCAGTGCAGCGCCACATTAAACACGCACTACAATGACAATAGTTTAAAGCGATTTGAAGCATTTTTTTTGGGGGGGGGGGGGCAGAGCTTTGTGACGTCAAATTTGAGGGGGGGGTCTGACTTGTATGTGACGCCGTGTGACGAGGGGGGTAAAAAATCGTCCAAAATCGCGTGACGTCATTTATGGACGGCCCCTAACCACACCGCGCTCAGGTCGCACTCATTCCACACTCCAAGCGCTTGCCACAAACGAACCACAGCTCCTCGCTGATCTCGGACGAGCAGCATAAACCATCATCACGGGAACTACCGTTTGCTCTCCTCGCAGCGGCTTTTGGCTGGCCATTGAACACAGACTGTGGTCACCGCATCGCGCGTTTGCAGGTGCCTTTCTGCGGCCGTCTGAACCGATGTCAGCTTGTAGCTGCATGGGGGATTAAACTCAGCACGTCAGGTTCGTTGTGCAGAACGATGCCCGTAACAACTGCCCGACTGCTTCTCACCATATGTCGATACAAAAAATAAAAGCCTAAAAATTAAAAATAGAGGATATAACCTAAAGAGATGTCCGTAATGGTGCCATCCATTATTAAGGGATTATAATGAGACAGCACTTAGAGGACCAGGTCGATACATTTGCAAAACAAAGACAAAGATCCCCCGTATTGGCTTAACATACTTTTGGGGCAAGTGCTGTTAACCAGCACTTATGAAGGCCAGCACGGCACAGGAGGGGGTGGATGGCCAGTACCACACCCGACCGCCTTTGTCTTCCCTATGACGATGTTTACACACCGCACCAGGTACTCATTTGGAGCTGAGTCGACCTAGAGTAGGCGCAGGACTGGTTCAGATAATCGTCACTGGTGTTGGTGGCCGTGAGCGGGAATCGACCTCTATGTCACCGTGTTCTTAGCGCAAAGTGATAACGGCTACACTACCGATACAATTACGCGCACACATACGCACGTGCGCGCGCACCGAGTAGCATTGTGTGAAGATTTGATCCCATGAGCTTCGTCTCGAATCCTCCACGTGTCCGTCACGGCTTAGGCGATACGCGTCTCATCGAGATCGGCAGATGTATCCAATGCTTTTGTCCCGTGACGTTCAAGATCACACGAGCTGTCCAGCTTCGATTAACAACAACAAAAAACCTCTCGTTGTTTTCAGAAACGTGTTGCCAATATTGCAACCGTGCAGTTCCAACTGCTGCCTAGAAATAATAATACAGTAATACCCCAATTAACGTCTCCCCCTTTTGCCTCGTTTCGCAAGTACGTCGTCACTTTATTATGAACACCACGACGCGATTTGCCTCGCCTCAACCCCACAGTGCGTCGCTGACAGCGTCACGCGTCCTTTCTCGTGATCCGTCGCCTCCTCCACCACCACCCACCACGACCCTGTACATCGTTTCGATTGACGTCGTTTCGATATTCGTCGTCGCACCTTTCAGGAACGCATCCCCGACGCAAACCGGGGTTTGCTGTAATTGTTCACGAATGGATACCACCTTTATTGTATGTATGAACTTCTTTCGCACCATACGCAGGCAACCGTGCTAATCGGAAGGTGCGGGGCGTCCTGTCGCGTATGTCATCATCACCTTCATCGTCATTATCAGGAAGATCACTCCGCTGTTGAATGAAGAACTCCCCGCAAGCCATCGCCATCCCTCACGGTTCTACAATGTAACGATCCAACCCAGCACGTGCACGCGAGCTGATTTTAATCGCTCCATCTCGTCCTTCATTGTGATTTATAACATTTAAACGCGTGTGTGTTAGGCCATGCGAACAATTACATGTTTCTATTGGAGCTTCGACGATTAATTTGGTTAATCGACGAAATATTCTGAATCGACCACTTTTTGCGGTGGCCGTCCTGCCGTGCTGCTTCTTGAAGGCGCATCTCTGTGAACCCCTTACCAATGCCCCACCTTATTACAGATCAATTCAGACCTCGTTGGTCACCCCGTACCCTTATAAATATAAACGTTCATCCTACAAAGTCCCATCACAAGGGAGAAACACGAACAAATGGACAAAAAAATGCCCGTATTGAAACGGCTGTACGCCGTATGGACCTGAAAACCCAATTTTCCTGTACACGAATATGGGCAAACCGTATGGGTTGACAGGTATGAAGGCGGGAACCCACCTGCAAGCCACGCCTAGCGTGACGCATTTGTATAACGTCTATGACGTCACCAAGGCCTGCCCCATCACCTCCCATCCAGGGGCACATGTGGGAATTGAGGGGTGACTTTATTTTTTCTCCCCAACCATGTATGTTATCCGCTTAAGTCAACCCGATAGTTCGTAGAGTCATGGATTACTTAAAATTATCGTATTATAGCCCCAGCTCTAGGCAATTCCATAAACATTCCCAGCAGACACTGCGTGTTGTTTCATGTTATTTTTATTAAGCCATCGCTGACATTCGCGAATGAGATTTATGCATTAACCCTGCGTGCTCTTACAGAACAAAGACGATTGTTTTAGGTTGAAGAGGAATAACGTGGAGAGATTGTGACCGGTTCTCCGTGGTTGGAGATAACTCGGGCCCGTTAAATACGATGACATGCCTTCTTTGCACGGTGTGTGTGTGGATCTACGTATGTATGCCGTGTGGGGAGCGGTAGTGTAGTAGTTAGCGCGCTACGCTACGAACCCGACGTCCCGAGTTCGATTCCCGCTCACGGCCACCACCGGTGACGAATATCTGAACCGGTCCTGGGCCTCCCCTAGGTCGACTCAGCCTCAAATGAGTACCCGGTGTGATGTGTAAACATCGCTACTTGGGAGACAAAGACGGCCGGGTGTGGTGTTGGCCAACCCACCCTCTTGTGTGTCGTGCCGACCTTCATAGGTGCTCGCTAACAGCACTTGCCCCAACAGTCTATTAAGGCTACACGGGGGACCTTTGTCGTTGTATGATGGGTAGGCGTGGTCACAGCGGTGGCTGTTGAGTGAATGCGTGTGAGCGTTAAACAACAAACGTCGACCGCGTCAATATTCGGTGTATATACTCGATAGAATTTAGACCGTGGTAGGATGAATACACGACGGGAGATTAGAAACGTTAGCATAGGTGATGGTATTATATTGTTTTAATTAACGTGGTAATGTGTAAGTACAGTACCATCGTTACACCATGGAAACAATGCATTATTGATAGTCCCTCTGTCACTGCCTTGCTGGTTGCAAGCCTCTCAATGATATGTTGATCATGGGGCTTTTTTGACCATACTTCACCACGCTGGTCACACGATGGATGGTGAAGATAGAGGCTTCAGTACCGCTTCAGGTGTCATTCGCCACTAAAACTCACCTTGGCCTAAAATCGAACTCAGGTGGCTGGGTTTATAACGCTTGGCTCTAACCACTGTATCATCGCTACGCTACTACCACGGTAATTGCCTACAATTATTGCATGTCAAAAAATGACATAAAGGTCTTTGCAACAACAAAAACCATTTCCATTTCCTTGTTGGCTAGGGGCTATTAACATTTATAATGTATGAAAGCATTAAGTTATTAAATTACACAGCCCTGCTTCCACACGACGCATATGTGAGTTAGGCATAGTGCAAGCATTTATGCTACATTCTACATACGTTTGTTAACAGTCGGTATGTTCATAAGGTTATCGATCTTTTTAATAAATATATTCATTGGTATACAAAAGTGCGCGTTCCAATTTGTGGTTTAATATCACAATCACGCGTCAAACACGAAAGGCTCAGCTTCACCGGTGTATTTTTCAAATTGATTGCATTTTCCTTCTCAAGCGGTATTTTAATGGGATGTTTGTCATGCTCGGTTGCCATTATAAAATGTAATTCCTGAATCAATCTGTGTGGAGCTTTCAGTGTAACCTGCTCGTGTGTTGTGGTGGGGTTTTGCCTGCCTCTGGTTTCCTCCCACTCGAAGCCACGAATTTGTTGGTGGAATTGGCCACACATCGCAATGCAGCGGGCCCCTCTTGAAACTCAACGAGGCTTTCCTGGGTAAAACGATGACATTAATGTTATTGTTGTTTGTAAAGTTTAGCCGGTGAACCTCTGTTCAGGCCATCACGTTACAAGAGGTGGTGTGGCCCACAACATCCACACCCCACCGCCTTTGTTTTCCCAGGATTGGTAATGATAACCAATGCTGACACCATGTGCTACTCATTTTCGGCAGAGTCTACCTAAGGGAGACTCAATCCACGTTCAGGTAACTAAGCGTCGGCTTGTTTCTGGCATGGTGGATAATGCCTTTTAGCCCGGGACCCGGCCCCAGACAGGGTTGATGGATCGCGCTGAGATCACGTCTGTAAAGCTTCCGGAATGTAACGAGAAAACTCAACACATTCGTTAATAACACTGCCTTTAAATGAAATAGAGATATAATGATCGATGTTTGGGACAATGGTCGCAGTAGCGAGTTCCCCACCTTCAATCCACACCGACCACCATGGGAAGTATGATCAAATAACCGCCCACTGCCCATGTGGTGTGGGGAGGCCCTCATCCAGCAGTGGACTGACAGAGCTGTCGCGACACGGCCCGTGAAACGGGGGCATATGTCATACCGGTACTTCACACAGCACCAAACATCTATCCGGGGCTCTTTCCAGAACGTTTAGACCTGAAATAGGACTTTAATATTTTGGGGAGGGGAAATGGCAGTTAGCATGAGCTGTAGAACGAACTGGCTGTGCGTGTAAGTGTGGTCAATGCTCTTCCGTCTCATGCGTGGTTTGTTCTGTGAGCACTCTGGTTTCCTGTCAGATGCACATTTAGAACGAGGAAATTAACTTTGACCCAAAATTATCCTGCGATGCATTCAATCAGGAAGTTCAGTTGGCCAATGGAGTAAATGTGGTCTTATTTTGGAGGCCATTAAACAATTCAGTCCACATTCCCCAAAAATGTCGAAAAATAGTCTTCACGTGGGTGAATTTCAACATTTGGGTAAACTGGTCTCTGCCGTAGCAATGTGGAATTTCCATCACCGGCTCAGGACAGCTCGTGCGAAGTATACACTCCTCCATGCTGTTTTTGGCGTACTGTTCAAATATTTTATTCCATTATCTTTGTCAGCGTACGGAAAGAAGCATGCAGATGTACATATTTGGAATTACGGGAGGGACACATTGATGTAGTCATATTGACAGTTACAAAATACATGTAAGTGGGCTTGAGTAAGACACGCTGCTAGTACGGACGATCGCCGGTGGTCAAGACTCATGATGGAGTGGCAGCCGAAGGAGGGAAATGCATCCGAGAAGACATCCAGCGTGGAAATTAAGTGGTAAAATCTGCTCATTTGCATGTTCCAAATGGATCGATGCTTCACAAGACCGAGGCCTTTATCCAAAAAGTGGATTGGTCACCTCTGTTGATGATGATGATGATGACGATCGAGGAAAGCCACAACGAGTCTCAAGACTGTTTTTTTCAGGAGGGTCCTGCAATGGATTATTCGACCAATTGCTATTCACGAGACGGCATAGCACGTGGCTTGTTCCTTTGTATAAATAATGGAAGAGCCAACTGCCTTCCTTTCTCTTTATGTTCCGATACCAGTGAACCAACTATTCATATGAGCATGGACATTATGAGAACACTGAGGTATAGCTTATATTCATGTATTGAATACATGCACCTCCTTATACCTGTAGACACATCGACTGCATTATCAGGTGACAATCCGTTGAGACGAAATTCCTCTGGATGGAAGATCTGCAAAAAGAGATGCCAGTGTCAGTACGTACATTTTTGCACCGCACCAGTTATTAAATCGTGACTGAATCGGCCAGAATCCACCCCAGTTAACATGCCAACGTTAAGCCAACGTTGAGCCATGCGGTTGAAACCGTCGGACCAACGCTGGCCCAACGTTCCATGTTTACGGGGACTTTCTGCTCAAGCATAGCGTGAGCGGGAATCAAACTCAGGTCTCCCGGAGTGACGCGCGGCCTTGGAGGTATGCAAGTTAAGTCGCGGTTCGGAATCCAACCGAACCACAGCTTTAGTAATTACAAAGACGAAGATCCCCCGAATGGCCTTCAACAGACTGCGTGGGCAAGTGCTATTCGCGAGCACCTATGAAGACCAGCACGGCACAATACGTGGTGGGTGGCCAACACCACACCCCACCCGCCTTTGTCTCCCCAATGCTGATGTCTGTAACACTCCGCTCCAGGTGCAGTGCTTAGGGGCCGTCCATAAATTACGTCACGCACCTGGGGGGGGAGGTCAGAAATTTGTGACGATGTGTGACGGGGGGGGGGTGAGAAATGTGACGTCACATCAAAATGCGCAACTTTAAATAAATATAGACAACACGTTCTACTTAATTAAATATACTTTTTAATAAATATTATCTCTTACAAGATTAGAGTGCAGCGCCACATTTAATACGCACTACAATGACAATAGTTTAAAGCGATTTGAAGCATGTTTTTTTTTTTGGGGGGGGGGGCAGAGCTTTGTGACGTCATATTTGAGAAGGGGGGGGGTCTGACTTTTTGTGACGCCGTGTGACGAAGGGGTGGGGGGGGGGGGTCAAAAAATCGTCCAAAATCGCGTGACGTCATTTATGGACGGCTGAGTCAACCTAGGGGAATCCCAGGAGCGGTTCATGTATTCGCCACTGGTCTTTTGCCGTGAGCGGGAATCGAACTCGTGTCACCGGGTTCCATACCGTGTCAACCCGTGCGGTTTACGCCCGTATTCTTGTACATGGGAATCGAGTGTCCAGGTGGTCCATACGGCGTGCAGCCGTTTCAATGCGTTTCTCCCCGGTGATGGGACTTTGTCGGATGCACGTTGAGATTTACAAGGGCACGGGGCGACCAACAAGGTCTGAATCGGCCTCGAATAAGTTAGGGCAACTGATAAGGGGTTGGCAGGAATGGGGTTCGTAGCGCAGCGCGCTGACCACTGCGCCACCGCTCCCCCCCCCGAATGACCCCCCCCCTCTCCCCCATAGCTCCTCCCACCCCCCCCCCATACCCCCACCCCTCCCTCTCATACGGAACGCGGAAGTGGTGCGGGAGGCATTCTGGGGAAGCGCATCGGCGAGCTGAACTCTGCTCCTTACGGTATCTGCAGCTCGGGTTGGGTCGGGCAAAGTTTCCCCGCGCGTGGTATCTCTCGCCGCCTCACAACACACACAACCCCCCAGCATCTTCACGGCCCTTGCAGGGCACCGCGAGCCGTCTGAGTGCTTGCAGCTGCATCGCCGCTGTGCGTCGGCAGCCACGGTCCCGCGTTAGGCCGCAGCCGGCGTACGGGCCCTCCCCGGTTTGCCTAGCGGCTGCTGCCGGGCTCTGGGGCGAGGTAGGCGGCGTGGCTTCCCACAGCGGTGCCGCTCACTCCACATTAAAGCCGACGAAACGCAATCCGTACAAGGGACGGAGTTGGCTTTGCAATGCTGCCAAGTTTGCAGAGACGTTGTGAACGTGTTTTTGTAAAGTGTGCGGGGTGCGGATTTGTACGTTGCATTGCTTGTGGCGATGTTAAAATGTTTGAATCGGCGAGGACGGGTGGGTCTCTGGAGGCGGAAATGGGACGCCGGAAGGGCGGGTGCCTCTTGAGCTCGCCCGAGTCTCCCTCCCGACCACCACGTTAATCTGCTAAACAGCATTCATTCCTTTAACCACTTTGGTAAATATTTGCGACTAGTTTAAACACGGTTGTAAGTATTTTTGTTGGTGTTGTTGTAGAGGATTCGAAACTCGTAGGTTCGAAAACTTCGTGCAGGCTGAAGACTGTGATAACAACTCGTAACCTGAATGTAAATAGTCTTTTCCTGTCTATACATCAACGTTTGCGTGTTTTCCTACGGTCATTAGTATATTATTCATATCGTTACTGTGTTATTCCTGTGTTATTATTCGTAGTATTGCAGATGCTAATACTATTCGCGCAAGTAGCGCATTACTGTATTACTATTATACTATTCCTCTTCCTGCATTACTCATGTTAGTAGGATATTATTACTCTGAGGGTATAATAACTAGTTTTAGATTGTTATTTTGTACTTTTAGATTAAATGTTTGCTCGCCCAGGGTCGTGTGGGTTTTAGGGCAGTGAGCGTCGCCTTCAATTGTTGTAAGTTGTTTGAAAGTTGCAGTTTATAGTTGTTGGGCTATTGACCTTCTGGCCTGTAAATGTGCCTCTGATCTCCCTTCCATACTTTTCTCGTCTTTTCTCTTAAGTAGCACTGTTACAACCCACATCCCTTCCTGGAAATAAACTATGGTTTACTCTTACCCCCCCTTGTTTCCAAGATAACGAAATGTTACCACGCTGTTATCTGTAGTGCGTCAAGAGATGCACGCGTTGCGAATGTGAATTCTAACGCAGCCGGTTTGAATAACACGTTCACGTAAAGTGGTAAACCCAGGGTAGAACGCGTTATTATTACTCAAAAGCTCTTGCTCGATGCAAACCACTTCCTGGAGGAACTCGGGTTTCTAACGCATTTCATCAGTGCAGTTGGTTTTCGCCGCGTTTTACTTTTCTATATATAAAAAAAGACTACAGTTATTTAAGTTTGGTCGTGCGTTTAGAAAGTGGTGTGGTATGTTTGGGGGAAATTACTTGTCGGCGAGCTCATTTTAAGATAAGACTGTTTCCCCAGAAGTCTGGGACGAATAGGGCAATATCTTTCCCTGTATGTGTTTTAGCGTGTACTGTATCTGCAAAGTGCACCTAGCCTAGCACAAACACCGTGGTGACTTCATCACTTAGTGGCGCTTGTTGGTGTGCGGGAGTGTGTTTTAAAATTGTCTTTTCGCTCGCGTGCGTCGTTGCGGAGACGTTTATGCTGCGTGTGTATTTTGACTTTGTAGACGCCGCATGCGTTTTCAGCTTCCCCGATATTCGGGAAAACTTGGCAGTACCGGTGATTGTTTTATATATATATTATTTTGTTGTAGTTTCCCTTCAACGTGACTTTACCGAAAGAGCTAAGAAATGTTTTAGAACAGTTGAGCAGCAGTCACAGGGCGCGGCTCTCGCATCGGGAGGTTACAAATTAACATTCTCAGCGGAGGGGTAAGACTCAACCATCATCCCTCTGTCCTCCTGCAAGGGTCTCTTTATTTACACGCTTTCTTTTAACTCACTGTTGTCGTTTCCTCAAATATTCGAACTCAATTTTAACCCACTTCCCAATGCGGTATCGACTGCAAACTTGGTATACTTATGTCACACTGATGACAATACTATATTCTATCATTAAAAAAGCTATATTTTTAAACATTTTTGTTACATGTTATGTTTCGGCTTGGGTATAATTGTCCACGGTCAACTGACGTTGGCTGTAAATGACCATGGCCTCTTACATTATGGCAAACATTTCGGGCCCACTTCCTCGAGTTCTGCCATTACTAGTACATTTCATAAAAGCGTGTTTTTAAAAAATGTGTTTTTTTAAATATTACTAATTTTAAAATATTTACCGCAATATGCGAGCCTAACAACAGTTTCACCTATGATAGGGAACGACTCGCTCCCACCACAGGAATGTGGAATGTTCATTACGGGCTCGGGGCTATTTGAGGAGGACCTTTAGCCCCCCCCCCCAACCCAACTCATTTGAGCGGAACACCGCGCTCACTCCCATCAGATAGGAAAAAATTGCGGTTTTCAAAGTCATGCCTTGTTGGGTAATACACTGTACAGGACAACCTTACGTCTTTCTAACCTTCGTGGCAGTATTAAAGAAATCATCGGTCGCCTGTAATAGGTTATCGAATGGTAAAGCGATGACACACGGGTTTAATGTAGGTGTGTATTTTTATACATTGTACGCCAATTGACGAAAAAATGAGACGAGCATTTTGACTGCCAAGTTACGTGAATTCAACCAGGCGAGAGCCGATTGATACCACAGGTTGCTTTTTTCAAGGGATACCTGGGGTTACGGGAAAATCAACACGAGTTAAAATGTCAATTGCACAGCGATGAACACTCGTAGATGCGGTGTCATAAAGCCCTGAATCTTTTAAGAAAAAACGTAAAACTATAACCGAAAGTGAAATACTGTGCATTATACCCCTTATCGGAGGTAAAAAAAAGCGTTCGCGCACTGACTTTTCCGAAGCAAAAAATCCAGTTCGCTGCAGCAGGTCGACTGAAAGGGCACATGTTAATTGTTGCACCAGAGACGCCAGGTCACGTTGCCATATTTCTTGCAGCTACTCGTGTAACCTCCACATAACTATAGTTTTAACTAGGTGTCATAAAGCCCTGGATACACGAGTCGCGTTGTACGTCTTGAACTTCTTTCGCACCGTACATAGCCAACCTTGGTAATCGGAGGTGCGTTGACAAGAAACTAGGCAAATTTATGCCACAGGTTTGGTATGTTTGTACGATGACGATGTACATTGGTGTGTGCACGACGATGCAGCCACGGCTAAGAGTGGTGACCCTCCCTTTACTAACCCACACTGACCAAAGTGAAGTATGGTCAAAGCAACCCCATGACTGACATTGCATGGGGGGAGCCCTTCATTCAGCAGTGGATTGGCAAACGGTTGAACGTAGCTATTGCGATGATTATTATTTACCAAGTCTCAGAACTTTTTTTCCCAGGAACGTGCTGCAGCGGCCACTTACCATCGCGCCGTTTCCTTCCTATCCACAGTAGGCGGCTCCGTGGCAGGATGGCGCAGCTGGACGGACTTGTGAATCGGCTGGAGAAGGTGACCGCTCGGCTGGAGAAGGTGGCGCTCCACTCCGGTGTGGCAGGAGGAGGCGCCGGCGGTGTCGGCACAGGTGAGGCGTGGATTTAGACGACGTCCATCGCCCTCCGCGCTTGAAGACGCTGCCAATGGCTCCCCGCGGTTGCTCCCAGTTTTGCGTCTGCGTTGGTCGTCGTCGGTGGTTGTGTGTTGTTGATTGGCTGTGGAGGAGTTTTTCATCATTGCGGTCCCACAGGTTCGTGGGCTGTAGAACTGGCCGGTTTGGTTTGCAAGCAAACATTGCATGTGGCCGCGTGCCACAAAGCGAGATCGGTTTACGATAAAAAATACAAAAGAATGCGTTGTAAGACTACCCCGTATGCTTTGTTCCGTACAACTTTGCCGAACAAGATTATGACAATTGCGCCTTTTGTCGAAAGCATTTGCGTTGGTAATGAATATGGCCGGCCTTTTTTCCCCATTTCACGCTGTTAACACAGCTGCCTTGTAAAGCATAACCTGTGCGGGGGGGGGGGGGGGGGAACAATGTGCGTCTGAATAAATAAGTAACCAACAAATGCCGTGCTTGCGAGCGGATTGGCCTATGGGAACCCGCGGTGCGATTCGGTGCCGCGCCCAGTGACATGCCTTGGCATAGGTGAGACGGCAGACAGTGAGCACCCGTCAGTGGTACGCTTCGCAGCCTGCCGAGACGCCGCCTCCCGCTAGCCATACTTTGCTAAAATGGCAGATCTTCAAGGTAAGGGGAAGGGGGGGGGCTGTGCTGTATACATATTTGATTCTGAAAAGCATATCGATGTGTGTTGGGGAAAAAAAAGTTTCTTCAAATAATTTGGTACATGTTTATTTTTAAGCTTTGTTTTTTTGCATTGTGAAAGAGTGACGCTCACATTTTTTGAATATTTTAACGTCCGTGAACTGTACGCTTTTGGCAGAGACTCTCGTGTGCCGTGTTTCACTGGCCTTAGCTATTTTCTCCGTGGCCCATTTTAGCGTCTGTTCTACGGGGCGTGTGGGCTGCATGTCCGAAGTTCAGCCAACGTTGTTCCTTGTTCTTTGTTCGCCATCTTCGCCACGCCCTACCGTGCAAAACCCCATCTCTTTTTGACCATGTAATCTACTCCGCATGCCCCATTTCCTCCTCCTCTCCCTCCTGCCTTCTCCCTGTGGCCTCTTGTGTGTCTCTGCCGCTTTTCCCTCCCAGCTGACGCACCCTACGTGGTGGCGTTTGACGCGATCTTGAACGGGCCGGTGCACGAGTACATACGGCTGAGCAAGGAAATCGGCAGCGACGTGGAAAAGCACGTAAGGAGCGCGCACACCTGCCCGTGCACAGAACTGAAGCATCACTAAACATATATAAATATATAAATGACATGTTTCAAAGACGCGTACAGTCTGCCGCTAGGGGGGCGATATTGGTGTTTTAGTTTGTACTCTAGGTATTTAAGAGTAAATTTCAGAATTTGATACATTTGGAACGTGTGACGACTGCCTTCAACGAAAAGCGCAACGAAAGCTGAAAAGTGAGCATAGAAGCACGGAGGGGTGCACGTTTGGAATGGCATGAATAGATGGGAATAGCAACGTGTGGATAAGAGAACATGTGCAAGTGAAATGCATGATATTTACTTTGAAGTAAAAGTGAGTAGTCTTGGATCGGTACATTTCTGCCATAAGGGATGATGTCCAAGTGGTTGAGAGCTACAACGGTCTGGTCAGCCAAAGGTTGGAATGCCCGAGGGGATGGCAAGCATGGAGATGGAGCAATGAATAAACTCGCGTGCACTCACTTGACTGATTGTTGCATTGCAGATGTGCAAAGGCATTTACCCAGCAGTGGATAGATCATGACTGCCGATTTCCGATTTATATTGACCCACAAAAATGCTAACTGCTAACATGCCATTACACGCCTTGGGCGCTGTTACATTTGCGTTTTAAACAGTTTCCTTTGGGAGAAAGGTAATTGCTTTTAATCTGGCCTGCTGTAATGGTGGAAATATTTTATAGCTTTGGTGCATGTCCATCCACGTTTTTTGTATGTGGAATGTCCCCATTTAGAATACTTAGTGGCAGTGTTATATCATTTAATGTAAAGCGCTTGGTCCGAATTTCTTTGAAACGTCTCCATATTTTTGTACCCAAGGAGGCTCTGAAATTGGGTTAGACTTTTCTCTTGTCTCACACTGCAGCCCATCCCTATTGTGTCTGGCTCGTTGTGCAGGTGTGCGTGTGGTAATGTTTCAGGCAATTATCATGCCCTGAGGATTACTGCCAGCTTTAATTATCTGTTTGTTTAATTCTTAGCTCACCTAGTTGACGAGCGCATTATTGCAGTCTGGTGGGGAATAAGAGAATACATTAGTGTCAGTTACGTAAGTGTGTTTTTGATCATATGTTGCCATTTTCATTGATGTCAGTGACAAGACAGTTTTGTTATAATAATTTTTATGTTGTATTCTTTAAAAAAACTAAAATTACTGTGTGAAATTCGTCATCAGATGGAATAACAAGCAAACCCAATTTCAGGTGCTCTTCGTTATTGTTCGGCGTAGGGAGGGGACCATCGTAAATGTACACAATTCATAACGAGCACGCGTTGTCAACATGAAATGAAAAAAACCCGAGACTGCGCATTTTAAAGGAAGTCTTTTGACAAGCGTAAACCCAGCACGGTATTTGTTTAGATATTTTGCACAAGAACCTCTGTCCACGAGCTGCCTTGCCTCTGAACAACTTGATGCTTTACCCAGCACATATAGTTGGGGGCAGGGAAGGAGCAGGGCAAACCATGGCCATTAAAATTTAAATTTTAATAGCTGTGAATTGTCAATCTTTAGCCGTGGGTGTTAATGCATTTAAGCTCTCCTGTGAATATTGAATATCCCTTGCAAAACATGGTGATGGGCGTACACCTGCAGGGGTTAATTGAGAGGTTGTGTGCCAAGCATGGTGTTGAGGTCGCTGTAATTAGCGCCGTTGTGTTTGCAGAAGTAGGCTTGTGGTGACATTTGAGACGTGCCTTTCAGCAAGAGTCCCCTGACCTTTTGAGTCCCAGTCCCCCTCTATTTCACCAAATAATATATCAAGCCCCTGTTTTAATATATATATTCACCCCGCCTGCTCAATATTGAATTTATCCATTTCGGGAATATCATAAGTCTTGCAATAACGTTTGTAATTTGCGTGCGATTTTTGCACGCCGTGTAAGCCTGTGTGCTGCCTTGGAGCGATCCATATCGTGCGAGTGAAATTATGCTAAACGGCTTAATTATATCGCGCATAAGAACAGTAATGTGAAACTTAAGTGATTCGATACCGATATCTTGTAACGTTTACAAAATCCATGCGCATTTCAAGAATACCGCGCGTAGTGTAAATTTCGCTGGTAATTTCCGCTAGCGTCTATACGAGCATGCTCTATGAACAAGGGCTTACCATTGTGTCCCTGCAATTCTGCTCATCAGCTTAAGTAAACCAAACTTAGGAGGCGGTAACGTGGTCCAAAATCATTAAATATTGATATTGTATAAAGTTTACGAGATCGATTTCCTGCCACGCTTATTCCAACGGTGTCCCCACTTCCTCCTGACCCCCAGGGGGTGGTCACGACCCCCACGTTTGGAGCGCCTTTCCCAGTGGCCAGTGGCGGTTTAAGCGTGAGCCGAGGAAAGAGCTGAGGCCGCGGCTATTGAAGGCGCGTTAATTCCCAAGGCAAATTTGCGTCGCTTGGGTTTAGGCAATGCGCGCCTTGTCGAATGCGCGGACGTTCAAACAAAAGTCGTTGCTTCCTGGGGAAGCAACGACTTTTTGCCCTACGGCAAAGGTTCACATTTGTTGTCTGAACACGCAGATCAACGTTGTCACGTGCCAGATTTTTCTGTTGCTTTGTATGTGTTTTAAAATATATATAATATCTCGGTGTTTTAATTGTACGCGGTGTTTTTATCCTCGTGTAGTCGTCGGGCGATTTCTCTGTGCGTTTGATCTCCTTCTTCGTCGGACACTACTAACCTTGAGCGACGTCTGCAGGCGGAGCTCGTCAACGGTTCATTCCTGGCAGAGCGCAGCTTCCTGGTTGTGGCCTCCAAGCACAATCAACCCTCGGATGTGAGTGGGGCCTTCCTGTTACAACATTTCACCTTTGGCCATCAAACCGAATGTCCAAAGTGTGCTCTCCTGCTCAAATGAGCATTGAAGTGGTGCCCATCCGTTTACAACACTACTCTTTATAAGATTATTTTGCTGTTATAAATATCCACGTGAAAATCTGAAAAATAAGTTACAACCTCGGTGAGTTAATTCTAGATTTGAAGTTAATTCTAGATTTGTCCCCCGTCCCACTCTCCCCCGCCCCGCGCCCCCCCCCCCCCATCCGTGGTGCAGTGAGCAACATCCTGAACTTTGCCAAACCTGTCTCCCAACAACCCCCCCCACCCTGCATCTGTCTTCCCTGGCTCCTCCCCCCCCCCCCCTCCTCTTACCCTATATAATAATCTATTATTACAAAAGAGCTCTCTTTACAGTCATTTTTCTGTGCTAGTTACACCTGATGACGGAAGCTTGTGTTGCCTCCGAAACGTGAATTGATTAACTTTATTTTTTATTTTTACCTACGTGACTTTACCGAAAGAAGCAAAGAGTATAACCTCGGTGAGCTTTACCAGGTAGGATGTGGATGGTTTAGTTGTATGTGTTTGGGTTTCCTTGTTTCTCTTTCTTGTACTTTGCACTCCTATTGTGTGTTTTTGTCTTGTTTGTTGTAATGTTCTTACTTCACATCTGTGAAAAAAAGGGTTATCAGATTCCTCCAGTAGGCATAAAGTAAGACCGATTTTATCGACCCCGGAGGGATGATGGGCTGAGTCAACCCCCAGACAGGATTTGAACTCTCACACTTCCCCCGTTGCGAGTCGCTCGCTTCTGCTACTGAGCCCCACCTGGCCTTGGATGTTGGTTTGCACTGTTACCATCTGATCACTACCGCTCCGGGGGCCCCTCTTCTGTCGTGATAATACGTTGTTTACGTTTTCATAATGCGTCTGGAGTTGCTATTGCGTTTAGATAGATTAAACTAAGACTATAAAGTATCTTTTATTTTATTTTACCAGGTAAGGCCCACTGAACTATACAGCGCCTTTTTCAGAAGTGACCTGGCCACAAATGAAAGCTCAACGAAGTGGCTCATCATGCGGACATTTATCGCAGCCAAATACTCTAAACGCGTGTTGATTTTAATGTTAAAGTTGTTGATGCTACTGTCGGCAGACAACACATCCTGTATATACAACATTTTCCGATACTCTGGAGAATATATTTCAGCACGATCTCACTTTGTAAATGCATAAACATGGGAGTTTAAATTAATCCATCACTTACCACACGCCATTAATCTTACCTTCATCCCCCTGCAGTGTGCGGTTTGTTTGCATTTTACCATTCGCCTTGAATTCAAAAGCACTTTAATTCATTTCACGTCGTGTGCATCTGATGATTGCTAATGATAGGAGTCCTAAGCCGTGAAGAGGGCTGAGCCTGCTATGAGCCTGACGTTTCGGTGTGATGTTGATATTCAAAGCGTCTCATTCTCATATCATTCCAGAAGCCCTTGTATATGTAATCAACCGATAGCAGCCTCTGTCCGCTTTCGCTTGGATATGTCATCACACTCTATGGGGCGGGGGGGGGGTAGTAAATAACTTAGTTCATGAAGTAATAGATAAAGTTTCAGTCCTGCAGTTGCTTGCTCACACCACTGCTGACAGAAGGGAGCTATAGAGAGCCGCTAGAGGTTTTTTGGCCTTCTCTTCTATGATAGCCGGGTGTCTTGTAAGAGGTGGGGGCTACCCACACACGTGAGCTGCTGATTGACTAACTGGGGGTGTAGCCATTTATACTTCACGTTGGTGAGATGCTAACTGCCTCGCCTGGTATCCAGGAGTTCACGGGTTCCATCTCGATCGTGATGCCTGTATATTTGGAGTTTGCATAGTCTCCCTGTGGGCGCATGGATTTTTCTCTGGGTCCTCCGGTTTTTCCCTCCACATTTAGAATCAACATCACGCGTCTAGAGTATCTGGCTACTGCTATACATTTCCACGTTATAAGCCACTTCGTTGAGCTATCATTTGGCCAGGTCGCTCAGTGGGCCTATCCTGGTAAAATAAAAGTAGTTTTCAATAGTTTTGTTATACTGCTTTGTGGACAGAGATCGGAGGCTTTAAGAAACGTTCCCAATATTTTGGCTGCTGCGCCAGTTTGAACCAGTGCCCTCTGGATTGCTATTCCGGTGTTCCAACCAATGACGCGATGGCAGACGCTCTCCAAATCCACGTTGTATTGTATGCACTCACCGTTGTATTGTATGCACTCGCCGCAGAGAGCCCCATAAACTCGCACAGGTTCAAGAGACTCGCGCAGATGGCTCGTAAACTCACTCGGAGACATAGGACTGGCAGCACAGCAAGTGGTTTTGTGAATGCCTACCTACGAAACTTTTGAGCATTCTCCCTTCACGTGCACAGGCTTTTCTCCTGGGCACTATAGGTTTAAAATAATCGCTCCTACCAATTACCATTCTGAACGCGTGTATCGCGAGATCAAGGATCAATTTCGATAGATTGCACGCCCGCTCTCCCGGTGCGTGAAGCAGTTTCACTTCAGCCGCCCTGCCACTTTAACCCGCGTAAACGAATGCGTCTGCCGTTTCTGCACATCGCCCCCGCAGGGGATGCGGGGGCGTTTTATTTTTATTTTATTGCGCCACGTCGAGCGCCAACTGTTTGTGGAATTTGTCCCGCGCAGGAGGAGTTGAAGAAGCTGCTGGAGCCCATCTGCGATCAGATCCAGGCGATCCAGGCATTCCGTGAGGCGAACCGCGCCAGCAAGCTCTTCAACCACCTGTCGGCCGTCAGCGAGAGCATCCCTGCGCTGGGCTGGGTGTCCGTGGTGAGTACGGCCCGAGCTGTCGAAAATTACGCTCTCCCCCCCCCCCCCCCCCCCCCCCCACTTCTCCCACCTGGGGTCGCGTATTTTTTGTCAGGGTTGCGGATTTTATTTAACCGTGCTCGCGAAAATAGAAAATAGATTGTAGGTTTCGACGTTAATTCGTTGTGCCCCCCCCCCCCCCCCCCTTTTGGCACGTGGGTTTGTGAGTTGCTCTTTGCTTGTGACCGATGTACTTTAAACATGAAAACGGATCCCCGACCTCCCATGTAAATCTTCACCCCGCCTACCTATGCGGGGTCCCCACTTGGCTGGGGCAGTGGGCCCCATATCCCCCCTCCCCCACTCCTGCAGTCCCTTCGCGCCAAATTAAAATTTTCGCAGAGTTTCTGTTCCCCCCCACGCCTTCCAAAGTTCGTCGGCTTATTGTACCGGACTCGCGTTTTGTAGCAATGATAAAAAAAAAACTGATGACATTTGGTTTTTAACCACGTTTTAGATAGGTAAGCAATAACTTACACATACAGTAAAACCTTGGATTGCGATTAACTTGGTCTGCGAGTGTTTTGCAAGATCAGCAAATTTTTTTAATAAATCTTAATTTGATGAACGAGCGAGGGTCTTGCAATATGAGATGTACGTACACGCTTTGTCTGCCGAGCGTCACGTGATCACAACTGATATACGAGTGCTTTAATATACGAGTGCTTTGGATTACAAACACGTTTCTGGAACGAATTATGCTCGCAATCCAAGGTTTTACACATACTAGCGTAATTAATGCAAGTTTTGTATTATCCGTGTTTTTGTTTCATCTAGACCATCCCTCGCCTCCTGTACTCCAGATTATCGAGAGTTGACCATTTTTTTTCCTTTTGAGGTTCAGAGACACTTTGTTTGATTCACACTGATCTGCCTACACACCAGGCTGCCCGCGTTGTGTTGTTGTCAAACCTTGGGCCGCCACTCTCTGAGAGATTGACTCGGCTTCAAATGAGCGCCTGTTATTACGTTTTACTGGGGAGAGATGTCCATGCCACTTCCTCCTGTGCCAAGCTGGCCCTGACAGGTGCTGCCCTGTCAGCAACTTGCCCCAACAGCCTGCGAGTTCGAACACAGCGGAGCTTTGTCATTTTTGCTTTGTGTCCACACATCAGAGCGAGCCGATGGGCTGCCAAGTGCTTGCATGTGTGTAGCCCTTTAATACAATCACAAGCCTACGGTGCTTGTGACCTGCTGTTAGGTATTCCTGGCTTGCTCTGGCCTTGGGTAACCTTGGCTACAAACTGCTTGTATTCTCACACACAAGCGATTTATTATTATGATGCTGGTTTTTTTCAGCAAAGGCCCTTTGTAGGGAGGTCCTCATCCAGCAGCGGTAAGACAATCGGACTATACGTGTACACTACGGGACTATATCTGTACGTTGTCAAATATCGGTTATGATCGTGCCATCTTCTCTTCCTGCCCATTCGCAGTCCCCCAAGCCCGGTCCCTATGTGAAGGAGTTGAACGATGCCGGGACGTTTTATACCAACCGCGTGCTCAAGGACTACAAGGACAGGTACCTGTGCAAGCACGGCCTTTCCCGTATGTGTGCAAGCATGGCCTTTTCGGAGCGCCAAAAGATTACCATCGGCCCGATGCAGCTCTTGTATATATTTACACACATGCGTTTTGTGTGTCTCTAGGCATCACCTTTTGAATTAGTGGCGGTGTATTAGCAGAATTGATGACATTTTTGGCAGAGAGCAACGATGCAGTGGTTGGCACAATGTGCAATGAAATCATCGACCCGAGTCCAATATCCCAGCCACAACAACTAAACATTTGGTGGTGGGGGTGATATCAGAGCCGGTTAGCAACCGGTACCGGCCAACGTGGTGAAATATGGGCCAAACAACCCGCACTCCCAACATGGCGTGGGGGAAGCCTTCATCCAGCAGTGGATTGACAAGGTGGCTGTAAATAATGGATTTTTAAAATAATGAAATATTCGTGACTGATGTATCTTTGTTTTGTTGAGCATAGTTACATTTGCGCAGGTAAAAAACCGCCAATATATATATTTGTGTAAGTCCAGTTGTTTTTATGTAATGTGTGGTTTCAATGCGGTTGGGTTTTTAACTGAGCCTTGATATTCCCCCCCCCCGCCTCCCGTGATAGTTCATCATTCATTTGCAATCAATTAGCGTAAGCGCACAGCGCGTATCTCACTATCCGCATAATCATTAGGCCACCCGCCGCGTTCGTGAAATTGGGGAGGCTTGGCCGAGTTACAAATCTCGGACACCCTGGTCGGTCACAGGGACCCAGACCGCCAGAGCCTCGCAACGTAATGATTCAACCTACGGCGAATCAGCTTTAGAATGTTGAGATTAATTTTGTCTTGTACGCGCTTGTCACGCAGACATGGGCGGCATCTAAATTACAAATTCGTTAAAATGTGTAATTGCACTGCATTTGTAATTTTGTGAGTGTGATGGGTAGTTTTGGAGTTAAATTACATGAGACATGGTTCATTTATCATTTGTATTTGCAGTACATCTCCACCATTAACATGCAAACTGAATGTATTTTGTCCATCTGTAAAAAAAAAAAATGTTCCTACTGGCTCTCTCATTGGGACTGTCTTTCCTGTAATGTCTTGCTTGTACTGGCTGTATCTGTACTACCGGGTTTGTTCTCTCATTTATTCCCTCGGTTTAAAGAGTACATTTTGCGTAACGTTTGCATGCATTGAAGTCAACATTCCTGCACTTTCGATTCGATATATGTACCGTCAGCGGAATAATACATTTTAGTCGATGATTCCATGGCTCATTGCCTAGTTATAAAAATCTTACTTTAAGCAAGAGTAACATTGGAATAAATGTAGGTGGGTTATAAATGTTGGGGGGAAGGGGGGGTGGAATGTGGCATAGTGGTTAGCCTACCGCCCTATGAAACAAGCCACCTGAGTTTGATTCCTGGCCATGACTGACATCAGTGGCGACTTGCATCTGCATCAATTCCCCCCCTCCACTGCCCCTCACCCTTCTCCATCCAGAACTGAACCAGCGTGGTGAAGTGTGGTCAAACAACGCCCCATCTATTGGTTGGAATGACCAAAACAGCTGTACGTGTAAATGCACAGATTGCCTGTCTGATTTATTGCAGCGACAAGAATCACGTGAACTGGGCACGGGCATACAGCAATATTTGGACGCAGCTCCAGGCCTACATCAAGGAGCACCACACCACTGGCGTGAGCTGGAACAAGTCTGTAAGTCGTCTCACAACAATGCTTGCCCCCCCACCACCAGCCCTCACACTCAGAGAAGTATCCCCCGTATAGCCTTAAACAGACGGTTAGGGCAATTGCTTTTAGCGAGTAGCGCTTATGAAGGTCGGCATGCCACATGAGGGGGTGGGTGGCCATCACCACGCCCGGCTGCCTTTGTCTCCCCAGTGGCAATGTTTACACACTGCACTAAATACTCATTTGAGGCTGAGTCGACCTAGGGGAGGCCCAGGTGCCGCTTCAAATAGTTGTCACTGGTGTTGGTGGCCGTGAGTGGGGATCGAACCCGGGTCTCCAGGTTCGTAGAGCAGCCTGCGGACCGCCACACTACTGCTCCCCACGCACGCACTCTGGCAAACACAACGGGGAAATAATGATCCAGGCCAGGGTCTCCACAGGAGGCTGTGCCACTTGAGATTCGCGCAGTTAACTGATTGATTGATCGTCTCGATTCCATCGCGCGTTAAAAACCCGGCGGCCGCTCTTTTGGGACAGGCGCTGTGAAGAAATAAAACACACCGTGCCCTCTCCCCGTTTTATTTTCACCTTGCCCGCGCCGTGCATGCGAGCGTGGCTGCCGAAATTACTTTTAACGCCACGGCGCCCGGGATCGAGAGCCCCCCCCCCCCGACCCAGCCTCTGGGAGCCAGCTGGCTCTGCGTAGCTGCATTTGCAGGGGTTAATGTGCCCAACCTGGCATTAAAATTCATGGGCAAGGAGAGGAACAAAAAAAATGTACCTTTTTGGCACGCGGTGGAAAGGGAGTTGAATTTTAAATTCCGGCACACATTGTGTACTTAGAGAATTTTTTTTTTAGTTGGGGAGAAAAAACAATTAATCTTTGCCCGTCGAGCTCAGCACTCTTACATGTCTCCCGGCAGAAGTGCTGCTGAGGTGTTGATCAATAATTCTCATAAGTGCCCTAATTGCTGGTGGAGACAATAGCTTTACTGGTGAGGATGTGTGTAATAAAACGTAATGGTGCAGTCCATTTGGTGGCCTTTCCACCTTCTGGAAGATGAGGGATATTTTGGCCTAATCTTTCATGCTGACCCAACTGACGTTTTGGGAAGAGGTGGGAGTTAAGAACACTTTACCCCACGGCACACTACCTGCCGATCAACTTAAGCTGCCTTGTGCCTATTTATTCTGCCGGGTGCGGGGAGGAGGGATGATATTTAATAACCATGCCCACTGTTTGAAACTGCCGCACCCCCGTGAGAGCTTTGTACGATGATAACATGAAATTATTTCTAACCAGGCGAATGCCCCATTGAGATGAAAGGTTCTCTCTTCAAAGGGAGACCTGGATTGAAAACATTACAAAGGTTAAATGTAAAACTTGAGATTTTAAATCGTGACAAGCAAGCAAAAATACGGATCAAAAAAACATAACAGGGCAAATCACAAACACATACAAGATCGTAAATTTCGACCACGCAGAAATGAATGTTGCTTTTGACTGGAAATTAAATTCAGGAAATCGGACTGGTGAAGTGCAGTTTAAAATGTTGGACAACCAGAATTTCAAACAAATGGAAATACAGTGAAACCTTGCATTGCGAGTAACTTGGTCTGCGAGTGTTTTGCAAGACGTGCAAAATTTTAAAATAAATATTAATTTGATAAACGAGCGAGATCTTGCAATACGAGTAGTACGTCTACGCTTTTTCTGCCGAGCATCACGTGATCACAACTGATATACGAGTGCTTTGATATACGAGTGCTTTGGATTACAAACACGTTTCCGGAACGAATTATGCTCGCAACCCAAGGTTTTACTGCAAAAACATTCAATCTTTTTTGCTATCACGCGGTTCTTAAATTCGGGAACGCTTTTCGCACAACGTGGAACTCGCGCGCCGTTATGAAAGAAACAAAACCCGTTATAACGTAGAAAGCAGCGTGTGCTATAGTGCGGTTTCTGAGCGGTCGATGACGAACTACTTGACTGAGCTGTGCACCTAAGCGGTACAGTGATACGGTATGCAGAATGACACGTTAACGCGGCAGTGTGCCCTCGGTGATTTGTCCCGCCATCTTCACCGCGCGTGTGCGCGGTAGTAGTACATCATATCTCGCCAAACTTTCTCGTGACGTTTACGGGGAAGTTATTGTTTTAGTTTTCACGCGGCACTTTTCAGGAACGCATCTACCGCCGAGTTAATAAACGAGGACTTTGCCGTCTGGTTAATCTTTGTTGTCCTGCTGCTGACGGCCAACTCGTTGTCTTTGCGCTGCTCAGGGGAGCCAGGCGACGGCCGCCGCATTGCCGTCCTGCCCGTCGGCTCCCCGTCCGGTGGCGTCGGGCCCCCCGCCACCCCCGCCCCCGGGCCCACCGCCCCCCCCCGGACTCACCACGGCCCCCAGCGGCGGCGCCGGCGACGCGGCCAGCTCGCGATCGGAGCTCTTTGCTCAAATCAACCAAGGGGAGCACATCGCTAGCGGTGAGACTTCCAGCGGGGCGAGGCGGTCACCGCCGACACTCGTTTGTAGGGATTTTTTTTTTAACTCAACCCCCTCTGTGCTGTGCTCCAGCAACGCGGAGGGCTGCTCTTGATCGGGCGACTCACGAGGCGGCAGGGTTTGCCGTCGAGTTATTTCTGTTCATAAACATCAGAATGGTGATTGCCCGATGATGCTGGATGTAATTACCAGCGAAACGTCGTACTCACAAATTGTAAATGTTGTGGATTCACTCTTCAACACACCGGTGGGCTAAAGTAGTGAACTATTTGTCTTTTGTCAACGTGACACTTTTTTACTGATTGGCCGTGTCGGGTGGTGGAGGGTTACGACACATAAATAACGCGATCTAACCCAAAGACGTTTATTATGAATAATATTGGTCGCGAAAGGCCTACGTGTTAAACTTATTTCTGTTCCTCCGCTTAAGGTTGTCCCTGCCTGGAAGGAGATCGTGTTTTCGTCATTGAATTTTCTATCATTTAAGGAATCTGTTTCACTTGGCATGTTACGATGCAGATAAAATTGTAAGAAGTTTTACGTCTCATTTTTGCTGAATCGATTTTTTTCCCCATCTCATTTTCACTTTTGTTTGTTTCTCCCCCCTCTTTTGGTTTTGTGAGTATACAAATCTCTTTTAATCGATTTAATTTATGCATTGTGTTAGATCTACGAGCAAACTCAGGTCTACTCTTTGAGAGGTTTCTCCTATTCTTATGCTGCTTCCACTGTCTATATCATTATTATTGGAACTCCCTCCCCTGATTGTCTGCCTGATTCACAACCCTCCCACGTTCAAGTCCAGCCTTGAGACTTCCCTCGGCCCCTGAACCCAATCCTCTACGACCATCGCGTCGTATTCTCATCAAGCGCAATTAATGGAATTGACCCTCGTTTTACAAACGGGGACGATGCGCGTGCAACATTTTACACGCTCGGCAAAAAACAACACAAATCGCCTCGAATGGCATGCACGCAAATCGGATAGAATGGGCACGGACGAGCCGGAGGTGCAGAGAGCGCACGCTAGGAGGGGGTGGAACCGCTTTTGAAGTAATTTCTGCTCCCCACGCTGGGCCCCCCCCTGCATGGCTCCCAACTCCGCATGTGTCCTTTGTCGCCGGCCAGCACGGTGTCTTGGGGCGCCACGGTGGCGAGATGTGTTAACTACCTCGCCTGGTATACATGAGATTGTGGGTCCGATCCCAACCTTGTCGCCCGCATGTTTGTAGTTTGCATGTTCTCCCCGTGGTCACGTGGGGTTTTTCTCCTTGTCATCCGGGGAAAAATATGTATAAACGTGCATTTCGAGTATATGGCTGCTTTAAATTTCAACGTTATAAGCCACTTCGTTGACATATCATTTGTGGCCAGGTCGCTTCTGACAAAGAGCTATATAGCTCAGCCTTACCTGGTTGAATAAAAATAGTTTAGTTTAGCTCGCGAGCATTCATAAGCGATCCCTCGATTTTGCTTTGCGCCACAAGTGGGACATTGTAGCTTTGCGCCGGGGAAAGGTAATTAATCGCCTCCTATAAATCACGTTACCCTGCTATTGTAGACGGCGTGACGGCTTCATTTAGATGGATGGTGGGCACTGCTCGTGTCTCCCCAAATAATAACAATAAATTGTAATAGAGGTATCTTGGTTAGATCCCGTAAATATAAATGTGTCGTTATACCTGCCACCACCCGAAACAGCCAGTTAGGTTTGTGACGTTAAAGAAACATGGCAATTCGTTACTTGTACAGCACACCGGTGTGTTGGAGAGCAAATCCACTACATTTACAATCTGAGTACGATGTTTTGCCATTTACTACAACTAGCATCATCAGGTGGACAGCCAGAGTTGTGTTAAACTTGTTAAGCTGAATAATAAATCAGCTGGTGCTTATTCAATGCACATTTTTTTAAAGCAGTTCAGCGTTAATTGAGATTTTTTTCTCCAATGCAAACATGGGTGTCCATCCGAATAATTAATTATGGGGTTTTTTTTCGTTGAAATTAAATGTCAAATTTTGTGATGTTGGTAACGACGCTGGTATGTAACGATTAATCTACTCATTCAGGGGCGGAGCCAGGATTTTGACTTTGGAGGGGCTGACTTCAATATTGTGAGATATCCAGTGTTTATGTTTTCCAATGGGCACCACAAATGTATAAAACTAATTTTATTGGATTTGAACGCGGAGTTTATTAATAGGTCGGAGCCGCTGATGTGGCTGATAAGTTCGATAAGTTCGAAAGGCTGCCGCTCAAGCAGCCTGCAGGGCAGCACAAGGTGGCAGCCTGCAGGGCAGCACAAGGTGGTAGCCTGCAGGGCAGCACAAGGTGGCAGCCTGCAGCATTTTGCAGCAGCCAGATATCCGCTTATCCCGATTACCGACTTTCCCAAAATTTCAGGGGGGCAGAGCCCCCCCCCAGCCCCCCCTGTGGCTCCACCCCTGTACTCATTGGTAAAATTAGATTTTAACACTTTTGACACACGCGTTGATTGTTCATGTCACAACCTAACGTTTACAGATTACACGGGAGAATATACTATTAAGTAGGAATGAGACAAAAAAAATGGCTTAATTCGTATATAGCCATTTTTATGTGTTGTGTGGAAGCCGCTCGTTATAAAATGACATCTCGGGTTGTTGTGGACTTTAGACAGCTTTAATTTTTCTTGAACGATTACAGCGGTTAGCATTTTGCTTGTGAATTTTATTGGCACGTAGAAAAATACTTTGCATTTAGCCGATATTAATTTAGCCGATATTAATTTAGCCGATATTAATTTAGCCTTTGCAATTTTAGTGCCCCAGGTCACTCTTGCAAATTAGACTTCTATCCTGGTCCATTGAGTTTCTCACCGCCTAGTGAAGACGGCAAAATAAACTTGAAACTTTGCTTCCGCTTTACAGCAGATGGCGAGCTTGAGTAATAAATGTTCCACAGTCACCGCCAGGAATAGCAGAGTCAGAAAATGTATGTTTACTGGAGGAATCCGATGATAAGCTATCATAGATCTTTGTCAGAGGAATGTTGGCCGAAACTCTCCTCTGACTCTGCCAAGCACGCTAACTGCGAGTGTTATGCAGTTAATTTCCTTGTGAAGTAAGTAATACACCAATTTGAACGTGAATAATTTAAGATATTACATAATCAGTGAATAAACAGCCTGAGATGTTTTAGATGTTTTATGAATTGAGGATATGATGCAACAAGCAAGATAAGTGCTGAGTTTGGATATAAGCAATGGTAGATGCAGAAATGTAGAATGCCTGAATAATGCATTCAATGAATTTTACACTGCGCGATGTTAAGGGTATAATCATCGTGTACACAGATAGGAGCTACTGGAAACGACATTTCTCAGGACAAATCCCTGCTGGCTAAATAAACTCAAGTTAACAACAGCACCAACCCAGTTGTTTCCTGGTCAGGCAAGTTGTGGGGGCAGTGGTCTTATTCTATTCGCAGCCCTGACCCATGGGGGTGTTTGTTCCATATTCCTATGGCAGAGGTGCGTACATTCGTAGGATCCCAGCCGCGGATTTCCAACCGAACGGTGTGGGCAATTTTATTGACGAGGGAGGCACACAGCGCCACGTTCACTCGGGACCAGACTCTCGACCTCCCGACCTGCGGAACCCCACACACCCTCGATAACAGCGCCGCCCGGGCGCATGGAGAAGCGGGAAAGGCATTGGCCTTGCAGGCACAGCGGAGGAAATTAGACCAAGCGATTTGACTTGCAGAACGAGTGAAATTCCGGTTGCTTGACCAACTTACCAGCCGACCGCCGTGGCCTGACCGCGACCCAACAAACTGACCTCGTGACTGAATAAAAGCCACCCCCGACCAACCGACCTGACCGGCCCGACCTGACGGAACTGATAACCGACCATCTAAGCCGTGGGTTGGCAACCAAAATAACAAGATGAGGTGTTTTTTTAAAGAATTTTTGAGAAAAGAAAATCAATATTTCCAAAGGGCCACAATGCATGTGAATATATACGTACATCGCGTCACGAAGCAGTCCATAAAAAGAGCCGCAGGTTTGCTGACCCCTGGTATTATCCAAAGACCTTTCTTTACCCTCTCATCGCTTCTGCAGGCCTGAAGCACGTCTCGGACGACCAGAAGACTCACAAGAACCCGACCCTGCGCACTCAGGCGCCAGCAGCCGCCGCCCCCAGCCACTCTGGGCCCAAGCCATTCACCACGCCCAAGCCGGGCGCAGCCGGCGCCGGGAGGGCAGCCGTTGCCGGGGCGAGTCCGGCTGGCGCCGCAGCCAAGAAGCGGCCGCCGGTGCTGGAGCTTGATGGCAAGAAGTGGAGAGTGGTGAGAAACTTAATAGAGCCCCATTTCCTTGGTTCTTTCGGTCAAGTCGCGTAGAAGGGAAACAGTAAAGTAATAAAAATATAAAATAATAAAATTCTCACGACGTTTCGACTGCAACACAAGCAATCATCATCAGGTGTGAAAACCACAGCAAGAAAATTTGGTTTTCACACCTGATGATGATGATTGCTTGTGTAGCAGTCGAAACGTGATAATTTTATTGTTTTATATTTTTATTATTTTATTGTTTCCCTTCTATGTGACTTTACTGAAAGAACCAAGAATATGAATCCCTTTAGTCACGAAAGCTTTAAATCAAAATTTAGAGCCCCATTTGTTTGGGTGAAGGCGCTCCGTTTTTCTTATTGCTTTTATAGCAATATTCTTTAGCCGGTGGCTTGTAGTGGGGCTGTTGTTGCCCACAAAAGGCTCTTTGACCGGCCCGCTGAGAGATGCGCCTTGCTGCGACCATGAAGGGAGATATATGAGTGAGATGAGAGAGATATGAGAGAGTCTGAGACGAGATAATGATTTGTTGAGATGAAATCAGACACGAGGTGAAGACGACAGCAGCCCAACGTCCAAGTGCTTTGCGGATCATTGCATAGTGGGACAGCTTGGAGAGGCATTCGCCCAACAGTGAATTGATCATGAGTAAAAGATGGAAGCGAGACAAAGTTCGAGAGATGATGGACCCGCAGACTAGAGCAGATGGTTCGGTTGTCAAACGTATGCACGCTGCGACGTTACGTGACATCGTCACGTCTGGAAACGTGCCACTACGACGCTGTGACATCACGTGACATGTGATGCCACGTGGTTATCAAAGCACACTAATTTTATCATCTGGCCTGCCAGAAAGTGATAGTTGAAAAAGCCTTATTTTATCGAAGCTGTACATGTTGCTGGGCTTCGGAACGTTCTAAAACTTATTTTGCACCTTACGTCGCCAACCGTGCGAATCGGAGGTGCGGCACAATTAATGAGCCAATAGACTGCGAAGTGTTACGATCAGGTGCGTAGTTGTGTGGGACTCGTGTGACGTCGCTCCCGCAAGCCTTGGATGCGTCGGTGCAGCGATGTAACGAGAGCAGTGCGGTGGCTGTACCCTCGCGTGGTTTTAAAGTCTTATTTTTCTTATCACTGAACTTCAAAGTGGCTTCGACAGCCTGGGCCACACAGCCGCGTCATGTATCGAACAGATAAGAGCTATTTATTTTTTAATTGCTTATTCCTTTAATTATTTTTCATAAGCCTTTAATTAAAATTATTTCCTTAGGCAGTTTGTGGCTAATGTGATAAACTTGTAAGCAGCTGGAGTGGCTAATTTGTTCATGGTTTTGAGTTGCATAGGAAGAGGGTTTACACTTATTAAAATAATTGCAATATTTTGCATTAATAGATTATAGTATAATAATAACGTACAGCCTTCGGTCAAAACACTGCTGGATGAATGCCTCTGAATGCTATCTCGGTCATGGGAGTTATTTGACCATACTTCACGCTGGTTAGTGCGGGTTGATGAAAGGTTGACCCAGGAATTGTTTGAATAGCATTGGCCACTGGTGTTATAGCTATGGCCAGGAATTGAACTTTGATCTCCGAGTTCATAGTACAGTGTGCTAACCATTGTTTCCCCTCTGCAAACGCAGAATATAGAATGGTTCTATTGCAGCGCAGCCGTTGACAATCATAATCTTTATTTAGACTGCAGGAGAAATCCGATAAGATTGTAAAGCTCTTTTTCACACAGATGATCAGTAGGGGCACGCGGTCAGCAAGTTGCAACAGCAAACAATACAAAAACACGATAGGAGTGCACAATAGAGAAAAGGTAAGCAAGTCACTATGAATGAATATCAAATATACAAAGTAAAGAAGTAAAACTAAGCTACTATTTTACCAGGTGAGCTTTGTACTCTTTTTTTCAGAAGCGACCCGGCCGTAAATGATAGCCCAATGGAGGGGCTTATCACATGGAAATTTCTAGAAGGCAAATCCTCTAAACTCTTGTTTCTAAATGTGGAGGGAAAAACCGGAGGAGCCGAAGAAGAATCCACACGATCCAATTATATTACTACACGAATAGCCACTCCCGCTATGAAAATCTTATTCGGCCACAAATATATACTCCAAATTATATTCCACAGGCTGTAGTGACACATCTTTCGTGTACAAGTATATTTCTTGTCAATCCACCGCTGGATGAGTGCCTCACGCCATGCGGTGTTGTGCAAGTTAATTGACCGTATTTCACCGCGGTGGTTTGGTGAAAGCAGCGAGGGGCATAGATGTTTGGAGCTTAATACAATGCAGTGACATTTTTCTGCACTGCACCCTGCTAGAAAAATATCCCGAGCAGCAGCCTACAAACGCTTATTATATAATCCATGGTGGTTGCCCATCTTACATGCACGATGAACACGGGAGGTCGTCAGTCTTCAAGATGGGAACGATGCCCGGGCATGTCGTTCCCTCTGTGCATGTGTGTGAATGTGAATTGAGTGTGGGGAGCGGGAGTGTAGCAGTTGGCGTGCTGCGCGATGAACCCGGCAATCCGGGTTCGATTCCTGCTCACGGTCAACACCAGTGACGATTATCTAAACCAGTCCTGGGCCTCCCCTAGGTCGACTCAGCCTGAAATGAGTACCTGGTGCGGTGTAAACATCGTCACTGGGGAGGCAAAGGCGGCCGGGCGTGGTTTTGGCCTTGATAGGTGCTCACAAACAGCACTTGCCCCAACAGGCTATATGGGGGATCTTTGCCTTTGTTCTGTGCGTTGCCCCCCTTTAGGAGTACCACGACAACGCAAGCAACTTGGTGTTGAAGGACACGGAGCTGAAGCAGGTGGCGTACATCTTCCAGTGCAACAACAGCACGGTGAACATCAAGGGCAAGATCAACTCCATCACCGTCGGTAGGTCACGCACGCGCACACACACACACACAGGCGCTATCCGTACAGCAACGTTGATTTTGAAGATAAATTCTGCCCACTAAAAAGCTCTGATTATCTCCGGTGGGCGGCCCTGTTGTACCGGCGAGTGATGTAACGTTCGCCTAAAGATGTAGCCGTATCCTATAGGTCCGCCGCGGATGCGACTATCCGCGTCGCTCTTCCCTGTAAACTTATCGGCCTCTTTGGAGCGGTTCCACCCTTTTGGCTGCCATTAAATCGCTAGTCTCGTTCCATTGGCCATAGGTTTTCCCCTTTTTTCTGGCAACAAAACCGTTTGTGTTAAGATGTTAAAACACCAAACTGAAACCTTTTGCAAGGAATCATGTCTGCATTAACCACAATGCTTGTGGTCAGAATGCAAACGAAAGAAAGCTGTCTCTGGTGTGGACCAATCAGTTTCAAAGACAATGCATATGTTATCGGAGTGTTTTTTGTTTGCATTCCGATGACAAGTTTTGTGGTTAATGCAGACATGATTCCTTGTAAAAGGTTTCAGTTTGGTGTTTTAACATCTTAACACAATTGTTTTGTTAATAATTGTTTTTTTACCCTTTTATCTGGCAACAAAACTGACACCTTTTTTACAAGGAGTCATGTTTGCATTGACCACAATACCTGCGGTCGGAATGCAAACAAAAAAACACAACTCTGATAATGTATTGGCACTGGCCTTGAAATTGATTGGTCCACACCCGAGACAGCTTTCCTTAGAGGTGTCAGTTTTGTTGCCAGATAAAAGGGTAAAAAAAACAATTATCATATTTTGCTAGTGGCAAAGGAGGTTCCAATGGTATAAATACCTGTTTTGTTGCCAGAAAAAAGGGGAAAACGTATTCTCATAATTTGGTATTGGCAAAGGAGGTCCCATGATGACACACTTCACTTGTTCAAATCCATCTGCATGAGGTCTCGATCGCATTTAAAGCTAACATTTACACTTCATTTGCACAACTTGTGTATTATTTTGATTCATTACACGCCAAACCAAACGTCCCAAGTGACGCGACAAAGGGTTTCTCATTATGCGCGCCATGGTTATTGAACCTGGCCCGTCTCTTCTTATTTTTTCACCGCGTTGGCCCTAATTTTCCTCCGAAATAAAAGCCCCAGCCTTGGTGCGTTACGTAAACGGAGCGTATCCATTCACATCAAATGCGCGCGCTGCAATTAGACGTAAATTGTGCTCCCGCTAACAGTATAGCTGAGGGCTTCTGTGCATTCATGGTACAAATATAATAATAAAAGCTCCAGTTACTGCAGCAAAATATATATTTTTGTTGTATAAATCTGCCCCAGGCACGAATCGCTTCATCTCCTATCGTCTTGCGTGCTTAAGCTTTGGTGTGATGAATTGCTTGGCTCTGAGCGCGCTAACCAATTCTCTAGCTTCAATTAAACGTTTAAATGCGCACGTTCACTTTAAATTATGAAGATGGCAATCATCGCCTAACTCGTAAAAACCCACAGAACGCTGCAGGGTTGTTCATTTTTATCTGCAGTTAAAAAATAAAACAAAAACAAGGAGAGACGAACATGACGCGGCATGCCGCGCATACAATTTTCATCCTCAAGTTTTCATATTTTTGATTGAAAAAAAATCTGAAAACGTCGTTTTCCTCGTCAAAGTACCGTCATTAAAACTGTTACTTCAGTTAAGAAATGTCATTTTAATGTCTTTGATTGTTTTACTTTTGCAAGTGTGCACATATCCATTTGCCAATTTTACATCAGTTGTGCTTTTGGCGGTTTCGTGATATGAAGCATCGATTGAGGACTCTCTCGCAGGGCAAGGCCTGGCCCCTTGTGTTGTCAGAAGGCCTGCCGAAGCAGATATGACAGAACTCCTTCCGAGATCCGTTTGAGTGACTTATTTTGAAATCCACCTACCAGGCGGGGTTCTCATTCCCACATGTCCTGCCTCAGGAAAATGTTCATAACGTCCGAGTCAAATGCTTATTTTTGTTTGTCACAGCTGGATTTCAACCAAATTAACAGCAATTATTAAATTTAATGGTGGGTTTTATAATAAACTCAACACGTTCATCAATATTTCCCTTTCAAGAATAAAAATATAATTGGCAATATCCCTTCACAAACAGAGAGCCCTTTGCTCATGCAAATGTTTGCTTTTTTTATTTGTCCATCTGCACCACTGCCAACACGGTATCACAAAACGCGTTTTGTTTAACGATGGGTTTTAAAGTGCATTCAATGCATTATTTGAGAAGCCCGTTTAATCCTAAGTGTGTGGCTCCTTGGATTAACGCCCAGGGATCTCAACAGAGGAGGCTCGGGGCTGCCCCCCCCCCCCCCCAGAGCCACCCGGCCACATCAGAAATAAAAAAAAATTATGAAAACGTTACAAGTTAATTTCGTTTAACCAGGTGGGAACTCAAAGGAGACCAGGATAGTCGTTTTCAGGAGTGACCTGGGTTTTTTCACTGGGGTAACCTCGCTTTTTTTGCACGAGTGAACGGTATTGTGTGTTTACACGAATCAGACGCAGTCTTGTGCGATGGCAAGCTCTGCTTCTTGTGTTGTCGGCTGCCCCTGGCAGATTCCTGCAAGAAGCTGGGCCTGGTGTTTGACGACGTTGTGGGGATCGTGGAACTCATCAACTGCAAGAGCGTGCAAGTGCAGGTGGGCTCCAGCACCTGTGGCATTGTGTGCGGCCTCCCGCAGTTATTTTTTTTTAGGAATACATTTTGTTACTTTGAAAGGCTTTGTTTAATCATCACAATCCATGGGTAGATAGCCTGTAGGTGTCCACTGCACATTTTGTCATTTATTTCCACTTTCCCTGTCGTGTGTCAAAATGCTCAAGTCGTGCCTCATCTTTCTGGCACAAGTCTTACGTAATCACGCCATTCTCTTTGTTAAATGTGTATGCTAACATTAAAAAAAAACTTGTCGGTTAAAAACTGATTCGTTCATCAACTTAACGTTTCCCAGCATCATCCCAGGGTGTCTCCGTGAAAAGTGCGGTCGCAAATAACCAGTCGACCAATCTCTCTGCCCTCTCCCTGTGCCCTGAGGGAGGACTATTGCTTGAAACGTCAGCCTAACATGTACGTTTCTGCCATGTCAAGGCAGCACCGTTGGAAGCGTGGGGGGCTGTGTTTGTGCGCCGCTGCCAACGCAGTTTCTCAACTCTCATTGCTGCCACATTTTGTTTCTTTTCGTTGAGATGTATTCAGCCGTCGGTGCAGTGGGGTGGGAGGGAACATTGCTTTCCGATTTCGCAAGCGTGGTTAGTTCGGTTGAGTTACGTTTTTTTCCACTCCCGAGCGAAGTTTTTGTGCAACGCTTTTAACGTTTTGTCTGTGTGTGCGTGCGTTACATTTTTATTTTAATGGTGGCTGCGTAATCGACACGTTCGAGTGAATTATGGCTAAGCACAAAATAATAAAACCCAACTCAACTTTTGCACGAACACGCCGTATTAGGCTGCTATTAGACAAGGTCAATTAATGCGTTTGAGTGTTTCTGATTTGTGCTTGTATTCCACTGGCAATGCAAACCAAGTAATTTTTTATTCTTAATTGAATGTGAATTGTGGTTAACCAATGGTCTGAAGTTTCCTATATTGGAGTTCCGGATGTCATTTTGGTTTGGCGTGACGACGTGACACCAACTGTGCCCACCCCTCCTCCCCCTCGTCCGCCCTCAGGTCCTGGGCAAGGTCCCAACCATATCTGTCAACAAGACGGACGGCTGCCAGATCTATCTGAGCAAGGACTCGTTGAGCTGCGAGATCGTGAGCGCCAAGTCGTCGGAGATGAACGTGCTCATCCCACACGACAAGGACTTTGTGAGAGACTCGCGCGCGCGCGTACACACGCACGTCAACTGACGGATCTGCCCCCGTGTAGCCAACATTGGCGGTCCCCAACCTGTGGCACGTGCCAATCGGAGGTTGTGGGGGAAGGAGAACAAACTAAACACACAAAGCTGTTTTAAACAAATGGCTCTTTAATCTTCTTTTAAGAATGCATAACGTACATGCTCGCTCTTGCGTGCACGTGCACGGATCTGCACCGTGTAGTCAACATCGGTCGTTCCCGACCTGTCCCATGCATGTACCACTTGTTGTGGATATCGTCATCCACGAGTGTCATGGTCAATCCACTGCTGGATGAAGGCCTCCGCAAGCCCGCCGCCACCTCTCGTGACCTTGCGATGCAACAAAATCCATCCGGCGCATTTGCAGTATGCAAACAATCATGAAAATTTAAAGAAAGAAAAACAATATCTGTTTGGATACTATATACTTGTAGGGGGGTACCCACACACAGTTGAAATGTGTGGTACACTACAAGAAAAGGTTGGGCACCTCTGGCCTTGCAATAGATTATTAGGGCAAGCGCCATTAGCGAGCACCTATTAAAGCTGGCTCCGGGTCACAATATCAAACGGTTAACCCGCTTACGTTCTCTGATCCCGTGCGCTCTGCTCTATGCGTCTCATTCCAAGCGCGCACCTCTGCTTATTTTTGTGTACTTTATTGAGTCCTGTTTCCTCTCTCTGCGTTTGTGATCTAATCTGAAGGAGGAGTGTGAATGTTTGTAATTTGGTGTACCGTATGTGCTTTGATGTATAACAGCATATAGATTGGCAGTTGTCTCATCTAAATCTAGAATGTTTGGCACGGTCTCTTTGCCTCTGAATAATATTGATTTTCACAAATATATGAAATAATTGCCTCATTTAGTTTGATTACCCAATCGAATAACATTGATTACTTAATTTTGTTGGAGTTGATTTTTTCACACAATGAAGTATTTATTCAGCTTGACTGTGCATTTTTTAATAATTATTACACCCTCAAATTGTTGTTAGATGCGAATGGAATTAATTTTTTCATAAAAAGTAATTCTATAAAATTTGAATTTATAGATTATCCAAATGTGTGAATGGCATGATGGGAAAGAGGTGGCACAGCTGACATGGAGGGCTGAGGCCAGCAACCGCTGAGAACCCGGGTTTGAATCCAGATCTCAGCCACCTGCGCTGTAAGCCGCCGTTCTCAAGTGCCACGAGTTGACGGTCTCAGCCTAGTTACCGGTGACATCGCACAAGCGAAACAAATCGATCACATTACATTTCGTTCCTTACATTTGGCAAAATTTTATCTCGTGAGAATTAAACATATCGGTTTTACTGTCATGCGATTGATCTGGTAAAAAAAAAAATATTGGTGGTCAACTGTCCAGGCTCAACCCCCTGTTTGGCTTTTGAGGTCTCCACGAGAAAGGAGAGTTGCTATGCCGCACTTCAACAAGACGCGGGTAGCACGCATGTGCGTCCAGCTATGCTCTGCAACAGATGGGGAGCGGTGGCGTTAAGTGTTCAGGGCGCTGCGATACAAACCCGGTGGCCCCAGTTCGATGCCTGTTCACGGTCAACACCAGTGACAATTATCTGAACTGGTCCCAAGGCCTTGCCTCCACTCGGGAGGCAAAGATGGCCAGTTGTGGTGCTGTCCACCCACCCCCTCGTCTGCCGTGCCGGCCTTCATAGGTGCTCACTAACAGCTCTTGCTAAATGCCGTCCTTCCTCTCTCTCTGTCTCTCTCTCTCTCCCCGGCCCCAACAGAAAGAGTTCCCGATCCCGGAGCAGTTCAAGACCGTGTGGAATGGCAAGAAGCTGGAGACGGTGGCTACGGAGATTGCTGGATAAGCCCCCTGTCTCCGGGTGGCATGTGCCGCTCCCCCCAAACCCAGCAGTGATCCCAACCAGCCAACAACCCACGGGGCGGCCAGTACACACATGGCAATTCGCACCAACTCTGCCCCGCGCAAGCAAAGTAGTGGAAAAAAAAAGACCTAAATCTACCGTACGATCCTATGGAATATAGAACACTTCCAAGCAGGATTTAATTAATTGAGAGAAGCCGAGATTTAAAAAAAATGTTCAAAAGTATAATGTTTTTGACGTGATTGTTTGGATTTGTTTTCTTTCTGTTTTTCTCCTGAATTTGAAACAGGTAAAAAAAAAAGCATAATGCACGTGGCTTTTGTCGGGTGGAGTTGGTGCTAATGCCCTGAACCCATTGGCGCTTCCGATGGGAATAAAAATCACACCTCGGGGAGAGATTAACCTTGGCACTCCATATTGTAATCGTGCATCAAGAATATTTTTGCAGGCAAACCGGATGCTTATATTGCACTTTCTGGATTGCTGCTTTGGTCGATATATTTTTTCTACTTTTGCTAGGTTACTGCTCCGATAGATCCCTGGACCTCATCAGATGTGTCAACTAACTTGAATGTCTGCTTTTCTAGCGCGATACGATTGTGTGGAATTATAAGACCGTTCGGGCTATATGCCACTTGTGATGACTTCGATGCATTTTCCACGTTGGCCAAGGTGGTGTCACCTTTTGAAATCAAAGTCCCCGCTTCATTCCTCAATTAAATTCTTCGTTACGTAATGGAAACATTCCTTGAAGATTGATTCCCGTTGAAAATCGTGTTCTCCCCCCCCCCCCCCCCCCCCCAGTTTTTGTCGTACAATCGCACAAAATATAAATATATATTGACTTGCCAAATATTTTAATGAGTTTTCATACTGCCAAGTCTATGAACCAACTTGATTGTTTTTCGGGTCAGAGGTACAAATAGTCCAATTCAACCATTTTGCGTATTCTTATTGTTGTTGCCTGTTCACTTCATTTGCTTTCACTTTAAAAGTCTGCCCAGACGGACTCGCCCTCTGCATCTTTGTCAACGTGTCGCCACTTAAGTCTGCGGAGAACGGACATTCCGCTAAATCGACCGCCTCCTGCGCCCAATTTATTTTGTGTGTGTGTGTAAAATAATAATCAATTTCATTATGACGGGCACCGAATTAGTGCAGGAGCTTGAATATGGTACCGTTTGCCAGACCGCCGGAAAATTGATTGTGTGTTTTTTTTTATAATCGGTTCTCACCGGGGTTTTTTTTTGGTTAGTGTCACTGCTGAGCTTTGGCCAAGTTTTGTCTCCTCCCATTTCATTTTGCCGACACTTCGTTATTTTCTCACCGTCATCGATTTGTTAAGATTTCTCCTCTTGATCGCCGTTTGCTAAACGTCGCTTTCTTTTTGTGGCTGTTGCGATTTTTGCTTTAGCTTCACTGGCTACTGCTGGCTTCTTAAAAATAAAAAAGCACCGTTCATTTAGCGAAAGACGTAGAAAACTAGAACGTTTCCTTCGTGACGACGACAGTCGCGAGACTTATCACTGACCTGACCCCATATTGCGCTAAATCATGTGTTACCCTTTAGTGGCAATAACGCAGCACGGATCGGAATGTAATCTGCGTCAGCGTCGCGTACGGGCAGCACTTATTAAAGCCGTCTCCTGCGAAGACGCCCGCTGTACGTAGGGGGACCCCCCCCCCCCAACACACGCTGTACGCGCCTGTGTGACCTTCGGAAAGGAGTGCCATCGACTTGTCATCGGCAGCAGAACCTTCACGGTGGCAAGTTGTGTGCGCGTTGGTCTGTCTAGATGTTAAAATTGGTTAAGGATCCACACGCAAGAATGCATGGGAAATCAATCGGCCGGGCGCCCTACCTCCAATGTTGCATCAAGTGAACTCGTGGGTGTTTTTTTTGTGTCTATCGTCACAATGATTATGACCGATGCACATCCACGGCTTGCTACCTAGCCTAGCTACCGGCTGGCAATCCCGTGTCCACGCGAGTTCGCCGTATACAACCAAGCCCCCCCCCCCCCCGTCTTTCCCCGTTCAGAGTTGGGCTTCTTGGGCTCTCCATCTTAAGACCTCATCCGCTGCCTCTCCCTCGCTGCCCCGGGGGACTGAGGCGGTTGGTTGGGGCGGGGGGGGTGCACCACCGCCGCGTGACAGGTGCACGCGCGGCGCATTACCCAATTTACATGCAAATGAACGAGAGTTGCGCGCGGTGTAACATGGTGGGTGGCGGGGTGCGAGTTTGCTAGCCGTGGTGAGAGCGTGACGGCTGGAAGCTTTGGGAGAGCATGCGGGTTTTGGCAGATGGTTCGCTCCTATCCGTCGTGTGTAGTGGTGGAGCGGTGGGGGTACGGGAGCTGGTGTGCGGTGGGGGTTGGCGGTGGTTGAATGCGTTGGTGCGGTATAGCTTTTACGGGCCTTTCCCCACGAAATGTGGCGGCGTTTGGACATGGTGTGGCGGGGGGGGGCGCGGTGTTTGTCCAAAGTGTGGTTACTCTTGGGAATTATGTACTTTGCAACATTAAAGTGGCAGTAACAATTTCGGAGTGTTTCAATACACTGTTTTCACACTGTTGGGTATGTACGGTGCGAAAGAAATGCTCCATAGTGGTGCATCTGCCAATCATACTCGGTCAACCCATGGAACTGGGGTCTGTCCAGTGATCTGCCAGCGAGCCCTTCGACGCTTCACTTGGCCTAAAAGTGCACCTTGCCTGGCACAAGCACCGTGGTGACGTCGCCGTCACTCAGTGGCGAATGCCGGTTGTAGTGTCGTGGTGGTCAGCGCACTGCGATCGGAACCCGGCGACCCGGGTTCAATGCCCGCTCACGGCCACCACAAGTGTCGATTATCTGAACCGGTCCTGGACTTCCCCCGAAGTCGACCGGGCCTCCAATGGTGCGGTGTGTAAACATCGCCACTGGGGATTCAAAGGTGGCCGAGTCTATTGCTGGCCACCCACCCCCTCGTGTGTGCAGTGTCGGCCTTGATAAGTGCTCGCGAACAGCACTTGCCCCAACAATATTTAAGGTGACACGAGAGGGGCAGCAGTGTAGTGGTGAGCGATCTGCATCTGCCCAAGATTGATTCCTGGCCGTGCTTCCCAGCAGCAGAGAACGTCGGTGGCGAGTGGAATTTGAACCCGTCTCCCCCTGTGTGCTCGGCCAGAAATTAGCACCTGGTGCAGTCTGCAACGGGCGAAGACGAAGGCAGACCGGGGCATTGTGCTGACCACAAAACTCGCCCGTGCTTTGACCGCAAACAGCAAATGGCGCGGCACTTTTAACCGCAGCAGTTGACGCGCCACTGCGTTGATGGAGTCTCTCCGCCCGAGTTCCACTCCCGGCCACAGCCAATAGGAGTGGCGAGTTGACATCTCAACCGGTCCCGGATGGGCAGGCCCCATCGACCGACAAAACCCGCACTGACCGGCGTGATCAGCTGAGTTCAAATAAAACCTCCACGGTATGACGACAGCTTCATCCGGCAGCGGATTGATTGCGGGCTGCAAATGATGGCACTGCCTCCAAACAGATTTGAGGATTTTATACGCATTGGGGAGCAGGTGGGCCGGGGGGTGGGGGTGTTTGTGTTGCGTTGGCTGGTGATTTTTTATTCCAAATGGCAAGACAATGCATTCGCCCATTCGTGATAGTGTGGAGCGTTGCGGCATGGGGGAGACAGCGCATTGACAAGCCACGAGGCTCACTTGTTGGGCCGGGCTGTCTGTGGCAGGACGTGGGTGGCGGCAGCGGCGACCGCGAGTTTTTACCGCACACCGCCTCTGTTGGGCCTTTCATGGCACATTTAAGCAACAGCGCATGCCGCGTGCTTCCTAATTACATTGGTAAATATATTCTTGGTTCTTTCGGTAAAGTCACGCAGAAGGGAAACAAAAATAATAAAAATATATAAAAAAAATTCAAATTTTCTTGCTGTAGTTTTCACACCTGATGATGATTGCTTATGTTGCAGTCGAAACGTGAGAATTTTATTGTTTTATATTTTTTATTAATTTATTGTTTCCCTTCTACGTGACTTTACCAAAAGAACCAAGAATATGAATCCCTGCAGTCACGAAAGCTTTAAATCTAAATTTAAATTGGTAAATGTTTAAATTAATGGATTTGTTATGCATGCATGCCTCTTTTTTAAAATCTGCAATCTCTTAAAAACAATAAAGGGTGGATATGGGGGGGGGGGGGGGGGGGGTACCCCCACAAGCATGGATATATACATGTTTTTGTCCGGAACGGGCATCATTGCTGCAAGGGCAATGTTCTGCGTGTGATGTCTGCAGAGATTCTGAATTTAGGAATATATTACAGAAGGTTTCAGTGTGTGTGTGTGGCGGGGATGGCTACAATTTATGGGGAGCGATAGTGGAGTGTCCAGCGTGTTGCGCTACGAACCCAGCGACCCGGGTTCGATTCCTGCTCGCGGCCAAGAAGAGTGACGATGATCTGATCCGGTCCTGGGACTCCACTAGGCCGACTGGGCCTCAAATTAATACCTGGTGCGGTGTGTAAACATCGCCACTGGGAAGACAAAGGCGGCCGGGTGTGGTGCTGGCCACCCACCCCCTCGTGTGCCCTGCCTTCATAGGTGCTCGCTAACAGCACTTACCCTAACAGTCTGCGAAGGCTGTACGGGGATTTTTGTCTTTGGCCACAATGTACCTTGGTTGGTTGAGTGGCAGCAGACTGTAAATTATGAATTTGTCATTGTAATCGTTAAACTATCATTATGGTTACCGTCATTGACATAGTGAGCATCATCATCATTTACCGTCATCATCATCCGTTATTGCCATTAATTATCATCATCATCATCATTATCGTCATTGCCAACATCATCTTCCCTCTGGGATCAGCAACAATGAGCATCGCCTGTTAGCGTCGTATCGCATTGTGGGAAAGCCAGGCGTGAGTGCCCCCTTGGGCTGGGCGTGTTCTGGTGCAGCTCGCAAGAGGATCGTGGGACAGGCGCGGGGCAGCCGTCCGTCGCACACGAGGCGCCTCTCATCCACAGCGCATTCACGACGTGAAGCAATCGTTGCTGGAGACGGGCGCATGTATTTGTGTTCGTTATAAATTGCCCCAAGGCTCAATGGGAGTTTAAGTCGAATAAGAGTCGCGCGTGGACGACCCTGATGATGATGATGATCATAATGCATCGGTGCACTAGTGGTGGCACGTGGCTTGGAAAAGAAGACGCGCAGAGGCCACCAAATTTGCCAAACAACCCCGCAAAGTACAAATGCGTCTCGGTCGTATTCTCGCAACACGCGGGTGACGTTCGTTTTAAGTCGCCATCGTCGGCCACGATCAATCCGCTGCTGGATGTAGGCCTCACCCAAAAGCCGTCGCCACCTCTCGCGGTTCTGCGTGCGATGCAACAAACAACAGCAAAACAACCCACGTAGCACCAGCACACGAAACTAAAACTTATCATTTGATTTAAAGCTTTCGTGACTGCAGGGATTCATATCCTTGGTTCTTTAGGTAAGTCACGTAGAAGGGGAAAAATAAAATAATAAAAATCTAAAACAATAAAATTATCACGACGTTTCGACTGCAACACAAGCAATCATCATCAGGTGTGAAAACCACAGCAAGAAAATTTGAAAAGAAATTCTATATTTTTATTATTTTTGTGGCGTTTTTTTTCTGAAATTTCTTGCTGTGGTTTTCACACCTGATGATGATTGCTTGTGTTGCAGTCGAAACGTGATAATTGTATTGTTTCATATTTTTATTATTTTGTTTCCCTTCTACGTGACTTTACCGAAAGAAACAAGAATATAAAACTTATCTTTTTTTTATTTTAACGGGTAAGGCCCCACTGAGCTGTACAGATCTTTTCAGAAGCGACCTGGCCACAAATGAAAGCTCAACGAAGTGGCTTTTCACGTGGAAATGTATAACAGCCAAATACTCTAAACGAGTGGCGTCGATTTTAAATGTGGAGGGAAAAGCCGGAGGGACCCGAAGAAAATTCCACGCGACCACGGCGAGAGAGACACGCAAACTGCAAATATACAGCAGGCATCAGGGTCGGGATCGAACCCACGATCTCCTGTATAACAAGCGAGGTAGTTAACATCTCGTCACTGTGGCGCCCCTGATTTTATCCCTCGGTCTTGGTGGATACACTTTCGGACGCGTTCCATTCATTGGCTGCCGTTCCATTTCTCATCTTGACCATCGTCTATCGTCGCGACGTGTCGTGCCCAAGCCCACCTACCTTTATTGTGAACAGTTTGAATGAGGCAGGTCATGAATGAGATGAAAGACCCAACGCAGAAGATCCCTCTGGGGTTTAATCTTCCACGGAGCTCACGGTCCACCCTATAAATCACATCCTCCTGCCAAACTATGGCAGCAGATGCAGACACCTGATGCACAAATGGAAAATCCCTGTAGTAGTCGTGGTGCGACTGTGGTCATCCAGAGCAGACCGCGGTGCAACGTGTAACGACGCAAGGCCCCGATCCACAACTACGAAGACGGAGACATCACAGCGACACCACTCCACTGCTCCCGTTGACGCGGTTATCTGGGCTTGGCCGCCTTCAATGTGACATTGAAGTCGTTGCTCTGCATCAGCCATGCGACAGAAGAAGGAGGTGTTTACCCTGTGTATGTTACAGAATCCACATTCCTCATCCTATCCCTCTGTTTTTTTTCTCTCCCTGCCCGCTCCTCGCAGTCACCCGTGCACTGTAGGCGATTCTGAAAAGTCAACTCATAAGTTATCTCGCGTCTCGTGCTGTGAAGAATGACCATTGCATAAACGTCCCTAATACATATTGTCCTATAGTGCCACAGTGTATTGGCGAATGTGCGTGCTTGTTTGTGTCTGTGTGTCTGTGCGTGTGTCTCCAGTTTAACAGAAGAGGTCTCACTCCGAATCAGTCGAGCGGCAATATCTTTTCATCGGTTGCGTAACGCTGTGTGGAAGCTACCTGGGCTGTCGCTCCGCACTAAGCTTCAGGTCTTCTCGGCCACGGTCATTCCCTCCCTTCTCTACGCTTGCGAAACGTGGACCCCCCTAATGGAACATCTTCGCCGGTTAGAAACATTTAGGCTGGCCTGCCTACGATCCATCCTGGGTTTAACCAGACTGGAATCCTTGAAAGATCTGGGCAGGGTCCCATCGGTGAGCTCCTCCGGCAGGCAAGGCTGCGATGGCTGGGTCATGTAGCCCGCATGCCCAGCCACCGCATGCCGAAACAGCTTTTGTTGGCCGGATTGAGGGGGCTAGGCGGGCGGCCACTGTGTAGGAGGCTCGTGAAGGACGCTACTGGGCAGTTGGAGGCAGTCGCCCTCCAACAACAACGGAGGGCGGAGGAGCGACGCTCACAACAACGAGCGGAGCGCCGGGTGGCTAAAGCACAGCAGGTTGGCACAGTAGGGGGCACAGGTGGTGCATCAGCCAGTCATCTCAGTCAGTCGACCCGTGGCACCTGGGTCTGCCCAGTGACCTGCCAGCGGGCGTTCGACACTTCACGTGGCCTCCACGGTTGCACATAGCCTGG